CTTGCTGCTTGGTGAGAGATTTCAGTCAGCCCTACAATACAAAATAATTGGACTTAACTTTGCCTCTTATAGAAATGACTCGTGTCTTTCCTCACCACCATATATGGAATTTTTGGGGCATGGAATGCCTTGTTTTGAAGAAGTCATTGGAAATGAATTTGGTTGTGCTGTGACATTGGCCGTAAATTCTGAAAAATGTAAACAGCGTGAAAAACTTACATTGTAGGTTCATAATTGCCTCAAAGTCAAAGCAAGAAAAACAACACTTTTATGATTTCACTGTTTACATGATGAAGGGAGAATTTTCAGCAACAAACATATTTGTTTTTTCCGGAGTGTGTTCGTAAGTGCTAGACTTGTTAAAAGTAACCCTGACTTGTTGAATTAGAGTTTTGGTCAAATGTTTGCTTAAATATTCAACTGTCAAATTATGTGACTCTATAAAGGCTGTATTGAAGAAGATAATGTAATGAGTAATACAGATTTGTTTGTATTCAAGAAAAATGCTAAATACCACATTTGCACCTTTTTCAGTCGCATGTTTACAAAACTTTTCACCGGCCATAGAAATCACTGTTAAATTTGAACCCATGGATTCTTCAGTTCTAGCTCACGTAAGTAGCTGGAAACATTGTTCACCCAGCTCCACCGTAGGAAATGCTCCAGAACCAGAATTTTCCATGTCTTGGGAGGTGGTCTGGTGTGAAATACATGTTCTTAACCTGTGGGTAGTGTCGTTTACATGCTTGCCCCTTTATACACCCACACTTGACTGGGCACTAAACCTGTTTATGGGCCCATGTGGGAATATTGTCAAGTGTTGAAAGTGTAGCTTGCTGACACTAAAAACCATTTGCGGACAGCCCCAGTGTGTCAGCCTTGGCAGTAAAGGGTAAATTTGCTTGGAGGACTGTGGTTTTTGTGGGGCAGGAGTTGCTCATTTTTTGTTACTGAGGTGAGAAGTGTGGTGACAAGAAGGTGCCAGTGTTTTCTCCCCTTCTTTTAGACAATGTCAACAGGAAGTCATTAGGCTATTGTTGGGAAGGATTTTGGGGCTCTGAAAGTTGCCCATTATCCACAAAGTAAACAAATAATTCTGAGAATGGCCCTGTTTTTCTTTGGGATCGTTTTGCAAGGAGAGCTAAAGTGAGGGTGTACACGTATTTGTTGTTCTATCATGTGACTGCATTAGTTTGTCGGTAAAGAGCTCTCCTAAGGGTTTAGTCTCATGTTGGAATGAATATATCTCAGAGTTGCACCGTGGAGTTGGTGGTTGCACAGATGTAATCATCTGTGAGATCTGTACCGAAGAACTTGAAATGCGCAGTGAAGCCACAAACATGCATGTGATTTCCAGTCGTCATGTTGTGGTGTTCCCAGTGCGTGACCATAATATTCTCCTTTTCCAGTGGGTAGGGTACTCTGCAGATGTTTATGACTTATTTGTGATGCTCTTTGAAAGAATTTAACAATTTCCTGTGGTGAACATATTTCCTGTCCTCACAATCACCATTTTGTTTGAAAGAAAATGAATGATTTATGTTCGGCCAGACACTGAGGACCATAGGGCGGTTATAGGCCTATTCCCAAACAGGTGGTCAGTGATTAAAAATTAGGCACCCAATCAATCAAAAGCCTTGACTTATTGTAATTGAAGTGGGTAACAACAGGGGTGGAGTCAAATCGAGGGAGGACGAAATACATCAGAGGGAAACGAACATTACACTCGCAGGCATCTTTCATTTTTCAAGTTTTTCAATTTTTTTGTGCAGTTTTGTTCATCCTTTAGTCTTCCCAGTGAAGCCTGTGGTGCATGTTTACTGTGCTGATTAACCATTTGTAAATGTACAGTAATATCTTCATTGGCCTAACTCTTGCTGTCTTTAAGCCACAACAATATACATGTACCCCAGTAGTTCAAACAGGTGCATATCGGCAACTACAGGTACAAGGAACTGTAAAAGAATTGTGGGTTACTTCAAAAAAAAAGATCCACCCAATTTTTGCCTTTAAACATTGGTTGCTCGTTCTCTTCGTCTTACCCTCGTGTCTTTGTAGTAGTAGAAAGTTCTTTTCCTGCCCTGTGACAGGAAATATTTATGAATGTTTTTGTACAGCGACTGGAATAGTAATGAGGAATCGGGGATGAGTAATAATCATAATAATTGAAGGCAGTGACAGTAATGTCATCGATTTCAATAGGGTAGACAGTGACATGAAGACGACCTTGGCACGCCATGCTTCATCAGCCGGACAGGTGGGCCTTTAAAGGGGTAGCCAGACTAGACTTGACCAAGTCATCACTTCTCTCAAATGAAAATATGTACTGGCACTTGTCAAAAAGCTGTATTAAATTACACCATTGACAAATGACATGTAGGGTCTATCGGTAGTGATCTGCGGCACATACGTGCAGGGGATTGCATCTTTTTACAGTGAGCTAACCTAAACGCTCATCCGTGGAATGTGTACTTAATTTTTGGCAGGGTGTTCATCAGCTTTGTTGAAATATTGTTTTTAGAATTCACACACAGAGACCGGGGTACGCATAAAGCCGTACAAAAGTCGTTCCAAAATTTCAAGTTTTCCACAGGTTTGGACTTACGTCAAGACAAATGCACCCTGATGGCTTCATTTTGTACGGGGAGGTTGCGCTCCAGTTCATAACCATGATTCACAGGTCAACATATTGGTACGGGGTGCCATAGGATCAACACAAAATGTTAAGTATCTGTGATTTAATAGACGTAGGTGGTTGGTCGTCTTACTGGAGTGGTTCACCGATGAATATCCACCTGTGCTGTGCAATACCCAACTCCAACTCCCCAAATATTCCTTGACTGACTTGGTCAAGTCTATTGTGCCACCGCAAAGTGCTGACAGATGGACTAGTGTATTATTGATATCTGGCCAGTTCCACTCAATAATCTCAATACGGATGGCCCAGGTAATGGAACAGAATGGCCTAGGTAATTAATTAGTTTTGTCCAGTTTGGGGGTTGAAGATACTCAGTTAATTAAGGACAATGATTGAATTAAAGGGGCTATCTCTTTGGCTCAATGTGTAGTTCTGGAACAGCTGTAGATAAGGCTAGTTACTTTTGAGAGTCCCTAGCCCCTAAAATATCCTTAAGATTGAGAATTAATTGCTAATTACTTCCAGAATTTTGCTCGGTCCTAAGTGACTTCAGTTTCCCCCAAGATATTCTGATAGCCCCATTATGAGTTTGTGTTCTGATGTAGATGTACAATCATCCAATTGTGTTGGATGGTATTCATTCAACAACGTGGGTGCTAAAATATTTCATCTGCTTTGTGGGCCAATTGAAATTCCGCAGGATTCACTCAAGCAGCAGGGGCTGTGTTACATCAGCTCTCTGGTTACAATTACAGCTCAAATGCTTACTTTATAGATGAGCGATCACTGTAATTTGCAGTCTGCCTCAGTGATGTTACTTGACCCAATTGTGCTCTTTGTATTGTGCTAATTAACTACTGTGATAGGTAGCTTCATTGAATGGATACCGGCCACAGTGCTTATGGGTCTCACTGCTAGACTGTAGGTGGTATATTTACACAGGCAGTATACACTGAGGGTCATCGACCCTGTTTTGTATACTTAAAAATGTACATACCGTTAAGAAATATTTTATAGCTACCGGTACATGTACTGTATGTTATTGAAACCATCGTTGTTTGGGTGTGGTTCACTACTGTGGCCAATAGAGGATGGAGCTGGAGGATTCTAATTGGTTGAGAGGTGGTCATGTGAGACTGTTGAAATCATGCATTAAACATTGACTTCTTTGTACAAATTGAGTACGCACGTTTGTTTGTGTTCCTTTCTTTATTTTGTTGTTCGTCAGAAGAGTGTGGGACAAAAACCTTGTTGAGCCATGGAGGAAGGACCATGGAGGTAGAATAAGGACACATGGCTGAGCAGAAACTTAACTACAGATTAACAATTTCAGAAAACCTGTGTTAAAGTGCATGCATGTTGTACAGTACGGGACCTATATATGGCAAGGTATTTTTGCTCAATCTTGTCTGTGCTTGGCAACCTGTAATACCTTGGAGCTGTGTTTTAATATCTCCATGGTAATACTCTTCAAACAGGTCCATGATACTGGCCTGATCATTGATATGACCACAGTCACATGAGCAGTCATGTGATTACATCAGCAGGCACGTCTTCAAGGACTGCACTAAGCTTTTTGTTTCCTCTGACAGTTGTCAGGGAAAAGGAACACTTACACAAGTCTAACCTCAGATTAAGAGTTGCTCAAGCGGAAATCCTACCCTAATTTATAATCTGGCTGGCCCACAATGAGGAACAGACCAGCTTTGTTTCTCTTTATGTGGTAATTAGACCGTGAACCAAGGAAGAGGCTAATAATAACTGTAGATAAGGACCAGTCCAGGCGCCAGTCTGGCGGAATGAGTTGTTTACAGTGCATGTTGCTTTTAATGACATAGTTGAAACAATGGATATACAGGGAAAAAAGCAACAAAGTGCAACTATTAGAACACACATGTACATGAAAATGGTGAATGTTTTATGCAGAGGTACATGTATCATACATGTATTTACATTTCCTACTATTCAGTCTCCAAAAATATGTGTAAAATGGAAATCAATCATTTATTGCTTATTGGGATTTTTCCTGGTGTTTCCTGTAATATTAATCTTTTGTGAGATGGATTTTTAATTCAGTTTCTAATTCTTACCTTTTCCCTTCTTGAGTTATGAGAAATATCTGGAGATGTGTCGGCAGTTATGATGTCTTTCCTGGTGTATTTTCAGGTTTTTCGTTATATTGCTAGTCAATAAGACCTGTTTCACTGGCCCAGTTATACTCGGGTACATGTATATTTTGCAAATGTGTTTCCACATTTGTTGGCCTTTAAAACTCAGCTTGGTGGTCAGTTTCTGCTTCTTTAACTAAGATCATTTTCACCGAAGTTAAACCTTTCTTTGTTTTCTCTCTTTTTGATCTCAGGCTCAGATGGACCTGCCTCCTGAAAAGGCACGGCTCCTTCGCCAGTATGACGATGATAAGAAATGGGATCTCATCTGTGACCAGGTGAGGAGGAGAAGCATCTCCTGGGCTGTTTGTTTGTCTGTCTGTCCGTTTCTCCACGTACTAGTGTCTTCCCTCTGTCGGTTTAGTTTTGTACGACATCAGTGCCATCTCTTGGGCTGTTTGTTTGCCTGTCTGTGTCTTTGCGTCACTGTCTTTGTTCAGTGTTCCTTTATTATTGTGAATGACCAACTGAGGATGAGAAGCATCTTGTAGGCTGTTTGTCCGTTTCTTCATGTGTTTTGTCTTCTTATCAGTCAGCTCGGTTTTACAACAGATCGATTTAAAAAATGATTGCTGTTTGTTTGGCCGTCTGTGTCCCTGTGTCAGTGTCTTTGTTCAGGGATCTGTTCAGTATTGTGAATGACCAGTTGAGGGTGCTACTGTTTGCCTGTCTGTCCATCCTGTTCTCTCTATTACTGTCTTCTCTCAGAGACTGTTCTGTCACGTCGCAGTTAGTGTCTCTTCATCAAATGTGATCAGGCAAGAAACTTAGAAAGGCAGCAATGGTTGTTTTGGTTGGCCATGGACATTTTATTTTCAAATATTTTGTTGCAGGAGAAAGTGTCTGCAAAAGATCCGCCCCACACTTACATCCTGCGAATCAAAAGGGTGATGGAACCAGGAAACACATCAAAGGTGAGACCAATTGATCCAAGTCTTTTGCTTTTTAATAGTAGAAATTCTCCAAAATAGTTCTTGATATTTCTTCTAGTTTACCTTAGGTCTTGGTTCTCAGACTTGCTGACAAAATTAACAAAATCATGTTTCATGTATCTGCTTTCAGCGCCAAAGAAAGAAAATATTCGACACATCGACACAGAACTTGAGAGATTTGGAAATTTCACTACGAACGAACAGTATACAGTGAGTATGGCCCTACAACCCCACCTCGTGACGACTTTGACCGCACCCATGCCCATCCGAAATAGCCCTGCCCCCGTCTCCGCAACCCTACCCCTATGTTTATTTGCCTCCCTGGTCACCTAATGGCTTTGCCACCTTTGTTTCCCCACCCTAGTCCCTGCCCATCCTCAGCTGGCTCCACCTAGCCCCATCCCCTCCAACCTGGCCCCGCCCAACCCTACCCCGCCCAACCCTACCCCGCCCAACCCTACCCCGCCCAACTCATTTTTGTGTCTCCACTTCTGGTATGGTTAATTTCATTGCAGCATTTAGCAACAATATTTTTATTCCAAACTACAGATGGGTACGAGAGTTTTTGAATGACGAGAATAACGGCCTGGATGTTTTGGTTGAGTATCTGCAGTGGCTCAACAAAGCAATGACGTGAGTAGTTCACAGATAGAGACGTGTCACGCATTGATGGTCGCTGTAATGGAGACCGAGTGCAGAAAAGATTTAGACAAGAACCTACATGTACGAACGCAGTGAACTTTGAAGGCATTCCTTTGTCATTGTTCGCAGAACTTATGATTTGATCTGTGGTGAATTCGGTGACAGCTCAATGTTGTGTTGAGTATGACCCACCTGTGTGATCATGTGATTCGTTACAAATGATTATGAAGATGAACAAAGAAATTGACTGGAGCGGGATTTGAACCTGCGGCCTCCAGAACACCGTACTGGTGCTCTACCAACTGAGCTATCCTGCCCTACGTTGGTGGCTCTTCATTTGGACTAGTACAATGCACAAACCTTGGAGACTTCCTAGGAAAATTGTGCACAAGGCATGTGCAGTATTGTGTATGTCATAGCCCCAGTAAAATTGTTTCAGTTATATTCTGAAGCTTTTAAGTTGGGATCTGTCTTTAGCTCGTTCTTATGTAATTATAATTTTTATGTTTCAGTGTTTGATAAAGTCTTTGCTGTTGTCTTGACACATTTTCAAATCTTGCTTTCTGAAGTAATTTTTGTTGTACTCGTCTTTCTTTGTAATGCGCATTCAATCGTTGGTATGTAGACAGCGCAAATTTAATACAAATACAAATTTAATTAATTGTTATGTGGTTTGGTTGGTACTCCGCAGCTCTGAGAAGAACTACACGTTGTGCCTTTCTAAAATTCTAAATTGCCCAATGGCACAGTGTGCCGCCATTTCCACCAGGCTGCAGTAACCTTCACTTCCAAATTATTATGACCTGATTTTTGCTCCGGGAAATTCCAGAAACATTCCCCTCCCCTGCTGTCTGAAACTAAATTGACTTAAACCCGAAGACCGAAAATACAGAGTGAAAGTTCAGCCAAATCTGTCCACTCGCATTTGTTTCAACCCAGAAGATAATAAAGTAAAAGTTCTTTCACTTAGGGAAGTTCTGTAAGTGATACTTTTTGAAAACAAAAGTGAAAAGGGGAACATGACCTGATTTAATTTGAAGTTGAATGTATATTTTAATGTGAATATAAATATACCAGCAACACGACACCGCGAGTCATCGATTATCTTTTTACTGTATTTAATATAAATATATTCGCAAGCAGTCGAAGAACTGATGTAGTTTCCTGCATGATGTCACTGCTGAGCGGAACCAGCGTGTTTGTTTAGAGGGAAGCGGATGTTTACTGAGTGACATTGAGAGCGTGTATTTAAGAACATGACTTCTGTGTTTGCATAAGGAACCAGACTTAATGATTACAGGCCGTGTTTGTGACACTGAATGACATCATCTTTTGGATTGCTCCAGATTTTGACTGTGGTAGACTACCGCCATGCTTGTCATGCAAACCTTGTTTCTCCATTGCAGAGTTTCTGAAAACTGCTGCACTTTGAAAGGGATGAAGTCATAGAAAATGTATCTCCAGTTATAAACAATATTTATGTTTACAATACATATTATATTATATGATAAGTGTACACTATTGATATTGATACAGTACACACATTGTTTGTGTTCAAATGTTAGCAGTTTCATCAGTCTGTGGAGAATAAGTCTTTGGAGGGACTCTCGTGGGTTGTGACCCCTGACCTCGGGTTCAGTAGTGTAGATACGGTATCTCAAATGCTCAACCACCTAGGTAGCTGCAGGGTGCCTAGCAACAGTCTGTCAAGGCAACAAGCACTGTAGTTGTACAAAGTCCGTTACCAGTCTCTAGTCAAATCACAAGTCTTTTACAGGGGCATTTCTTTGTTGTTAGCTCCCTGCCCAACAGTGGCTGGACTTGCGCATTCACACATGGCAGACATTTAAATGGACTTGAAAGTCTCCAGTGCTACCCGTTCCTATGACATGTTGTTTCTTGACTTCTCAGGTTTGAGGAGCAGCAGGAGACCCTCCCCAAGACCGTCTCGTCGCGCAGCGTGCGAAGCACCCGGCGCGGTTCCAAGCCTGGTGGGTCACCCAACCACCTGGCCATCACGCGGGACGATGTCCACGTCTGCATCATGTGCTGCAGGGCAATCATGAACTTTCAGGTAAACAAACAGACAAACAAACCAACCCTCACCTCCCTTTGCCATGCAACATCCCTCGTGTTTCCCCTGTCATGGATCCCAGAACCTTCTGTCTACTACAAACAAATGCATCTTCACCCTCTTATTTTACAGTACGGCTTCAATCTTGTGATAAACCACAACGAATGTATCAATGCAATAGCACTCAGCCTCAATCACAAGAGCCCAAGGTAAGAAAAAAAGTTTTCTGAAATATACCCAATCAGAAAATGACAAAATTTTCTGACAAAAGGCCCTCCTAAATATGCACTCCTCTATGTGGACAAGCGTGTTATTTCTTGTGTTGAACTGAGAACATAAGATGTCCACACAACGTAGGTAGTGGAGACGTCTTGACTTGCCTGGGTCCATGCCACGTTTTCCCCTCGCTGAAAAACAGGTTCAGAGGGCATTTGGGAATAAGTTTTACCCGTAGCAGAAGAAAGAGGACCAGTCAAGGAAACCAACAAATATCTGGTCTAAGATATTATTCACAGTACAAGAAAAGTAGTATTTTCACCAAGTTTCTTAACTGCTTGAGGAACAGGTGTGCATTGCTAACACTTGTGCACTTACAAACACATGAGAACCGGGCCTCAATCACATTCTAGACAACAATCTTCTTTATCCAACCCCAGAACCAAAGCCTTGGTCTTGGAGCTCCTTGCGGCCGTCTGCCTGGTCAAGGGAGGACATGAGATAATCCTCCATGCCTTCGACAACTTCAAGTTGGTGAGTGATGACCGCAAGACCAGCCGACTTCAATATTATGACAGTCCAAGGAGAGAAAATTAATTTGAAGGTTTTATTGGGATTAAGGCTACGATAAGCAATGCTGGCCAGAGAGTTTATATTCATATCAGAATGGAAAATGAAATATTTGTCATAGGATTGAATCATTCAAGCTGTCAAAATAAACAGGACAGACCAGGGGTTCGTACGTTGGAACTTCCATCCATTTTTTTTTCCCCATCGAAAAATTTCTGACTTTGGCAGCGACATATTACTCACTCGATCAGATAAACAGTGTAGAGAAATGTTAAGCCTAGCTTGATCTGATGAGCCAAGAAAAATCCAGACCAAATTAATTGGTTGCACACCTACCCCAAAACAAAGAGGTGACTGTTGAGCATCAAGATCTCTCCATAGACATGGTAGTTTTCCTTTGTCGTTCCTTCCAGGAGTGCGGCGAGAGGTATAGGTTTGAGAATCTGTTTCAGTACTTCCAGAAATATGAAGACACAAATATAGACTTCATGGTAAGTTTGGGTGACAAAACCTCACAATTTCCCATTGTTTTTTCAAACCCACTTATACATGCAATTGCCCGCCTTTAAAATCTTATGCGTAGAAAGGACATCGAGCATTAAAAGGTTTTCTCTGAGTCGTAAACAGTAAAATGTTAGTTAAGCTCTTAGCAAAGGAATCCTTGGAACAAATTTTGAGCCACTGAAAAATCATCTCAATTGCACATTGCAAGCCTTCTGAGAGACATTTCATAATATATCACATCTATTTCAGATTGTATTTGAAAAAGATTATAAATAAAACTTGCCAATCATTTCTCAAAATGGAGATATTAAAGGCGATTATTGAAGTTTGTCGTTGCTGTCGACTTTGCACCCAAGAAAGGCAAGTTACTCTCACATTCCTGCCGAACCAAGTTGGGAACTTTTCTGTCGTCTAGTAAGATTTCAGTGTGTACTTTTCTCTTTGGATAGGTTGCATGCATGCAGTTCATTAACATAGTTGTACACTCAGTGGAGGACATGAACTTCCGAGCGTATCTACAGTTTGAGTTCACCAAGTTAGGACTGGACAAATACTTGGAGGTGAGAAGGTTCTTGTAGTTTCTGCTTTCCAAGGGCAGAGCCGCAGCCCAATTTTTTGGAGGGGTGGGGGATTTGTTTGGGGAACCCCAAAATTTGGAAATTTTCCGTGTAAGGCTACTTTGGTGGCTTTTTGCACACTTGTGGGAAGAAATGGAACGAGAGGAAAAAATCACCTACCTCTCATTTTGTTTTTTGGGGAGGGAAGGGGGTCCATTTGGCCACCCTTAATCTGCCCTTGCTACTTTTGTGTCCAAAGTTACTGTATAACACACACCTGGTTCCCAGTTGAGGTATGAACTCTGGTTTATAAAGCCACATAATTGTTGTGCACTGGTCCTAGTACTAGTTCTAATGATCAGTTGGATTGGATTTCCTGCCTGATGCCAAGTCAAGTCCTAGTTCTTGTTCAACCCTTAAGTTTTATCCCACATTTCATCCCAAGTCCAGTCTTAGTTCTTGTTCAACCCTTAAGTTTTATCCCACATTTCATCCCAAGTCAAGTCCTAGTTCTTGTTCAACCCTTAAGTTTTATCCCACATTTCATCCCAAGTCAAGTCCTAGTTCTTGTTCAACCCTTAAGTTTTATCCCACATTTCATCCCAAGTCGAGTCTTAGTTCTGCTCCAGCACCTCACTTTTATCTGAAGTCTAATAACAAGTTAAGTTGTAATTCTGATGCAGTCCCTCAACCTCTGTCTCAAAACTGATACCAAGTCCCTAGTTTTTGAGTCCCTAACCTTTATCCTATATCCAATCCTAGCTTGACTCCTAGCTCTGTTTCAACTGAGCTTAACTCATATCATACTAAGTTGAGCCACATTTCTTGTTTCTAACCTCGTGCCTTCTGCAATTCACAGAAACTGAAGAACACAGAGAGCGACCGCCTCCACACGCAGATCCAGGCCTACTTGGACAACATGTTTGACGTTGGCCAGTTAATGGAAGACTCAGACACCAAGAACCTGGCACTTGAGAGAGTCGGACATTTGGAGGAGAACCTCTATCAAGTAAGGCTAATATCCAACATATAAGGTTCCCTTACTTTTAGTATTTACCTTTGAGACTAAGTTTCTTGGCTTCTAGTTAGTACTTTTTTAAAAATACCTGTTACGAAAACCTGTCATGCATTTAGGGATATCTGCTTAGAAATGATGTCTAGCGAGCCTTTTAAAAAATTTTTCCGTGGTTTTTTTTAACATTAAACATTTTTTTGTTTTCTGTCTCTGTAGACAAACGAGCAGTTGCGACAGGTGGAAGATGCATCTCTTGCTAGAATAGCAGAGCTTCAGTTGGAACTAGCCTCAGCTACCAAAGACCTGGACACCCTCAGGGTAAGGTCGTCGGACCAGTGAGATCCACCCAGTTCCTCGTGCAGGGTTTTTTGTATCAAGTCTTGGGTGCAGTCTGAACACTGCTCAGTCTCTTGAATCTTCCACAAGCCATCTGGAGATGTTACAGGGTTTTGTAGGATCGAGGAAGGTAGAGCCCAGACTCTATTCATTCATTTACACTGGGGCTTAATACCCCTTTGAAAGTTTGGGTTAGGTTTCATGTAGGTTAATGTATGAGAAATGTGTTCATGAACAGTGGTGGATTTCTAAGGCTTCGGGAAGATTTGTAGTAAGATTTTCGGTAGTCTTCCTCCAGGAAAGATCAATGTTTTTGTTTCTGTTGAACTATCACATTAAGGTCCAGAAGAAGGAGGCCGATGTCGCGATCGAGACGTTAAAACGAAATTCAATTGCCCGAGGACCGGGGAGTGGTGGAGGGGGTGGAGCTGGAGCTGGGGGCGGTGGCCCAGGGGGCTTTGGCCCCGGTGGTGGTGGTCCTGGAGGACCTGGTGGCCCAGGCAGTGGCGGACCTGGCGGTGGCGGACCTGGCGGTGGCGGACCTGGTGGTGGAGGAGGCTCCGGACCTGGTGGAGGATTCCCCCCACCCCCAGATGACTGTAAGTAGATGCAGACAGTAGATAATATACCAAATATTTTCTTTAAAATTGAGGAACGTGACTTTGAATAGGCAGAGGTGACTTATGGATTGGCTCAATTTTAGTGTGGTGGAGCGAAGTTCAGGTCTTGAAAATGAAGCATATAATGTGGAAATAAGACACTTCTCCCTTAAGGTAGCGTATGTCTGTACCTGCATTTCTAAATGATAAATAGATCAAAGCTTTGAAAGTAATTTCTCAATCAGCAAGAACTTTAAAAGAGAGGGTGATAATTCACACCAATTGGAGACACATGTAGAAATCTTAAAGACCGAGCAAGCAATAACAGCCCTTTTTTTCTCATTTTTCTTCTGCAGTACCTCCACCGCCCCCACCCCCTCCCCCACCCCCTCCTGGTGCAACGCCCCCGCCCCCTCCCCCACCCCCATCATTTGGTGGTGGACCTCCACCCCCTCCCCCGCCGGGACCTCCCCCTCTCCCTGGCGGTATCCTTGGAGCAGCCCCAGATGGATGTAAGTGGACGCTTCAGACTGCTATGTAGTTTGTCATTGGATGACCCTTAATATCAGTGGTGTTTCTGTCTGAAAGTTCCATGTATTTTTGTACTTGCTGTCCATTCGGATTGGCTCTGATCTAACCTGATTCCATTGGTATTTTTCAGTTGATTCCAGTGATATGCTTTATGCAGTTTGGTTGGGCAATATTCGGGTTTGACTTTTCAAGTCCATTTATATGGCCTTGCTAAGTTGAACTTGGCAATGAAATTTTGCATTGCAGTTTAAATTGGAGTCAGTTTATTCTAAGTTGAATTGATTTGAAAATGATTGAAGATTTGAGAATTTTGATTTGATTTGTGTCATTTGGAATCTAGTGATTCAGTTGATTGGGTTGATTTGAATGATTTGATGTCAGTCAAGTGATTTCATTTGTTTGCTTAATCAATACATAAGTTTCTTTGTGTCCATACACTTTGTTAATGATTTTGCCTTTTGGATATGCAGCTGTGACCATAAAAGGCAAGATCCATACCAAATACCGTCTGCCCCTCCTCAACTGGAGTCCCTTCATGCCCAATCAAATCGGTGGCACCGTGTTCAGCGAACTTGACGACACCAAAGTCATGAAGGTGGGCGAGAGACAATGACTCATTCCTCATTTCACCATGCTCCTTTGAGGAGAATTCCTTATTCCGTTGGACAGGTGTTTCAATCCTTTAGTGCTTTTCCGCCACCCCTTTCACTGCAGGACATCAACTTTGAGAACTTTGAGGAGATGTTTAAGACCCAGAACCAGTCCACGGGCAACTTTACGGCCAAGGATGGGCCCAAAAAGTCCCCCTCCAAGAAGAAGCAGCAGTCGCTGCTGGACGCCAACCGGCTGCAGAACATCTCCATCATGCGGCGGAAGATCGAGCTGTCGGCCAAGCAAATCACAGAGGCAATCAGAAGGTAAGGCTGCTTTTTTTTTTGCCTGGCATCTCACAGGACCCCCCTCAAAAACAAATGTTCCAAACTCTGTCCCATTGTGTTTTCGGTGCAGAAATAAATTGGACGTGTTTATATTCCCTCTAGATGGAATGCTAGTGTGGCATGTAGGTTGAATATTTCGAAGCAAATGCTTGAATCCTTAGTGCACTCGGATCAATTTCAAGGAGCTATGAAGTACAGAAATTTGTTCGAAGTTTATTTTCGACCTGGCTGCTGTGGCTGGTGTGGAAAGAGGCAAATTAGGATAAAGTACCTTGCCTGAGAACACAACGCATGTTTAGGTTCTGGCAGCTTTGACTTCCAGTTGTGGGTCACCAGTGCTGACCTGACCCATTTTTTTTCCAGCATAAATTAAACTATCTCCTGGAGATGGTTGGAGGAGAAAATTTTTGACTTGAACAATCTTTGTGTGGGACAGTTATTGGAAACTTTTTTTATCTTCTCCAGGATGGATCTGAGCCTGTTGGAACTGGACACGGTGGAGCAGCTGCAACGATTTGTACCCAACGAGCAGGAAGTGAAAGCCTTCAAACAGTACGAGAAAGATAAGAAACCCATCGAGCAACTGACAGAAGAAGACAGACTCATGATCAGCGTAAGTTGACAGAACAAAAACAATCAGTTCCAAGCTGAAGCAGATTACTATTCAAAACCTGTTTTATTTGTGACTAGTTTTCCACACAGCTGTGACTTTTAAATCTTTAGATATCCTCCAATTGTTCTTTTTGTCGTCTTCGGTAGACTTTCAAGACTTGCTCTTTTTTTTTGGTCCCAATAGTTGTCCAAAGTGGAGAGACTGGCAGACCGTTTGTCCGTCATGAGCTTCATGGGTAACTTTGCCGACACAATCAAGGCGATCAAGCCGGTGGGTGGTAGATGTGACACGATACTTTACATCTCAAATCTGAGACTCGTTTCACGTGAAAAAATTCCTGGTGCATGGTTGTGGAGCTGATCTTGTAGAGGAAAGAATCCAATCAAAGACTGATTTATATTAAAATCTTTCAGTAGAATCGAGTGGAAAGTTTTGTCTGCTTTTAAATCAGTGGAAAATAATTTTCTCATCGAAGCCTGTTTATTTACAACTTGTGATTTCTGAAGGTGAAAAGAGATTATAAAATGTACGAGGAATTCCACAAAAATTTACTGAGCTTTCTTAATATTTTTATTTTAGCAATTGAATGCCATTACGTCAGCATCTCTCACCATCAAGACCTCGGCTCGTCTCAAGAAGATCTTGGAGATCGTCCTGGCCTTTGGGAATTACTTGAACAGTGCCAAGAGAGGGGCAGCATACGGCTTCAAGTTGCAGAGTCTGGACACGGTAAGAAAAAACTACTAGCCAGCTCGTGTCCATGAGCAAGCTATTTTATCCTGATATTTTCAGATATGCATCTATGCGTATTCCTCGCTATGGGCTTTTTGGCCTTTCCTGTATCATTATCAATTTCATGTTTTTCCTCGTGTGTGCGCATTTTGCTTTATGGAAATTTTCTGTCCGTTTCTTCCTCATTGGCTTTCTCGTTGTGTGCTTTTTTCTTGACACCCATATTTGAATTATTTGCTTTCTTTTTTGTTTTAGTTACTGGACACCAAGTCGACAGACCGGTCCATGACGCTGCTGCACTACATTGTGGAGACAGTGCAACGCAAGTTTCCCGGTGCAGCCGATTTCTGCTCTGATCTTCAATACGTCGAAAAGGCATCTGCAGGTGAGAGCATATTTTGAGGGTTTTTGTTCTTGTATTTGTGAGTTTTTCTAATTTCAGTGAATTGTTGACCGGTTTATTTTGTGGCTCAAATCTCATTGGACAGTAGGGCAGTGCTGAATATTTAATCATTTGTTGAATATTCAAATTTTATTTTTTGAATTTGAATATTTGAATACAAAGGTCATGAAAGGATGGACAAATTTTCTTTTGTTTTAAATGCACTGTGGAGGCTTGTTTCAAGCAGATTCAAATGAAAAGCGTCGGAAATCTTACAATGATTTAAAAAGTAAATTATTCATCAAACAATTTAAAAGGAATAGAAATTTTCAACAGGGCAAGAAGTCTTGTTCATCTCTTTAATCTTGCTATATCATGGCTGGAAATACTCCTAGATGTGAGAAGCTATTGTATTGATCATAATGTACAATTAAGTGTATAATCACAACTGATTTTGTATATGGTTAGTTCATCAACAATCTGCCGGTCCCTGCAACTGAATACTCAGATATTCGATCAAATTGAAGGTCGAATATTCGAATAGTGAATTATTTGAATTGACTCAGGCCTATTGGACATTTTTGGGCTGTCTTTTTATTTCTTGACAATACTGGATAGTAAGAAATGAATAAATGTCTTTGTTGAACCATCTCCAGTTTCTATAGAGAACCTGACGTTAGACATCAGGCATTTGACGGCAGGAATCCAGCTCTGCAAGAGGGAGTTTGCCCAGCAGCATGAGAACTCTATCTTGAGAGATTTCCTCCTGTCCAATGAAGACAAGGTCAAAAAAGTTGACAGTGACATGAAGAAAGCCCAGGTAATAAGCACAGACACTTCTTTCAAGTCACCAAAATTTGCAATTCGAGTGAATCCAACTTCCACGAGTGGGTTTTGAATTAAATCTGACTATAATAGCCAAATTTATGAAAGTTGCCCATGAAGTTGTCGCTGACCCCGTAAAAAATTGATTTGTAATGAAGGAAATGAAATATGCTGGTTTTAATATGAAACTTGTTGATTGGTTCTTTGCATCTGCTGCCCTGTTCTTGTTGCTAGGAAGCATACAATGATGCTGTTGGTTACTATGGCGAGAACCCCAAGATGTGCCCACCCAGCACGTTCTTTGCCCTCTTCCACCGCTTTGTCAACTCTTACAAGGTAGCTCATCGTTTCTTCATCAGTGAATTGCCGTTGTTGAAAAGAACAGTGAATGTGGGCATAAAGTATGCATTTGTAAACAGTATGGGAGCTTTGCAGCAAGCATTAACCCCTTTGCGCAGGACGCGGGTAGAGCCGTCGTAAAAATTGAGATCCTCAGCCCGCTTTTCAGCTATTATTCTCGGTCCACGCTCGAGCGAACACGGTGAAAGAAGGCAGACCCTGGCTCTTGTATATATGGTAATTGGTCCTTGTGCGTAGCCCAGAAATGAAAAGATTGATTTTGCATCATAATCAGCAGCTTCACAATAGTCCCCACCTTGAAAAGAAGCCACGGGAATGTGGAAGGGTGAGTAGCCGCATGCCACCAAACAATCAGCCTTTTCACCGTGTAATTCAAAGCGCGCAGAGCACGCAGGGCCACAAACCGAGAATTTGCGGTTTGGCAGGTGGCCTTTGTGGCCATGCGAGGCTGGAATTCTTGGAGTCGGCTTGCAGGAAGAAATTCCCGTCATCAAGGGGTTAAAGAATATATGCCACATTCTGTTGGATGTTGATGATTAATTTTTATGCCTTGGTGGTTTAATTTCAGAAAGCGGAAGCTGACAATGAACAGCGAAGAAAACAGAAGGTAATGTTTCCGTCCGCCTGACCCTTCCCCCAGAACAGGAAAACTGTGTTTAAATGTTTTGGTTTTATTTCTAGTGTAGCGTACTTGGTTTAATTTTTTGCGTGAGTTTCTGAAAAAATACTCTGCTGTTGTCCTTTTTATAGGGGATTTTTCAATTCATGACACGAAGGTTTGGTTTATCAATCAGCAAAACATTCATGCACATTGTATTCAGAGAAGGTTTTCTATTTTTCCCTGTAATGCAGGAAGCGGCCCTAGAGACTGCAGCAAACATTGCGGCTGCTCAGAAGGCACGCAAACACAAAGATCAGAACAAGATCAATCAGGTATGTGCCTTGCCAGTAGAGGGCGCTGTTTCTTCCTACCCCCTCATATATGGGAGTGTATGTCTGAAAACCAGCATTGTCAGCAACTGCATCATTAAAACCACATATTTTGAGAGGATTCTTATGGTGAGGTAAAGTGGTTTTCACTACAAGAAGTATACTCTAGCAATTTGATGTCAGGCCAGTGACCTTGTGCACTGTGTAAAAGGTCGCTTTGAAACATACATCGGCAAGTTCCATTGATGACCAATTGTTATCCTGTGGTTAATTTTCCCTGGTAACCTGTGCACAAAACATCCGGGCAAAATAGTTGACAAACGGTTCTTGCTCAAACTGCCTCTGAGGTGCTGAGAGTTACTGAGTAACAATGCCACTGTCAACTCAGCTTGAATCACTTTGGTTGCGTCTCATCTGGGATTTTTTTGGTTCTTCCCGGCAGGACGCCATGGTGCTTGAGCTACAGAAGAAGCACAGGAACCATCAGGACAAGAGGCGAGAAGCCTCCGACGGAGCCATCGAAAATATTATCTCAGGTACGGACAGCGTTTTTTAAAATTGCTGAACGAAGGCTTCTGTATTCTTTGATTCTTTTCTTGACTTTGAAGGAGTGTAAGGATGCTTTGAAGGTATATACATACCCTCAAGGGTCCACCCTTTTATTACCCCTGATAACCGTGCATAGAAATCATTCCTGTACACTGTAACTCCTTGGTGAGTACAGCAGGATTGCACTGAGCTGAATGATCGCACATTTATTACGAGTATGCTGCCATCATGGCTACCCTGCTGTAGCCATTTTGCTTCATTGGAATGAAGTTCTTGGCTCACAAGGACATAGATACCACTTGCTGGGTTGAACCCAAGACCATCGATGCGTGCATGTCAATTTTCATGTTTTCTGTTTTTATTAACGCCTGGTGCGAGACATGCCAGGTGTAAGTAATGAGGATTTTTTCACTGTTTCATTCGCAGATCTGAAAAATGAGCCTTACCGACGAGCAGATGGAATCCGACGCAGCCTACGGCGGAAACAGCAAGAAAACCTTCGACCCACAATCCTCTCCAATGAAATGGTGATCTAAATCAGTCCCCAAAATAACACCTCTCAGGAGAAAACCTTTGATACAACAGCTGATGGTGTCAGCATTCACAGGTCAGAGTTGACATTCTCTGAGAGAGAAAAAGTCAAGTTGCCTCCCTTGCCAAGATGGTTCAAATGTTCTCTGCTGGCTATAACTTGGCTCTTTGCATTGAACTGGAATATTTCAAGTTCCGTTTGTAAATATGAGGGGCACCCCCAACATGTTACCACTTTGCTAACAGATAAATGACTGGTATTTAAAAAGAACAGGATTAATTTAATCTCAACTGTATATATGTGGAGCTCCCCTCTCATAAAGTGCCATATTAAAATCTAAGCATTTTCCTTGTACATAGCAAGTTGTTAATGACATTACATTTTTTTTATAAGACTTAATAGGGCTGTGCTCCCCCTGTGTGGGGTGTGCCCTGAAATTGCTGGTAAATTTGTATTTAGTCAGCAAAGCCTTAGCACTGAACAGAGTCATCCTCAAATATTGCCCAAGAAAAAATAGGAAGACCATTAGACTTTTGTATAAAAGTTACCATTAGTGTAAAGATGATGATCTTTTTTAAGTTACAATTTTGAAAGGAAAATGGAGTGAGATTTGATGGATTCCCCCATATCTTTTTTTTTTTAAATGGAAGCTCCAATCTTTGCCAAATGTATGCCAAAGTTTTATGACAGAGCTAGTGATATATTCGGAGGAGAGTTAGACTCTTTGTAGAGCTTTCTAGATGTTTGAATCGACGAGACACGGGCGCCAGGAGTCAATCCTTCCACTGTTCTTTCTGGAGACAAAACATCTCTTCCATGTAAAGGTTGCAGAATGATGCCAATATCTTCCCTAAGTTGGTCAAAATCTCAGTGAGTTTGTTATTGGTCAGGAAAGCACCAGCTGCAGCAAATGTAACTTAAATGAAGTCCCTGTCAACTCTTCATCATTTCCTTCTTGTGGTAGTGGCGCATGTGTGTAGATCTGTTTCACCCACGACTGGTTTGCGCTAAACATGAACAATACCTCCACGTGTGGGCCACCGTGGCCACGGTCATCGCATATATTGTTATGGGCAGCTTCAACCACGGACAAACGCAAATGCGCATGCTGCATGCTTGACTAATTTATCTTGAATAAGTAGATTACCATCTCAACACTATCCACTCATTACCATCACAACAGATCGTGGTGCAGCACGATTGTGACATCACAGGAAAAAGGTCTGTAGCAAAAATTTATTTGAAATATCGACAAGATGTAGGACAAAATTACGAATGAGAATTGTCAGGTGATCAATGTTCTTTTCGCTTGTAATGGACAACCATTGTATGTGAACAACCCACGGGCATTGTATAGATACTTTAGTATGTTTTATATTGTAAAGTATTTTTAAAATTTTTTTTGTCTAATTAAAGAGTTCAGTCTGTACGATTTTAAAATTTTGAAGCATTTCTAAATTTTTTTCGTACATTGGATTTTAACATGAACAATATGGACCTATCTGGAATGAGCTTCCTTCTCAATTGTGCAGTTTTCTCTAATGATGTGGTGATGATGGCCTATTTTAAAACCAATTAGAATCTACCTTTTTTGACACTTTCAGAGAAGCCAATCGTATTGCCTGTTTCAAAGCTTTAGATTGTGCAGACATTTTGTCCACTAATAAGAACAGTAGTCAGGATCACATGGCGACAGTGTAACCAATCAGCTGTGATGTTTTAACAGTGCTTTTAGAAGAGAAGCAAACAAGGATTTTGAACCAGAATGTCTGTTGCCACAAAAGGAATATTCTTAATAGACAAAAACCAATTGAAATTGGTACCGATATGCAAAGAGTGAAATACATTGTAAATGGAATGTGAGTGTATATTTTTTATGGAAATTTCAAACTTTAGTGTATTTTACTTGTGCACTCTAGCAATGCTTATGTAATCTTAGGTTAACAACCACAAGAAATGATTTTGTTTTAATTGATGGAAGATTTTTGCCACTTTTTTGTTCCTACTTCGACGCCTCTGCTCTGTTCCATTCCTCATACCTTTAGTGTAATTTCGTTAACAGTACTGGGTTCGAATGCTAATTAATGGGGCAGCGTGGACATCCGGGAGTTTCACAGAAATACGGGTAGCAACCACACCGCGCCGATGAAAACAATTGCAACGAGCACGCGCGTACGTACAGATCAAAAAAAGATTGTATAAGCCGATCCTCGGATCGGGCTGGTTGGTGCGTGCGTACGTCGCCAAGGTCGCTGTTTCCACCGGCGCAGTACCTGTCATTTTGCGAGAATCCCGGATGTCCGCGCTGCCCCGTAGGGATCATAAACATTTGACATTTTTAAAAATAAATTAAAGCAAATAGTGCACATTTCTCTTTTTGTCACAACAATGCGACGTAGCCCTGACAATAAAAATAAAAACATTTCCACGGATGAGGTCGTGATGAAATTGCCCATGAAGGAAGTATCCAGTCATTGTTCGTAGTGCCCTCTGTTGACGTCAATGGTTAGAAAAACTGTCATTTTTTCTATATATTTTGAATACGGGCGATTCACAATAGTGCGTCACCAAGAGTTTGCAATACATTGGCCAATCATAACGCGCGAAATTTGTCGACCCTTTCCAAACGCATTGAAAAGTCTTGGTGGCACACTATTGTAAAATGGCCGTCTTGGCCAATATTAATGTCATTTCTCTAGATACAAAATGTCTCACGAAATTTATATTTTGGATTCCAATATTTTGCCCAGATTCTAGCATAAACCATGAAACAATCCTCTAGCTTCAAGACGACTTGTTTCATGAACTTATGTCATAAAAATACAATTTTTTTTAATCTAGAGGGCGCCTTGCACACTTGTTATTTTGAGATGGTCCACGTTTGAGTTGTACCGTTTCTAGTCTCCTTTTGCATTTTAAATAAAGGGAATTTTGCCCATTGGAAGATTCTGTGTATTGAGGCATGGTTTGGGTACAAGTATTTCACGGAGAGAGAATGCAGTTCGATATTTTGAAACGGCTCACTGACGGTAATTTGTCTACATTGGCTTCTGTAGGTGGAAATATGGACACACTATAAATACAAAAAATGTATTACATTGAAGAACCAGAATGGCTGGTTTTCCTGTTTGAAGGGAAAATATTTGATGCATAACCGGCTTTAAATAGCATTTTGTGAAGGTCACAAAAGATACCGACGCAGTGCACAGACCTGAAATTCCGGAAGATTGCAAGGTTTGTGTTGAGTTAAATCATGAAGTTCGGGCGTATTTTGTCACTTTTCCTGTGAAAAACTGTACGCCGTCCCGTTTTCTCTTAATTTCAGACGAAGGTGTTCACATATGCATGCAAAGCATTGTGAATTGATGGCAGGAAACATGTTTCCAAAGGTATTTTATGAAATAAAACATTGCGATGAATATGTTACAAGCGAGTTGTCTCTTCTGTATCGTTCTTATCGTTACAAGTTCTTTCTGTTTTCATTTGAATCTGAGACAAGTCATGCCTCTCCCCCCCACCGTTGTGTTCCCCAACAGTTTGCCCCTCCCCCCGACGTCTTATGCGCGTTGACGTCGCTGCGCGTCGACCCAGAAAGCTCCGCCCACTGTAAACGTAACTCTAATTATAGAGCACGGACCCTTGCTCTTAACAGGTGCGCCCCTTTACCCAATGCCACCCTACACCTATTGCCTCCCATGCGCGGCTGCACGATCGGGCGTTTGTGCTTGCATAATGTAGGACAAACTCATGGCTATGGTTGGTCAGAACACAACGGGGCGGGGCGTAATGGATCTGTCTCTTGAAAAAGTAAACGTTCGCCAAAAACTCAAGAAAAAAGTAGGAGATTTTGGTTAAGGAACTATTTATCCTATCTAGTTATTAGATATTGTGACCTGAGAAACAGATCTCTCTTTTTTATCTGTTAATAAAGTGTTGGCGTAATTCACATCGGGGAAAAAACTTTGACTCGTACCAACGCTGACAGTCAAAAGGTAAATGTACATGTACGCTGCATGTTCACGAATGCACATTGTGTAGGCGAGAGTCCACATAAAATAAAACTTCTGTGTCGAATCTCTATGCTCTAACTGTGTGGGGAAAACGACTACAGACTCAAATATAGAAAAAAGTCACATTCGAGTTTTGGTGCAATCCTTCCATAGTCTTCATTTTTAAATCATATTAAAATCAATCAGATATGAAAACATGGGTGAACTTTAATCATGTGTGACGCAAAGCGCCAATGCAATGTAGATTTTGGTCTTACTTTTAGAGAACTGATTCCTACGGCTCTTGCGGTTCGAGAGGAGGCACGATTGTCGTGCAAATCCAATTTTGTGTCAAATCAAAATGGCGACCAGCACTGGCGCAGAGGATCGTTTGCTGCCAACGCGGCCGCGCCGCTATGTCTATGCCTAGGAAGAGTCGTCATCGCCGCTCTTTGTAAGTTCTGTACATATACTGTTTATCTATTTTCGTCAGAACATGAAATTATTTTGATCTTTGCAGTGATATCTGTGCCACTTTTCAGTCATGTCGACAGCTGTGGATCTTTTCACCAACGACTTGATCATGTTGAACCGGAAAGAAAGTTAAAACGCATGGCTTGGACGTTACACGTTGCACGAAGGCATGGGTGGGCCTAATTATGCTAACGTTACACGTCGCTGGAAATTTAATATTCTTATTTATTGATGTGTTTGTTTGCGTTTGCCAGTTGTGTCCCAATTAATGTTCCATCATCTTCCATCATGTGCAGTTTTTACGTTGAAATGGGGTTTGTTTGGTATATGTCTGTTTGCAGTACAAGTTTCGATTAAGAAGAGTTTATTTGCCAAGTTTGTGTTGAGGTGTTCATATGTCCTGGGCAGACGGTTTAAATTAACACAAAAAAGGATGAGAGTTTACTTTTACAAGTTTAGGAAGAGGGAAAAACAGGTGTTCATAACCTTTAGCACCCTGTTCCTATGATAAAGGAACAAATTCTACTTTTTCAAAACAACTTCTAGAAAAGGGTTGGTGATGTCCTCTTTCATATCAGAAAGAAAAGGGAACAGGGATTTTGGTTTTGAGGGAAATTTGGGGGTAAAATGGCAATGTACATGACCGCCCTGAAGAGATATGAATGATGACAAATTAACGAATGTAGTCTGGTTCTTTGACCTGGATGGAGATTTTTTTTGATGAATCCAAAATGCCTGAGTTCGGGTAACCAGATGAGAAACAAAATGGCAGGATTCTGTGATTTGACAGAGCAGTTATCTTTTGCCAAACTGAGGTTAGAAATTTGTGGTTTTTCTTGAATAAATATTGTAAAAATTTACCTAACCTAGGCTTTTCAGGATTAAGTAATGGTTTCTTAAGGTCAAAATGTTAGTCTGAGAAAGTGGACTTTGGTTTCCTTATCATAGGAACAGGGTGCTAAAGGAAATGAACACCAAAAAAACAAGTGAGGTAGTGGGAGAGAGTGGTATACAAATTACCAGACAGATGAGGCTCCCCTGAACTTAAGTAACAAATGCTGATGATTATGATTTTGTAAACTAGGCCTACCCCCAGAACTGTGGGGTTTGGCGTCCGCTGTGGGGAGTGTGGTAGAAGTCGAAACCCACAGTTCTTGGGGGATATTTGTCAACATGGTTAATACCCCTAGGGAGAACTTAACTGGATGAAGGAAATTTATTAAGTCTATCAGCATCATCTATACACCTGTACATTCATAATGACCCTTTTACCCCCTCTAGGCCTAAACATTTCTGAATACTCTTCCATTGGTTCCTCTTGTGAATTTATACGGTTCGATGTTTTGCAAGCCTAATTCCTCCAAGGTGAATCAATTTTGACGGACAGTGGCATCGCTTTGGTTTCTGCATGTTTTTTCCAGGAAGTGAACTGAGCCACACCCCTACCTCAAAGCTCAGCACTCGGAGCAACTGGAACCAACCCCCACAAGGCAGAAGAGAAGCGAGAATTGGACTCCTCATGCACATCCTCTGTCAGTAATTTTGACGGGCCATCACAATATAACTCCGCTTGTGTCTTGGGAGCGCAGGTTTTTCTACCGATTCCTACTTACTTTTTTATTTTAGCAGCTGCAATCTTGGAACTTTTGTCGACAACATGTTGCCCAAACGCCGGCAGTGTAAAATCATCATCGCGACATCCCTAGTATGGATTCTTATTGACTTTGGACTGTTGTTATACTACACCGCGCCTTGCATCGGGCCCGGCTGTGCTAAGCAAGATAACGAGAATAAACAGGGGCCGTTTCAACGGATCATAGAGAGGGCGAACGATTTCATGAAACGCAGGCCTGAAGAAAGAAAACAAATAGGTAGGTGGTTGACTCGTACAGCGCTAATATAATCCCCGGTTGGTGATGCAAATTGCCCATTACTCCAGTTTAAAGCCCGATCAGGGAATTTTGGTAAGGAGTTTCTTGCTGATTTTTGAAAATTAAAACCCAGCCATGTTTACTTGCTTGCAACATGTGAGCCATGTACCCCTAGAAGAAAAACCCAAACACCACGATATCCTGCTGAATGGACAATTTTTACAGGAGTCAGGAAGCTTGTCAGGAAAAAAAATGCCCAGAGGGTATTTACTTGGTGGGATTATATCTAGGATCAACATAGTAAACCCTACATACATGTGTAAGAACGACTTCCTGCATTGGTTTCCCTTTGCTGGTCTTCATTTATATTTTGCAAAAACGCAAGCGTGTGTGGTTTTCTTATTTTCTGTAGTTTTTTTAAAGATCTGTAATTTGAAACACGACAAATGACTCTAGTTTCTGCCCCTGGCAACATGGCTTCCATGAGTCCCATTTGGTAGACAAATAGTTGTGTCAAACGGAAAGGAATGGGTTGGATTTTTTTTTCAAAGTGTCGGATTTCTTGCAGTGCTGACCATGAATTATGGAAATCCATATCCTGGTCCCGTTCAATCCGATACATTCGTGCATGAATTGGGGTCGCTGAATATTAGTTTCCTCAACTGCTGCCATGCATCGTCAGGGTTTTTTATTAGTATTCTGGAGTTACTCAGTGCTGGCTGAGACGAGTCATTTAAGATGCAAAAATTCAGGTGGTTAACACGTGTCAGGAATTCCTCGGAATATTCCTACCGTCAATATAAAAATTCTCCTTGCAGTCATGCGTGTGTCAAGATGCGCATTAAACATTTACAATTACAATTCATACAGGTGACAGAGTCTTCGGCAAAAATCAACACTTTGGAGATGCTGTTTGTTTCATTTTTTGTTTTCATTTATTCATGTACATACAGAAGTGTAGATGTATGGTGCAGGGAAGCAGAGAATACTAATAATACTCAATAAAATTTGGAATATTTTGAAGTCGCAGAAAGCCTCAGTGAACAGCTTTGTATTTAACCCCTGGTACCACCTTATCTGTTTTCCAAGCCTCAAAAAAAAAAAAAAAAAAAGAAGAAGTACAGATTGTTTTTGCCAGCAGTGCATCTCAAAATCTTGTTGGTCGTTGGTCACACTAGGCAAAAACTTCAGGTTTGTCCCAATGTTTTCCTTTTAGTCAAATTCTCCCAGTTTGTCCCGAGTGTATTAATTGTGCAAAATTACTAAGTTGAGATTTGTTTGAAGCTCAGCCTCAATTCTAAGTCTGAATATTGGCCAGCAGTGATGTGGCAGAAAGCTTAGCCTCAGAAAGTATAACCCCGGTGGTCAGGAAACTCACAAAGAACCATTTTTTTCATAATTGATTATCGGGTCAGCAACTGTATGCTTACACGTACCCAATTGGGCCAATTTGTTTATTTCTGCAAGTGAGGGCGGAGGTCCGATTCTTTCTGTACATAAATGCCAAATGTAAACATTTCATGCCAAAGGATGGATTGTATTGGTTTGGTGGATCTGCATGGGAGTAGAGCTTTTAAAGGCGGAGACAGATTTATGATGTGCCATATGAGGGGGGGTGTCATTGAATTTGCCAGACAATGTTGCCACAGGTTGGCACAAAGAATGGAAAAATTTGTCATGAAAGACCAATTTGCTGTGGTACAAGTGTTTATAACACAGGGAAGTTGATTTGAAACTGGGAAAGTAAATAAGGCTGCCTAAAATATTTCCATCAGTGCATCGTTAAAAGTGAATTTCTTTGTATAGGTCTGAAGAATGTAGAAAAATATGTTACCGGTTCTAGTAAAACCCAAGACTTGGGGCAAAATTTCAGACAAACTTTCTTTTGACGTGTGTTTGAAGAAGTTTGGATAAAATCTGACCAAGATCTGGATCTTGAAATTCCAATTGAAATGGAGAAAAATGACCTTTAACAGTCAACAAACCAATTTAATGATTTGTAGAAAATTGTTCCCATGGAAACTGCATTGTTGGCCAAAGGGGGTTTGAACTTGAAACTTCACACACCTCATTGATGGTGAAATTTCCCATTTGTTCCCTGATGCAATGTTTTAAATTTTGTAGAACCACACTGTGTCATGGGAAATAGTAAGCGTCGGGTTTTGTCAGGACCGGTCACATATATCTGAAAAAATGAGTCTTTATTTGAGTCCACTAGACGTACACGTACATTCCAATACAACCTCCGATTATTTGGGTCATGTGGGTGGGGTCCAATATTGGTATGAAGTCACTTGGCAAGTGAACAAATTCTTGTGCTGTGGGGCCGGTTTCCGGACACCCAATGCAGTAAACTGTGTTGAAATGCCCAGTAGTCTGTCACCAGCACAGTCATGGGATATTTGATGTATGGTACGAGATGCAACTTGGATTACATTTGAATGAAGGGCCCACCACCATACCCTGTACATGTCTTACGTGGTTGTGTGGCACAGTAACTTCCAGTGTGCCACAGCACCTGACCCCGCTGCAAGTAACAACTTGTGGAGAAGTGTGATATGGAGGTCTTGGCCTATAAATTGTTGAATTATTGTTGAGTTCTTGGGATCCAATCATGTCATGTGTAGTTTTAGAACATGGTAACCCTCCCCTCCCAAATGGTGATACAGAATCAAGATAAGGTTAGGGATGATTTGGCATTGAAATGGAGGGCATATTATTACACGGATTTAGAAGACAAATTGGTTCATGTGAACGGACAGTGGAAATCAACATCTATTTTTGAAAACTTATATTATGAAAGGAATAGAACTTAAACCAGAATCATCTCCTTGACACCATTATCAATTCGTCTCTCAAACCAACAGAGGTGCCTCGGCAGTTTAACTCAGACGGTCCAGGGGAGATGGGCAAGCCAGTCATCATTGAGCCGGAGAACAAGGCCGAGGCAGAGAGGCTATTCAGAATCAACGAGTTCAACCTCATGGCCAGCGATAGAGTATCGGTTAACCGGTCACTCCCAGACGTCCGTCCCCGCGGGTAAGAATTCGATACCATTTCCCCCCCCCAAAAAAAACCACAATTTGTGTCAACTTTAACCCTCTCAGATTTGTCCCAAATTCACAGGAGATTTGGAAGGATTATGAATGGCAGATCCCAGCCACTATGACCCCAAAGTACAAAGGATGTGCCGTTGGTTTCCTGCACTGTAGAGGATTTAGCAGGATTGTAGACATTTTGCGGACAAAAAAAGAGTTAATAAGTTGATGACTTACCGAGGCCTGGTTGATGGATTTGCAGCTGACACATGTAAAATAAGATGAGGCACCAGAGCGGCAGCAAAGAATCTGTTGAATTATTTACAAATGGTTTGGAGACTGACATAGTGTATAATTTGCTGTGTAGTATTCCACTGATGACAAACAATTGTTATTCTCCAAAATGATAAGCTAACTAGTTCTCCTCTGAGCGACACAGAACTCTATAAACTGTCTGTCCTCTTCAAGTAGGCCCCATCTTTATTCTGAAAGTCTGATTGGGCACATTTTCACACAAAATTTGAAAGTTTTACTAATATATGCCTACATCATAAGGACAAAGAAAGATTAGCTGTGTTTCCGGTTACCCGACCCAACCTACAAAATCACACAGAACCTATATCGTTTTATTTGACAAATCAATAAAGTATAAAAACTTATGGGGCCTTGCCCCGAGCCAAATTTTGTGCACATGGTCCTGTACATTGTATTATTTTAATTTGTTTTTTCATGAGATGGACGGCTCTTGTGTGCTTGTATTTCAACAACCAGCTGCTTTACTGCTCAATCACAGAGCTGATACATAATATTGACAAGCACATGTACAGTGTTAATCTGACACTGACTTAGTACCTGTTACAAATATACACACCCCCCAAAGAAAAACCGTCATCCGACCCTAATTTTTTGGGCTATAAAAATTAAAGAGTAAAAAAAGCCCATTTTACCCTAGACCAACCACTTTAATTTATTTTTCGGTGTAATAGGAAACAACTATTTTTTTGTTTGGCCCGACCACAGTCCCACAAAATGGGAGGTAAGTTCTACAAAAATATTTTTTTGAGACTGAAATTATAAACGGCACTTCCTTGGGGCCGCTGTTAATTCTTTTGATGGTGGGTCTTAATTAAAATGCCAGGAGTAATGCAGCAGTTGTAGTGAGATCAGATTAGGGAATCAAATCTAAAAATGGAGTTACTTTCAACTTTAACCGACTGACTGGGGCTCTGTGGGATCATCAAGTCATGTGAGCCAGATTGAGAGCCCTTGTTTTGCCTCAGGGCTTGCTGAGGTGAAGCAACTATGGAAGTGCTTGTCAGCTGAGGACAGGTCCTTCAAATGGAGTCCTTCTGAATGCCACAGGTCATCCATGTCACAGGGACATGGTTGTATTGGTTCCATCACAGGTTGGGACATGCAGGATGCAGGCTTATCAGTGTACATTGTCAGTCTCCCCTTGCTACTCTAGAGATCCATAACCCGACTACAGCACAGGGAGTTGTAATGACTTGGCCTGGAGTCAGATCTTTTCTATGTTAATAACCAAAGGCCACTAGAGTAATGAAGGAAATAAAACCCACTTCAGTGTTGGTTTTAAGCTTTGGTAGGGGTGGGTGGGAAATAGGACCATACCCCCCCCCAGAAAGGAATATCCCTGGGGGAAGGGATTGAGAGAACAGTACTTCTTTTGGGAGATCTATTTAATATTTCTTTCTTCTAAAAGCATGTAAAGTTATTGCCTCACCCCTTTAATTTTAAAGACCATAAATGGTCAGTAAAAATGTTTTGAAAATATTCCCCTCTCCCCAACAAAATCCTAGAAATGGGCTTTTTGTTTTTACTGGGCAGATATTCAACAGATGCAAAAATAAACTTTCGATCCGACAAGAAGAAAGGTTGAAATTTTGATAGTTATTCCCCCATCAAATCTTGCCATTTGTCTCATTTGAAAGCTTGCAACTGAAAAAAATATCAGATCCCAAAATGTCTGAGAACTTGTGAGAGTTTATCTCAGCAAGAAGAAATGGCCGAATCCCAAATGTGGGACTGTGCATGTGCATGGTCAAAATCTATCTGTATCCTGTTTGGTTCCATCACAGAGGAGGGAACACAAGGTTCCATGGAATGTCCATTTACTTCATAAGCCAATTAAGCGGCTCTCTTTTGGCTCCACTGACCCCTTCAGCATAAACATCCTTTCCTGTGCCAAACTCATTGCATAACACTTCCCCCAACTAAGAATGCTGTTCTTCCACAGTTATAAAAACCCTGATGGGGTTCCCTCGACCCCCCACAACATTCTTCACAGCCCACTCACATAGCTATTATCCTTGTAAACCCTCTGGGGATTTTGCCCTCTGCCTCTTCCAAAACAAGTTTTAAAGGAAAAGTCCCTCTGTTCCATCTGCAAGTAATCTGTTCAGTCCTGGATGACACATACACCTAAACTGTGACATCTGATAAAGTGATTTGTCCTGTCCAGAAAAAAAATGTGGTCATATCCAGCGGTGCATATAGAAGAGATCATCAAGATTTATCAAGCCTGTGCTTGGAATGCTAAGTATTCTTATTAACACATAAGTACATGCCTTATTTTTGTATACATCTGTCCATAATTTTATGATTTTTCTCAATTAAAAAATCAAAATCACACTGCTAGTTTGTCATGTTAAATACTACGTGAATTGTGTATGTTAAAAAAATTGAAACTCCCTTAGAACTGAATTATTTTTGGTCAGTACCAGATCTGAAGAAATAAAATCTGAAAGATGCCCACAATATTCTCTATTTAAACAAAGCATATCAAACTAACGAAAATAAAACTGTTCTTTTTTAACCTAGCAAGACAACCCCTCTCCCCACCAGCCTCTCCTTTAAAAATAAACATCTCCGTCAATTTGTTTTTCCGGAACTGAACTTGCCCTTGCTCAGTCTCGAACAGGATACCCTCATTTTCTGGTTATTCTGAGCCCCAGATTCTCGGGGCCTGCCCTAATTTTTCTCCTCATCGAGGAAGCCACGATGATAGACCGCCCCTTTAAATGACATTCTTCTCCCCCATTGTCTTCAGCCACTGGTTTAAAGACAGCTGTAGAGGTTGCTGTGTCTGACCCCAGCATGATCGGCACATTCCTGGGTAACATAAACAATGAGGGATTGGTTCTCACCCTACATGCCCCAGCCAGAACATCTCGACTTAATCACGGCTGAAACTAAGGACAAAAGGACAAAGCCCTCTCTCTTGGCAATGTTGTGAGAATTAGCATCGTTGAAAATGCCGATTTTTGTCTAAGCGTGGTCTAGTCTAAGGAGGGTTGAACGGGTGAATTAATTTAAAAAAGATAGAATGCCTGACATTTCAACCCTAGCTGAATCTTTCTGAAAGGCGAGTGGAATTGTAGTCATTTTTATTTAGCTTTTATGTTGGCAGAAGTTTGGAGTGCTCGTGCGACTGAATCGTCTGAGGTCGGATTTATGCATTAGCTTCAGAGTCTTCAAGAATGTTTGATTCCTGCCAGATTACTTGTTTTCTCACAATTTCCTGTTCTCTTTCTGGTTAGGGTCGATGTTTTCCTCCTTTCCCTGATGTAACTATCCACGTTTACAGATTACGGGAAACGTACAATGTATGTCTCCCCAATTGGAAGGAAAATCCTTTGGATTTTATTCCACACAAACACTGTCAGGCAGAAAAAAAACCAACTTGTGATGTGGCACATTAGTGTGTATTTAAACCAGGGGGTGATGCCACATCTGACTTGACACGTGGTCGGTCCCCACCCCCAGAGTAACATGTGCAGTCTATTGATTATTGAAATCCTGCCTTTGTTGTCCCACTATAGAACGGAAAAAAAGCAAACTTCAGGGATAATGCCAGCATTAGGCGCTGAGCTGTTTCAATAAACGTCGTGTAAACACCGGTTTGTAATATGCATGGGTCGATTCAATTTTTCAGGGGAACATGTTTGTATGACTGGCAGCATTTCTATGAACGGATTGTGACTTGGTTTTACTTTTTTTTTTTAAATACAGGATAATGTAACTGAAAAGGGCAAAGGGGACGGTGATTTTTTTATCTAGTGGTTAAGTGTGAAGATTTTGAGTTGTGGAAGTTGACGGCACAAAAATTGGTTACTTGTTGCTATGTTAGTGAAATCCTGTTGCTGTGGTGAAAATGACATTTAAAAAAGATGCCTTCCCATCTCCAGAAAAATTCTATGTAAGGACCACTCCCGGTGATTATTCCTAAAGCCCATCTTACTGGCAAGTTGCCATAATCCTCAATAGACCAATGGTACATTCTTCATACTTCAGTAAAAGGGTGTTGAAGAGCACTGTCTACCATAACATCCTGACTGTACCATAATGCTGAAAATTTGGTGTCGGTTTGAAAATTTAATATGTATAGGTAGGATGGTAAGAGTTCATAGATACAAAAACTTGTCTGGAGGTACTCTAGTTCTAATTTTCGTTTATCTCTGCAGGTGCGCCAATAAAGTTTACCCCAAAAATCTACCCACGACCAGCGTGATTCTGGTGTATCACAACGAGGCGTGGAGCACGTTATTACGCAATGTTCACAGTATTATCAACCGGTCGCCGCCGGATCTGCTGGCCGAAATCATTCTGGTGGACGATGCCAGCGATCAAGGTAACGGTCGCTCATTGGCTGTGCGTATGACCCATAGGGGGCGCTGTTCACTGATTGGCTTCCGTGTTCTGCAAGAAATTCTACAAGTTTGAAATTTCTGTCACAGAATGCTACCTGAAACTCTTCCTTTGCCTCTCAAAGCAAATCTTGATCAAAAGAGTTACCTTGATATTTGCCAAAGATTTGAAAAACAAAGTATTCCCTCAAAATGGCCATAAACCTGAAAATTATATGTAGACTTGAATTATACCAAGTAGTACTTTATTTAAAAAAAGACTTCACTCAGTTAATCAATTACTGCTCGAGTGCTTGTTATTTTTTTTAATCTTTCAAATAGTCTCTGTTTTTGAAGTACAGTAATCAAGGGATAGTTCTTAGTAGGAAGGAAATTAAGAAGGAAATTTCAGTGCATCCGTGTCAGGCTTCGGCAGACACTGCATGGTTTTAACATCAGTACAGGGTCCTTTTTATTGTTCATGCATGATTAACAGTTTGTATCTATGGTTTCCACCCCCTGAAGCTGGTCAAGTGTAATAAATGATGAATTTGATTCCACGTTGCAGCCAGCTTCCAGCTTTATTGTGCATGCTCAGTCATGCATGATTCATATTAAAATCATTACTAAAGATGAACAGATAAGTCAGTACTTGGGATGGAACTTCCAAGAATTAGAATTTGTTTTCATTTCTTTTCAGGGTGCAGTAAAAAATTTGTTGCTATCATTTTCTTCTTTTTAGTAATTTTTGTCTGAGTTAATAAAATTTCCAGTCTACACTGACATAAAAAAGGCAGACTGGTGCCAAAAAAAAGTTTCAACTTGGTGCGCAGTGCTCATTAAGAACTGCATTTCAACAAAAAAGAAATCAGCTAGGCGTACTCTTCACATCCTGTGCCAAACATCTGTGATCACACACGGTGATTTTCACGCGCTACTAGGGGATGTCACTCTTGAATAGAAATGTGTAACTTTTTTGTTCCTATACGGTTCGTATAAGGATTTTTGACAGGTTCCCCTCCAAAAAAACAAAATTCGTTAAGTAACTCATTTGATGAAAAATGATTGTGATTTTGACGTCTCTCCACAGAGCATTTAGGTAAAAAACTAGATGACTACGTAGGCAAGCTGCCCACATCAGTACGCATTGTACGCATGCCAGAGCGATCGGGGCTAATACGTGCCCGCATGACGGGGGCGGGGGTTGCCAAGGGAGATGTGCTGACATTCCTGGACTCCCACTGCGAGGCGACGGAGGGCTGGCTGGAGCCTCTACTGGCGCGAATAGCCGCTGACAGGTACGTCTGGTGGGACAGGTGGCCGGAAGATTTCTTGAATTGCTCGTTGGAGCCAAAATAGGTTGATTAAGGGGTGATGACACCGCTCATCAGTTGGACGGTGAATTTGAATCAAAGAGAATAGTGGAGGTAAACTGAAGAAACTTTCATGTAGACGATGCAGTTGTCATGGGTTGGATGAGGTTGCCATGGAGATGCTGCATGACTGTGATGGTAAGAGAGGCCAGTTCTGGGATGCTTGGATAAATAGCATGTTACTTTACTTAAGGTTCCTTGGGGGGCAAATTCCTTGGTGCCCGTTGATGTTAATTGAGATTGCTGACAAGAAAAGGAGCAGCACTGAAACGTATGGCAGGAGTGCACCAGATTATGGTGGTCTGGTCACTGCCTCTCTGTCCGTTCAATATTTGTCAAAGATTAGCAAGCACCAAAGTGCTCTTCCAATTTTTACATTTTTTTCCCCTCTTTTACAAGTAGCTTTGGCATCTTGCAACTACTCGATGCTTCCTTTGAAATTTGGCCACTCAGATCAGAGTAGAATTGTCAAGCTTTGTGTCAACCACAAAAGCTCTCCAGAAAAAACCAAACCCATGTTATCTGAGTTGTCCTTGTGTACTCCCGTTTTTAACCCCCATTTCAAAAGGTGTAATTCTCTGGTTTTAAAAAGTGACAGTTTTATTACACTTCTCTAGGAAAACATCAGTGTGCCCTGTTATTGATGTCATCAGCGACGAGAACTTTGGATACCAACATGGGAACGATCCGCAGATGGGAGGCTTTGGCTGGTCACTCTTTTTCAAATGGTATCCCATCCCCCACAGGGAGCGGGAACGCAGGCGAGGGGACATTACAGAACCAGTCCAGTAAGTTGGAAAGAGATTTTAGTAGTTGGATGTTGTCCTGTTAATTCTCAATTTGGCAGATTTAGAGCTGGGGCATCTTCTAGTGGATTTAATTGGGCATTATCTGCAAATGGGCAGTTAAGTATGGAACTTGCTGAAATGTGAGCAACCTCACGATCCAGTGTGACTGGATCAGACCACAGTGTAGGTCTTCGAGTGAACCATTCATAAATTCTTGCTATCCTTACCGAGTTTGAACAAGCCTGTTCAATTCTCTGCTGTTGCTAACAGCTTTACCGCTTCTGTTGATGCCTTCATTAAAACCTCATTTCTAAACATGAAAACACTGAAATGAACAGAAGTGAAAGGGAAACTAAATTGTGTAATTGGGTATCTATAATCCAGCTTACTGAAGACCAGTACACAGTTGCGTTCACAACATGCCGTTTGTTATTATTCCTCAGATCGCCTACAATGGCAGGCGGATTGTTTGCCATCGATAAGAGCTATTTCGAGGAGCTTGGTATGTACGATCCCGGCTTCAACATCTGGGGTGGGGAGAACCTAGAACTCTCCTTCAAGGTAAGATAATGCTTGTCCTTATGGAGTTGTGTTTATGATCTTATGTTGTATGCTGAGGGTTTGCATGACTCCTGTGTGGTAGCCATATTGGTGGTCAATGGTGACAGTGCATGCTTTTTACAGAATGGCACAAATGACTTAATTGGATGCACAGGCTATTCACATACACCCTATGTGCTCATGTTCATCTTTCTATTGTTTGAATGTGTTTGGCGCCCTCTGTTGAGAATATAATACAATGCTAGCTCATTGTAAAAAAAAACTGTGATATTATATTGTGGTAATTTACTGCTAATTGTGGACTGATGACAACTGGGATGAAACATTGACCAAAATAAAAGTGACGGGTTTGTGACACATCTTACGGCGTTATTTCATGGCAGAACGAGAGTTTGAAAAGCTTGAAATTTCCTCTTTCAAAATTGTACTCCTAATAAGAAGAGTTAATATAACAGAATTAGCCCCGAAGCAAAATTTGTGAAATTGTTGAAAATCCTAGAGTTGTTGGATTCCCCCCCACCACTTTCTTTGTAGTTATGGATGTGCGGCGGCAAGCTTGAGTTCGTCCCCTGCTCCCACGTGGGCCATGTCTTCCGCAAGAAGTCGCCTTACCACTTCCCGCCGGGCACCAACTACGTCAACCGCAACAACAAGCGGCTGGCCGAGGTCTGGCTGGACGACTACAAGAACTTCTACTACCGCATCTCGCCTGTGGTGGCCAAGACAGACCCAGGGGACTTGACGGAGCGACTGGACCTGAGGAAACGGCTGAACTGCAAGAGCTTCAAGTGGTACCTGGAGAACATCTACCCGGAGTCTTCCTGGCCGGTGGATTACAAGTCCATGGGAGAGGTAGGTGGCCGGTGATGCTGATAAGATGTGATTCGGTTAGGATTCGAACCCACAGTGTCTCTGTTACAGCCTTGAGTCATTCTAACCAGAGGATTGCAAATCCATAGGAAAGGTAGGTGGACAGTGATGCTGATAAGACGGGACTTGAGTTGGATTCGAACCGACAATGTCTCTGTGACAGCCTTGAATCATTCTAACCAGAGGATTACAAATCCATAGGAAAGGTAGGTGGCCAGTGATGCCGATAAGACGGGACTTGAGTTGGATTCGAACCCACAGTGTCTCTGTTACAGCATGGAGTCCTTCTGGCCAGTGGATTACAAATTCTTGAGGGAGATAGTTGGTTAATTATGGTAATAATAATTAACTTAGGTGGGATTTGAATCCACATTTTGCTGTTACTGCCTGGAGTCACCCTAGACTTTGACTTACAAGCTTTCTTACCCAAATAAAAGAAAATGCGACTAACATAGAAGGGATTCGACCTCTTACTTGTTCTTACTTGTGCAGCCTTACCATGCAGTTATTAAACTTCAAGCACTTTGTAAAACATTTTACAGCCAAAACACAATGTTTTCATTTAAATAGGGAATTCGGATTAACATGGCGTCCTGTGAGAAGTTTGTTTCTTCACGTCAGCAAGAGCGTTGAGTCTGTGGAAATCTACGTGCTCAGCTCAAAACTGTCCTCCACCCCGGCGTATTTTTGTTACTGTTGCACTTTTTGTTTGTCTCTTTACAGATTCGAAACATGCAAAACAACAAATGCCTGGACACCATGATGAAGGAAAGCGGCCACAAAGTGGGCCTGTTCGGTTGCCACGGACAGGGAGGAAACCAGGTAAGCCCCGGCGGAAAAAAAAGGAGGATAGAGTAAATATTCACCCATAATGCCTTGCACTTTCTCAAGCCAAGCAAACCACGTTGCGCAGTTTCCATCACCAGAACCCAATTTCACGGCGCTGCTAAGCAGTCGTTTTGATGTTTACAGAGGCTCCGTGGATTTCAAGGAGGCAGTAAGCACTGCTAAAGGCATGCTTACCTTGGAGGAAATAATTGCCTATTTTAGTGATGTTACAAAGGAAGTCTCCATGCTCATGCATGCAGTTTTTGTTCTGAGCGTAGCAACTTTCACGGCGCTGCTAAGCAGACGTTTTGACGCTTACAGAGGCACCGTGGATTTCAAGGAGGCAGTAAGCACTGCTAAAGGCACGCTTACCCTGGAGGAAATGATTGCCTAATTTAGTGATGTTACAAAGGAAGTCTCCATGCACATGCATGCAGTTTTTGTTCTGAGCGTAGCAACCGTGTAATGTTCACTGGGAAATATGCTAATTGCTAAGCAAATTTTTGGTGCTACGGTTAGCAAGTTAAATAATGCGTAGTATACATTTGTTTTCACTGTGTGTGAGAGTAGCCGAAATAATTTACTGCTAGATGTATGAAATGATTGATTATAGCAAACTTCTTTTATTATTATTCACCTGTGAGTTTGACCACATGTGTAACGAACAGTCCTATGTGTCTTCCAAACTGATTTTACATCTTTAAATATTTGCCAAACCAAAACTGTTCTGGGGCCCAATTTCATGGCGCTGCTTACAGCAAGCGAAAAATCGGCGCTCAGCGTAGCAGAAAATTCTGTGCCTACGGCGAACGTATTTCACTGGTTAACGAGGAATATTGGCTGGTACGCATGCATTAATCCCGTAGCTAAGGATTCTGTGCTCAAAAGGTGAGCTCAGAATCTTTCTGCTAGTGTGGTTTGCACAGAATTGAGATCATAAGTGCGGAATTCTGAGGTAAGCAGCGCCATGAAATTGGACCCTGGGTAGACTTATGTCAAATTTTAAAGTGCCAATACCTTTTGAAAAGTATGATTTCAAATTCTTTTATCTTTACGCCTCTTCACCTAAACCCAAACTCCAAACAAACAAGCGTTACTCATACAGGTTACGATACCAGGTGGGTCGAAAATCACAAGTCCAACATACAATATTTAAACATTATTTGGGGTAAAAGTTCAGTGAAACCAAATTTCACCCCGGGTGTGTAGAAAAGTTTGGTTATCCTTCCATTAGGTCAAGACTTTGTCTTTGTCAGCCATTTCCTTTGCTAGCTGCATGTAAAGAGTAAACACTGCTTCATTCATTCACTCTGCCACTCTTAGATTGTACCATTCAGCGATTTCCTTCTGTACTCATACTTGGGCTCAGGTTGACGTGATGATGAGATTTCGCCACCTTTCGTAGTCCACCTTTTGAATTGTTTCCCTTATGCAAGCATTGGTCATGGTACTCTGAAACCCTGCATGTTACAGCAATTGACATGATTTGGGTGGAGCAAAATTTTGTGGAAGATTAGATTGAGGTGGTGAGAACGATGGGGCTTATCAAGCAGAGGTGTGCACTCGAACATACAATGCAGTTAGCAACACCAGGCTGTCAGATTGGTTGCATTGGGAAAGCTAGTGCTGTTTACAAGTCGACAATTAGAACATTCCGTGAAACTGGGGTTTTTTTTGTCTCGCATTCCCTCTGAGCAGATCTGGGCTATGACTAGGCTGCAGGAGCTGCGGCATGACGACGTCTGTCTGGACGTGGCCAGAGGCGGTCCCATCATGATGCTGAGCTGTCACTCACAGGGCGGTAACCAGCAGTGGGCGTACAACGCAGAGGTGAGTGGAACAACACAAGCTAATTCACAGTTCCGGGCATGGTCCCTGTCATTTTGCGGGGCAAGACAGGAAATGCGTTCGATAGAGACGGAGCCGTATTCCTGAAGATTTTCGATGAAGATGAAAATGTACTCCAGTGTTGACTTGCAAAAACTAAGCAATGTCAGATAGTTTACATGACCCATTGCAAAGTGTGTTCAAAGCCTACATTTTGGATTGCTCATATTTATGTTAACCCTTTCACGCCGGGACGCGTTCAGACACGCTGTAAAAATTGAGATCCTCAGCCCGCTTTTCAGCTATTATTCTCGGCCCATGCTCGAGCTAACACGGTGAAAGAAGGCAGACCCTGGCTCTTGTGTATGTGGTAATTGGTCTTTGTGTGTAGCCCAGAAATGAAAAGACCGAATTTGCATCATAATAACTAGCTTCACAATAGTCCCCACTTTGTAAAGAGGCAACAGGAATGTGGAAGCTTGAGTAGAGTCGCATGCCACCGAACAATCAGCCTTTTCACCGGTTAATTCATGCTGCGGTTTGGCAGGTGGCCTTCGTGGCCAAGCGAGGTTGGAATTCTTGGAGTTTGCTTTCGGAAAGAAATTCCCGCCGAGAAGGGGTTAATGAAATACAGAAAGCTGTTGATGAGTAGAGTTCAGTTGCGACTTTCTGATTGGATCGAAATTAGCTAAACACCTGTTAGTTAGTCTCAAATTTGTCTGGACAACTGCTGTCTAACCTAAAAAATTGTTGTTTTTTTTCAACAGACGAAGGAACTGAAGCACAGCAACGGATTATGCATGGATCTGTCAGACAAGTCTCAGGATGAACCGGCTATGAAGCCATGCAACGGGCACCCCTCCCAGAGATGGCAAATGACCAGCTGGAATTGGAATGAGTAGGCTTAATGGAATGGGAAAAAAGCCAGATCAGGTGGCCTATTATCACAGGATGCCTGGGAATTTGCCATGGAAGTTGTTTCAGGAAGTTCCTATGGAAGTTTTGTTGGCACGGAAGTTCTTGGGAAATGCCTTGGGAGTTGTTGGAGGGGGAAAGGGAAGTCAGGCATTTCGCTGGAGTTTCCTTGAAAAATGAATTTATTGTCACTGGGGAAAAACTCTGAAGGGGATCAGTGAAATCCCAGAGATGCTAAATCGCAGCTGGAAAATCTGGCAATGGTTATTGGAATTTCCATGGAGTTGAGAAGGGTTATGGACTAGAAAAATACCCAGAATGAGATCAAGCACTGATGGAAGTCCTGGGAATTTCCTTGAAAATCAGTGATGGAAAATCCTGCAGTTCTGAAGGAAGTTCCTGTAAGGTTTCTGTAAAGATTTACATTCGAAAGTTAGATATTTGCCTAATGGAGTTTCTTTGTGACCATGAAGATTCTCCAGTAATTCATATGACTTCAGCAAACCTTCCAGAGAAGTTGTGTTCAGTGATCTCTCTGATTTGTGAAAAGTATAACAGGAATTGCTTTTATGGATGCGAGAAGACCAATAAATGTGGCGGCAGTTGAATATTAATCCAAGGTCACAGGTTAATCTCAGAGTGAAAAGTTAAAACCAAAAGTTTTTAAAATCAGTAAGCCAATATAGTCAAACATTCACGGGGGAATTTACTGAATTTATGTCCAAAGTAATGTTGCAAGATGCCTGTTTAATACAACTGGTGTATTTTTTATCTGTACGTGCGTTCGCATAACTGACCGCAGAAGTTCATGTTTTTGGGATTGAAAAAAACACAACACTCTTCATGAAAGCACATGTGGTTCTGGAAAGGAGTTGGTAAATGTAAAACTTAGAAGTGAACACCATTCTCCACAGTTGCCTAAAAATAGCTGGTAAATCAAAGTGTCAAGATCCGAACGCAGTAACTGCCATTCCATTCCGCACTGGCGTCTCAGTCATGAACTGTGGACTGTGATGTAATGTCAGGAAATTGAGTTTGGTTGGGTCAAGTTCCACGACTAGACGCAGAATACCATGGTTGCCTTCATACTCCCAAGCAGAATGTTCCCTTTTGTTGATTTCGTATCGTTTTATTTTTTTATCGACGATACTACCAGCCCCATCGCCAGTTTCAGGTATTAAGGGGGAGGGGGGGTCTCAGCTAGGGGGACCACATCGCAGGAACAAAATATAGTTGTCATGCTTATGCTTTTTACTGATGGGAGGGGGCAGCTTCCCGCCAGGGGGGCCTAGGCCCCTCAGCACTGGGTACTACCTTTGGACAGCAATTTGACTTCATTTGTGCTGCCAGAAGACACACTGCCCAAAATATGGAAAGAAAAAATTTACTTTGTGTTTATTGTCTACTTTTTGGTGCAACTCCTTTCCTTAGAACTAATTTATGAAGAATGTTTCAATAGAGTTACATTTCCAACTCCATCTCCAACTCCTAATGTACATTTTTTTTTCTTATTTGATTTTCGGGAGTGTTATCACTGGTCATGTATTAAATGTTTGTCTTTCATTGGCTTAACTAGTGAGGCACGAAGCTGTTTTAATGTAGATAATGTACCATCTTCGCAAATGTAGGGTTATTTTAAAGTGTCTTAAAAAGTCTGTTTGTTGTTAATAGCATATACTTGCAGTGTCTTGCTTCACTGATTGGTCCCCTCAAAGCATGTTGCTTTAATCTTGGTACATTGGTCTGAATATGAGTTTGTTGGCTGTTATCTTAGGCGTTTGCTTCTTGGACCAAATTCACGGGAGACAGAAGTCACACAGTGCACTGGCAGAAATGTTTTGCAGCATTTAAAGTTTGTCTTTTCCTCGAAACAACCACAGTTTAATTGAATGACACTGATCTAATTTTTAAACTTGTTCATTTGCACGACATCGTTGCGCGGAATGTTCTATTATGGCTCACACATCGTGTCATTGATTAAACTAAGATCAAAATGCTGTTTTCTTCTGCTTGGAATGGTGTGCAGTTTGCTCAAACTCTAGTGCATGCCAGGTACAATTTGTGGATGATGGCATTTATGGAAGGTGGGCAACTTATCCCTTTAACTGTTTCAAGAAAATGAGGCATCATTTTTTGGGGGGGGGGGTTGAAATAGAGCATGACGATCTTGTCTCTGTTCTTGTAGATTTGTACAGTGTTTTCTATCTGGTAGGTGCAAAAAACCAGAGGATAATTATAATAACAATCAAAGTGTGTGTTTATAATGCAAATTTCATTAATTAACCTTGATGAACTGGCTAATTTAGAAACTAATATATATGAATACAGACATTATTTTTCCAGGAATTGATATCAATATGGCAAAAGCAGAGCTCTGTGTAAATAACCCTTTTTTGGAAGGGTTTGTCAAACTTTTGTTTATGCACATATCTAAACAATGCCTGCTCAAGCCTCAAATAATAATACTAATTGTTGCCAAAAGATTAGTGTAAAAAGAACTATTCATTTAACACTGCCCTCTGTTGGCCGCATTGATCATCGCTTTTATTCAAATTTTATACAAATTATCACTGTGGCCTTTCTTGTGCAACGGGAAAAGAAAAAACTTAGTCGAGCCCATGTTCGTTTTCATCTCATGTACTCAGATACCATTCTGTTTGGAGTGTGAGCTGATTGATGTGACAGTCTCCCTCTAATCTGATCGAAATTTGATGGATTTTATTTTGGGGGGGGAGGTAATTGCTTGCAGGAAGGTTCAAAAACAGAAGTGTTTTCCTAATCATCAATTTAAGATCTGTCCCATCATCATTTCAGTGCAGAACTTGTCACAGAGTTCGAATTATTCCAATAACAGACATCAGCCAAATTTTGTACAAAGTTAGACGTGATGCTTTGGACAGGTTGGAAGACAGCAAGGAGAAAATAATGGTTTCTGTTGGATAGTTTGGAGATAAAGAATTAGACTTCAACAATAGAAGACAATCAAATTTGTACCAACGTAAATGCATAGTTACTGTGATACACAAGTGCCTTTAATTGTATTGTTAAAATTAATTTTAGGAGAAATGTTGTGATGCATTGTGTTTCTATTTTCCCTTTGTATTTAATTTCAAAGCATGCAGCAGTGACATTTTGTCATTTCCCCTATTTTATTTTTGGAATCATTTCATAGTGACCGACATCAAACAGTAATGTGATTGGTTGATGTCACTCGCATGACTTGCTAGTTTAGGTTAGTTTTCTTTTACTTTAATGGAAATGTCAAGCAATATTTTATCTTATATGTGTACAAAAATAAATAAGAGAAATGTGCTTAAAATTTCCTTTGGCATCAAGCGTTCTGGTTGCTTGGTTATTTGTTTTTCATCTCAAATTTGGAGATGGTATTTTAAATTGTAATTCAATCACTAATTTCTTGTACAGATATGAGCAGACGACATTTTCCTTCAAAGTTGGTGTGAGCCCTCTATCGTCTCGTTTGCGTTGTCCAGCGTCTGGTATCCGACCCTACCCAGTGGCTCGTGATATACCAGGCTACCTTGACAGGTGGAATTTGCATTAGAATAGGCACTCGTACCGTGCGCTGGTTTTCTCATTTCGACGACCCTCATCGACAATATCGGTTTTCAAGCAGAATTCGAGTGGTTTTGCTACAACTGTATCTGTAGATAGTGGTCAAGATACTTCTTGTACTCTTTGGAAGAACTCGGCACTGTTGACACTGAGTTTGAACCCAGGTGTGAGCTTTTTTTGGCGAGGTAGCGGAAGAGCCGAGAAGCATTTTTGAAGGTATGTGTAGAAAGCAATGGGTTGCAAGGGACGCCATTTCCACGGCTCAGTGAACATGCAAGATGAGACCGGCACCTTTCCGCCCACTGGCGAAGTTTGCCGAACGTCGCTGCTAGCCGTATTTTCAAGTAGCCCTAGGCCTACTTTTTACTGTCAATTTAGGACGCTTAGACCTACCTGAAAAGTCGGATTATTTTTGATCGCCATCTTCAAATATTCATTTTCTTTTTTCCTCAGCGGTGCCATGACATGTCATGCACATGACATACGTCACATAATAAATTTTACACCTTCAATTTATGTTTTTGGGAAAGCATCAGGCTCGGCAGAATGACAAGTCTGGTAGACAAGTCTCCATGCTATTTATTGCCTATAGGTGTCTTGAATATTGTATTTTCTGACCTGGGCCTACTTGAAAATGGTTAAATGGTTTCTTTGAAATTTATATAAATTTCTTCAAACATTTTGGACAGTATCTATCCGTATCCTACTTGTGAAAGAGAAGTATTTCTGTAGGCCTACAGGTTTTACCTTTTCAAATGCATTTTCTTTGGCTGAGTACCGTGGAAGAGAGATGTATAGAAAGATTTTGCTTTTGAACCCACACCTGCATTGGTCTGAAACATTTGTATCTTTGAAAATAACTTTCCAGCTGTTTTCAGAATAAACGCTTGGCAGAATCTGTCATTTCCAGATTTTATTTCAGTAAAACTTGTGAACAGTTGGGCAGAAAGTAGGCTTACCTTTGAACACTTTGAGTCACCATAATGCCAAGAACATCAAACATAGAAAACAGGAACTTTCTTCCCCTGTACTGCATGAAAATTTCCTGATGAAAGTCTTAAAATTGAAAGTTGCGCCAAGCATTTAACACATGGGTAGTTATTTTAGAAGATTTTGCTGTTCCAAACTGTTTTTGGTACATGTATTAAAGTAAAATCTTTCCAGATGTACACGTATGTACGTTATGGCCTGTGACTGTGCAAGCTATATTTTAAGTATATTGTCTTTGCAGACGGAGCATAGAATTTGGAATTATTTTATACGTGGGATTTGAAAAGAAGAAAAAAAGCTGTAATGCCAGGCTTACTGCTGGGCACTCTACGATCCCCAAAATCAATACACGTTGACGGAGTCTGTTCCTAGTGGGGCAATTTGTAAAGAAAGACCCTCAAGCTATTGACCTACTGACTTCTTGTCTTTTTAGTGTTGTAGAGTGTGAGTGTTGCTTTTCAACTGTTATATTATAATTAATTCATATGTGGAGGCGACGCTTTGGTATTCTGTGTTGAGGGAGTACATCATTATGTTCAATGCATAGGCTGTTTGAATAGGTAAAATCTGAGAAAAAGTAATTTACTTTAGAGTTGCTGTTTAAGTGAACAAATTTATACACTTACTGTGTAGCCAAAAGGGGAAGGGAAGGGAGATATCAAAAGTAACATTAAATTATTGGTAAATATATCATTGGTCAACTGGTATTAATTTTGATGTCTTTTTGCCCAGCCCGACGTGTATTACAACATTGTGTACTCAATGTTTGCCCCTGAAGGCTTGTTATAAAAACCCATAAGCCTACTCGGGTTGTACTTCATAAAGATATGCATATACATAATTGTAGAGTACAAATTGGACTTGTCTGCATTTAAGCATTCTTGCTTCAAGCATGGAAATTATGAAACAGAAGATGTGGTATTGTTGGTTGAAACTCTTCTCTTGCATTCCATTGACTGCGTTGGCATTTGTGATCCTTTCCTATCTAGAATGCCGTGCAAATAGACACAGGTCCATGAACGTAATAAAAAAAAAGAAATCTGCCATTGACTGTAAAAGTACATCTGCATACAGTGGATTTCTCCATTTAGATTACAAAACCACACGGGTCCAAAGCTCGAGGACTTGCTGTGTGATTAACAGAAATACGCCAATCTATCTGTGCATTCATTGAAAACAGGTAGTTCGTCGGAGCTGGTGTTTGCATTGTGTAATTGTGAGACATGTTGAGTAATGCTGGGAGAAGCACGCGTAGCTTGAAGTGCTTTTGTGCTGCAAGCAACTCTGTTAGTATTTGGGAATCAGGAATGCCATTACATTTGGGAGGCAGATCCAAATGAAACATTTGTACTTGTACGTGCACCTGCTTTTATAAAAGGAATTTGTGACATTGTATATTGACAGTTGCTGCATGGGGATGTATTGAAATGTTTGAAAAGGATTCACATAATGCAGTGATTCAAAATACAGGTAATGGACAGTCTGCCTTTGAAGTGTACCCCCAGGCGGCAAAAGAAAGACAGATTGTTGTAAGTTTCCCAAGCGGGTTCTTGCACACATTCTGCGTGTATGCAAAGAGCATATATTAAGGAATAAATTCGTTACACGTACTCTGTGTGCTTTGTGTCAAACCTGCCACTGATCTCCATCATAGACGCACGCCTATGCGGTGAGTACCAAAAAAGCACGCCCTCTTTTGTTCGGCTTGGAGCGGATAACATCTTCCTGCACCATTTGCGCGTAACTGAACTCTTGAGGTCAAAACTACACATCAAGAGTACATACATGTATGTCCGACTACATTTGTTGGCCACAGTGATCTTATTCATGTACAGTTCTGAACTTAAAGTTTCCAGTGTCCGCACAGTGTTTTCAGAGTAACAAGATCTAAGAATTCTAAAAAATCGTTACAAATGTTTGATAGTGTCACAGGCACGGAGACATTGGCCTTACTCTACTGAAAAGTGATTTTGATTGCACAGAAATGTTTCACAAAATACCTCAAAAGCATTAGATTGTCACAGTTATCCTAAGCACTGAAGCAGGTTTTTTTTATTACCTGCTCACAGTACCGTCCCCCTGATGACAGAGTGCCCTTTTCAGTTCAAAACAAGCCAGTGGTATTGTCTGAGACTTCTACCTCCCGCTGCGCGAGGAGCCAACCATTTACCATTCTGTACCCTTGGAGTCAGGTGTGTACAATGCAGTCAACCCCCCCACCCCATGCCACACAGAGTTGAGCAAAGTTCATAAGCCAACCGCTGGAATTTTTTCTTTTGCGGTTTAAATGCACAGCTAGGCATGAGTTATTGTATTCCACCCCTGTGCATGATAACCCAGAGACGTTGCTTAAAGGTGCAGTGTGTGGGTTTACATAATTACTTTTGGCCCAGAAAGAACCAAACTGTGACAAATTTATACGTGCAAACTCATCCGTTTGTTTCTAACAATTTATGTAGCATAACTTCCTCTACATTGCATTGGCTGGCCTCTTTGTACGTTTTTTTCAACTGAAGCTGTAAAAACACAGTACCTGGACCAGACTTTTGTTGAACTCTTAACAAAATGTGAGCATTTTTCTCCCGAGAAATCAATGTGTATTCCATGGTGACGATGAGAAAACACATAGCAGTGGTTTATTGTGTTGTCATTTTGCACAAGAAATGTGCCCGAGTTTCTCAGTTCACTTGTGTCCAAAGTTTAAAATTATGCATCCTGCTTTATTGTTTTCATCACGGTTCACTGTTTCATCAAGTTTGCACTGTTTCTGGATATTTATGATGTGCCTTAGGTAGAACAAAGAAGTTCCTTTTTCATAGAATGTGGCGTCGTAGTCTCAAGTCCATTTAACATTTGGACGTTTTTCTAACCGTTGACCCTCTTCAATTTTCGTCTACTCTAGGTCATCATCTGGCCCACTTTTTTTTGGGGGGGGAGTAATATAAACTGTCACTAATTTTTGGCTGTATTGTCATATTTTGTTAGTCACACAAGTTGAGGATGAGGGTATATTCCACGCTTTGCTGAACATTAAAATTAAAACCTTTTACATCCAAAGTCGTTTATTGTAATGGGTATGGCGCGTCTTTTAAGAGGTAATAGAAAATCATCACCGTGACCAGAGTTTACGATAGTATTATTATTAAGGTCATCCATAAACCTGTGTACACACAATAGATTTTTTTTGCCAACTGTCTGTACCTGTGTAAACTCCATGACTCAACAATCTGCTATCTGCAGTACGGGTATTCTACTAAATTTTTTCTACAGGTACATGCCATTGTAGTTTTTCTCATTATAACTGAATTCAAACGGCCTGACATACATGTAGTCAAGTAATTTTTGTCGGTCTGTCTGGAAAAGATTGGTTTCATTGACTGCATTAATGGAAAAAGTGTTTTGAATGCGATACATATCTTATACTTCTAAATACGACAAGTTTGCAACTGATTGTCGCATATATTGAGCTCATTTGAAGGATTTCAAACCCGTGTACACACATGTGTGCATCATGGAGTTTTATGTTCAATATGTTTTGAGACTAAAAATATACACCCAAATGTTGGCGCTTGATCACAGAGTTGCATGAAGCTACTCTTGTGGAAGTGGGAAAAAAGCTTTTTGAATGATTCAAACAAGAAAAGGCTCTTGAAGGACAGCATGCGTAATTGAAAAACACGCTCTACTGTTCCAAGAAAATCCATGGCCATTTAATTATTGAGCGTAGTCAGGAAATGGTGCCCACCCAGTCTGTCCGTACAGTGCTTTATAGGGACTCATTGATTAAGTGATATTGGATACAGACTGCCAGCTGCAGTCACTTGTCTGTGCTGGCTTCACAGTTCTCCATTGATGCAGTTGATTATATGAAGAATGCAGGCTGATTCTCAACAAATGTGGGGAAAAAAATATTTGGATGGTCTGAGTTGATACCGCTGCATAACATTTAAAATGCTGGCATTCAGTCACTCTTGTCAGCATCCTTGGCAGCTTATCATACCCCAGTACCCGGAAATGTTTCTTAACATCTGTTGAAATGAAAATTTGCTCAGAGTTACATGTAGAATGGACTTTTTTTTTTGATTGGTATGATCGCGGTATGCTTATAGTCTCATTTAAATACATGTACTCATCTGCTAGTATGTTCATGTATGGCCTTCAAACGGTCAAGGAGAATTTAGAGGACACCAGTGAAACTTGAACACGATGACTCCATGTATTGCAGGCCTACTTTATGGATTACGCATATGATAAAGTTCAAAATATGACTGACCAAGTACTTCCTGGATAATGTGAGAGTTCATGGTATTTGACACATGATAAGATGATGGCATACTTCTCATGTGATGATGGCATACCATTCATCTCTGACAGGAGTAAGGACTACATAGTCTTTTGATCCTGACTTCTAGAAAAGATCCTTTTATTTTGTTCTATCTGTGAGACTTGAAGTAGGATGCGTATCTGTTACTAAGAATGCAAAAGGGAGAGATTTTCTTGGAGCACACTGTCCAGAAAATGGCCCTGAGGTGGGAGTTAATATTTGTGGTGTGTTTTAAAATTAAAGGCATTTGTTAACCCTACATGTACACTGTACCTCTCTTAAGACTCCTGAACACTGGCCAGGCAGCTTTAGTCTGATTTTGAAGGTTTGAGTGAAGTACATGTACACCTCAGCCCCATCACTGTTATAGTGTGGTACTTAGGGGCCCCTTGATAGCTGAAAAAGGAAGAGGTTCAGAAGAATATGTCATTGGTTTCCTGCACTGTGTTAGGTTCTGATAGATTATGGTTCCAAGTAGATGAGTTAACATGCAGGGTTAAACAAGTTTCATTCAGGTCTAAGTTGATAATTGACAATGTTAAGGTTATTCACTGCTAAATGACTCCTTGTACGCTGTGCACACATACGTTGCAAAACTACCATAACCCATGAATGACAATATATGTGAACACCTCATATCTTGCAAAGACATAATAAAATTTGTGCCCCTGGGAAATGAAATTGGTGTTAATTCACACACCCTTCCCTTTAAAACTGCATTTTTTTTTCCTGTTGCAATTGCAAGCCCAGGCCTCCTTCATTAATCACCTCCAACATGCCTGTCATGAAAACAGACACCCTGGCAGGGATAAATTGGGGAAATTAATTCGCTGCAGACCGTTTTTCATGCTGTCCTTAGTAGACAATCTCAGGGGTGAGGTGTCCAACAGTATCCAGGAGATTTGTCGCTTGGTGTGTAGGTCGGGCTGTGAGTTGATGAAGCAGTGATTGCATATCTCAGATAGAGAGAGAAAGAGAGACTGATTTTGGAGGTGTGTCCTGGGTAACTTATGACATGCATTTTTTTCCCCACCATGGTGATGAGCGGCTGTCACTGTCAGGGTTCGTCTCTTGGGTGTAAGAAGCAGGATGGAAATGGGAACTGTGTTCCTTGCATGTGTCTTGCAATAAAATACACAACTGCTGTGGTCATAGATTTCATGTATGTAAAAGGTTTATGGTTGGTAGTCAGTAACAAGGGGAGACTGGACTGGACCATAATTTTTTGTTCATCAGAATAGGATTATTAAGCTTTCATGAATAAAACAAGCTCAGGATCAAGGTACCAAAGTTTTTGAACAGAATTCTTTTTCAGCTTGAACTGATATCCAACGATCTTTTAATTTCAAGATCAAAGATGTACTGCTTTATAATACCCCGGTACCTGTACATGCCCGTGATAATTTGAGACCTTTCAGGGCAAATCATTTGAATAGAATGGTAATTTCCTGGGGTAGAAATGGGAATTTCCCCGTTTTCAGTCCCATAACGTCACAAAGGATACAAAATTGCATAACCATGATATCAACTGAAAAACAAACGATTGTTTTTCTGTACGTTAAATTTGCTGTTGCAGCTTCTTTTTTTTACTGCACATTCTGTGCAGGGTCGTGGTATTGTGTCTGTTCCATGGTTCAACAAGGTACATGTAGCATGTTATTACAAAGCAGGTATGCCAAGGTTCATGCACCCCACACACAGCAAAAGAAAGAAAGGAAAAGTTTTCAAAGGAGACCTGGTATTCAAGCCCAGGGTAACTGGTCTTTCAATAGATACCATGGCAACTATAACAAAAGACATAAACGAATGGAGGCTACAGCAGAATTTTTTTTTTCTCTGAATAGTTTTGTTTTCCTTGGTACTCTGCTTTGATGAGCTGGCGTACGTGCAGTTTGCCTCGTGCCTTTGCCATCCCTCCCCCGTCAAAAAAAATTCAAATTGTACAAATTCTTGCAAGTTTACAGAAATACTGACAGAAGTGGAACTAACAGTGAAAGCCCGATATTAATTTTGATGATTTTGAAGAGGAGTAGCAGTGGGTTGGTTAAGTCCTTGCTCTATGGTGAAGTGGGGCACACTTCTCAAGATTATCCAAAAGCCTGTAGATTCTCAATGATACGTACATGTGCACATATTGTACTGCACATATTGTATCAGTTGCGCTACTTGATGTGAATTTGTATGATGCGTGTAGCCATCTGTTAAAGGCTGTGTGATCACTGTATGGTAAAGTGATTTGTTACTACGTGTATTAGCTTAATCATTTTATGAGGGTTTCCATGGAAATAAATGGACTGGTCTCTTTATATTTTATTAGTATTGCAGTTCAAAGAGGCAAAGGTGTCCTTTATTTTGATTAATTGATTGGTTTCACTGGTACATGTGCACTGAATTGCTTTTTCACACACGTATTTGCTGTAGGGCAACTCAGCATTTTTTGTGGGAAAAGACGGTGTTGTGTTCTGGTTTTGTTTTCACCTCAGTTTCTTGCGTAGTTTAGGTACCTGGGAGTTATACTAGAAGTTACACATATTTTCTTCACAAGAAAATTCCAGGATTATGAAGTAAGCATATTTTGTGTACCATGTAGCTTAATGTTGGATTTAAAGCTACATTATTGTCACTGATTTGACCCCCTTCAACATAACAGCCACTTTCCCCAAGTGATTTCCACTATTCCCCACGGGTCCCTACCCTTGCAGTCATCCACAGTCATGCCCTGGTATACTTTTCCTCCCTTTACATTCATAACTCTTTTATTACATTTATAACTCTTTAATGTCAGAGTAACTGAGTACTTGCCCTAGTTCCTGTATTTTATTCTGGTAGTGACTCTAAACCCCCTTTATTGTATTGGAGTCTACTAGGCAACACAGTCTATTATTTACATATCAATCTCACACAGTAGTCTGTCTCTGGAGGTGATCATCCCTTGCATTGTTGGGCAAATTTTTGTACCCCTCATCAGCTCAGTGCACCCCTTCAGGTACCCCTTCATGGCCACTTGTGTGCCCCTTGCATTGCACGCTTGGCTACCTGCCTTTTTTTCACAAGCCCTTCCACAATACTCCATTGACTGACAATGGGTGTACAGTCATCACCAACCACCAGTGCTGAAAACACCTCCCGGGTGGGTAATAGGGTCTTTTAGGTCTCTGTCATCTTTTCACAGAAGGCAGGATGCTGTCTTGTCTGTGAATGGAGTTCATTGGGAATGCTCATTCATCCATTTGTCCATGCTTGAAGCTAGGTGATCTTGGCTCTGTAACTAATCTGAGTCCGTCCACAGAGGAATGAGGATTTCTGTCCAACATTTCCTGTAATGTGTGCTATTTTTTGTTGATTATTTTCTCTCAGGATTTTACAACGACAAGTTGTTGGTAAGTTCGTTTGTTTTCAGGTCCCAAGTATTTCTTGCTCTCAGGTTGAGGTCATTAGAGCATTTAGAGTTAATTCTATGGTTCGCATTTCTGACTGACTCTTTTTTGGCTCCAGTCATGTTCCAACTGAGGAAAAAAACCCTGTTTTTAAGCACTAACCCAGTCTTGGAATGCCAAGCAAGAAAAAAAAAGGAGAAAAAGGGATAATCTTAAGAATTTTGGGGGACACTCCGGCATAACAGCCACCAGCAAAAATCTCTTTTACCCTCTCTTTTCGTCCTACTGGGCAACCTTCCCTCAAGGTAAAAAGATACGAGAACCATAGAATTAACTATGAATGCCTTTATCTGAAGTAAGTTGACCAGAGTGGATTCCTTCCCCACATCAGAAGTGTTGGGATGGGCAACAGTGTCAGTAAAGCCGCTGGCGAACATGCCGCGTATCTAGAAGGAAGTCGTTGGAAGTTGGAAAGGTTTTGCTAAAAATGTGGATGTGTTTGCTAGTTTTTGTGTAAGTGCTGTGTGTGTGACAAGTTCCCCGAATTGAAAAGAAGTGAAACTCATCTGAACAGCTTTCACCATACATGGATATGTGTAACTCGACTGTAGACTTGTTACCATCCTGTGAAATATACCGGTATGTACAGGCATACTCTGAAAAGTGAAGACTGATTATTGAAATAAGTCTGTTTGCAGCTGACTGCAGAGTTTAAACTGTCCAGTGATATACAGGCTCCATATTAAAAAATAGCTGGACAGTTGCATGTCTTGTGTACTTAAGTTCAGGTGATAAAACAGTGATGTCCCTCATGTTTGCACTGCTGCTGTTGACATAGTTTCAGCTGGAGATAGAAGTCCGACCTGCAGTGGTTGAGTCATTGGCGCTGACAGTGAATACGTACACTATTCTGTGAATGTAGTTCTTCACAACATTTGTGGCCATGCGCATGAATTCTTTTGAGAAAAGGTCTTATGTTGGCATCTTACTTTGCACTTCAAAGTTTTTTTGGGGGGGGGGTTCTTGCCACGGTGGGAGGAAGCTGCACTGATTGAACAGGTAGTTGTATGCTCAGGTGTTGGCAGTCATCAGTATCCGCTTGTTAGCCTGCTGTGCTGTCAGTGACCCAACCTCCCACTGATAGCGACAGCCCAGATATGGCAGTCACCACATTCCAGCGTTGTGGGAGGCGGCTGGCACCCATCACATGTTGTGGTTGGTTAGGACAGTGGACATGCTCTGTTATTAAAGGGATTGTACAGTGGACTTAGCCTATGAGAATACCGATATTGTAATATTTTCATTCTATTTAGAGTGTTTTTTTATAATGAGGGATTCCAGCTCTCTGTTCATCAGGCTCTAGTGGAGACAGATTTTAAGCTTTCTTGTAAATTTTGGAAATTTTATTTATGCATGTAAGGCAAATATAAAAAGCAGAAATGGACACGTGTTGATAAAACCTCTCCTCAAACCAGACAGCTTTGCCTGCTTTAAGTCAGGAAATATATTCACTGAAACATCCTGGAGTCCTCCACACAATCAGGACTGATGATTGGTTTTGGTTGGCGACCCTGGTACACCAAAGTTTCCCCTCACCAGAGCAGCACTCTACCTAGTGCACACTGCTAGTGCATAACCCCAGGCTGTAGCTCTGGCTTGATATATTTTGAAGGATCACTGGGCTGGATAAAACCTGACACCTGACCATGCCCTCTAAACAGCTTGAATGGCCCTGAATGGCTTGATCGGTTTACAAGGTTTATTATGCTTATGGCTGTGAACTTGTGTCAGGGTGGTTTTAATGAGGAGACCGAGGCGTGACTGAACATATTGGAGCCCCTGAGGGTTAAGACCAGCAGTTACTCTTGATTCAAGCAGAGAGTAGGACTTAAAGCCCTTGCTGAAAAAGAAGTTGCAATTTCCCCCCAAAGGACAACTGTATCACTGAGACTTAATGCAAGTCTTTTTGAATCCGGACTGAACAGATGAAAGCTCTTCACCAGTGTACATGTACATGGAATTTAAACTTTAAATTGTTGGTTACTTTTAGATATTTGTGCCGAAAGTTGATCTGTGAAGTTGCTTTCACCTCTTCTGCTGTAAATGTTTTGATTTAGCAATCTAAGGGCTAAAATAAATCATCAAGAACCTTTTCAAAGAATCCATCTCACCTTGAAATTAGTCATTTCCATAATACATATTTCACCAACTTTACTTCATGTACTTACACGCTGTGTTCAGATCTGCCTTGTGATAAAATTAAGCAGGTGTAAAACACGCACTTGTTCTTAAGTGTACATGTACATGTGTGCAGATAAGTCTCAAGGGTGTTTTTCTGAGTTCATATTACCACACTAATCTGTTTGGCTTGGGTTTTGTCCCCATTCAGTCATGCAGACAGATGGAACAATAGAACCCTGTCTACACTGACCAGTGTAAAGACCCACGGTCATCTGGACATCAGTGGTCAAGTTAGTAATGAGCCTGAGTCGATGACCTCCAGGTGCTTACAAATCAATACAGGGGATCACACAATTGGAACCCAGTGGTCCAAACTAACCAAAAGACTCTCAGTGTTCAAGTGAATCCACCTCAGCTCGGCTTTGTAAATTACAGTGAATGAAGTTGCTGATGGGTTTTGAATGACAAAAAAAAAAGGAACCCAGCGAAACTCTTGTTTTCATTAGGAATCCAGAGCGAATTCCTCTTACATGTAGTTGGTATGACAGGTCAGTTAAAGAGAGACTTTTTAGACCATGTTGTCCTCACATTGTTAGGGCTGTTGTATTTTGGTTCACTCTCCCGACCCTTTTGAAAAAAATCGTAACTGTTATCACTAAACTGACAAATATATACATGTACATGTGTAGTCTTAATTATATATAGTTATATGGATATGAATTAAAATCTTAACTTAAATTTCAGTTCCCTGCGTATAAAATATCAGATTTTAATTTTCTTGTTTTTTGTTGTTTACTGACAGCCTGACTTGAAGACTCGCCATGAGGACCAACTCGAGATACCAGAGACGTTGATGCTAACGATCAAACACCAAAGATCTTGCAATGAGTACCGGTGCTCATTGATTGGACAGTGCGTCCTCAGACTGCCATTATGCCGAGCGAAGACAAGAAAGCCAGGCAGTCGGAACTAACCAAGTAAGTCCTCAAATGATGGGATCAACAGAAAAGTGTGTTGAAATGCATTGAATATACATGTACCTTTTGAAAGCAAAATTGCTACTAAAGTGGGTTCTACATGTGTACATGTATATCCAACTGTATGCTGAACCGTGTTGATATCCCAACATCCATGTACATGTAGTATGGCACATGAGATATTCCTGACTCCAAGTTACTGGCTGGCAGCGATCTTTCATCACGATTCCAGATTGTACATTCTCAACCACATTCCTTGGCAACTGCCTTCAGGCTGGCAAAATATTTTCAGAGGTTCAGCTTGTAAGGGGCCGCATTACGGAAGGAAGGGACGGGAAGGAAAGCGGAGACAAAGATCCTGTAGCCCTGGTAGGGGATCAGTTGGTCGGGGATATCGGAGAGGGAGAAGGGGATTTGTTTTTGTAAGCACAGTTCGGGAAAGTGGAAGCTGATCTCACTGTGTGTTCATCTTTGTTGTACCAATAGCCTTCAAAACCTAAAACTATTAATAACATGACACAGAGAGTTGTGGAGGAGCTCTCTTGAATGTTGATGTGAGGAGGGAACAGAAAGATCTTTATTGTTCTAGCTTCGCACCTTCGTGTGTATGGTGTTGGATTCTACTTTGTTCAGTGGGTAAAATTGATTATGTGTATTCCCCCGCTTCCCACTTACAATGTAGAAAAAATTTCTAAGCATTTCAGGATTAGAAAGTGAACAGATGTCAACTACCTCACAGCTGAGTGAAACAGATTTTTAAGTTTGAATGTGATTTTTGGTGTGTGTTTTATCAGGTCTGAAATTTTGTGAGCAGTTTCTTACTTGCCCACTGGAATATTAAAAGCTGCAGTTGGTTTTGGATTTTCTAATCCATGTATACCCAGGTGTCTTAAGTGTTGGTACCTAGCAGCAATAAGACAAACATGTATACCTTACCGGAGCACCCGATTATGAATTACTTTGATGGACATGATGAGAACCTTGGTTTTAGTTAAGAGCTATTGAGCTATTGTCACTGGGTATGCCAACATTCAGGCACAACAGCCAATTAATTGCCAATTTATTTTTAATTACCACCATTTAGTAGCTTCTGAGTACATCAATAAAAGGTGTAGAAATGTGTTTTAGAGGTCACTAAACAAAATGGACCATCCCTATAGCATTTTGTCATTCATTAACCCTGACACTCCTCAATCCTTCACCTGCTGGAGGATTGAGGACTGTTAGGGTTAATGGTTGGTACTCCTCAACTGTGCATTCTGTACCTCGCAGTATGCTGGTAACTGCTAATGACCTGGTCCATACTGGAGGAGTAAATCCATCTTTTTAACAACTGAGAGTGGACAGGAATGCCATTTTTAGGGTGGGAAGAGAAATTGAATGCTGTTTTCTTCCAGAGAGGTAAAGAGGTGGCAAATGAAGTCAGCCCAGAACAGTCTGAAACGCGGACTGTTTTTCTTTTGTTCTTGAAAATTTAATTTAAGGATTTTTTTTTTCAGAGAAACCAAAGAATTGACAAGACTTCTTGAGCTACTGAAGACCCCAACAAGTAAACAGCAGGTAACTTTTTTTTCTTCCTGAACTTTGTAATTGTCAGATTGCTGTTCCTAAACTTGATTGACATAATATGGCATTATTTTCTAATTAGTATTTTATTCAGTAAACTTCTTACACTATTTCGGTTTTGTTTGGATGTAATTTTGTTGTTTGTTTGCTGTTCCAGTTGCCATCACTTGATTATGACCCTGCCAACATCAATAACAACAACAATGTCTTGAAATCAGGGAACGGGGCCCAGCGACCTGCCAAATCAGGGTCATGTCAGCACCAAAGCTCAGAGGCAGTGGCTTTGGAAAATTTCAGGTAAATTTACAAATTTGTCACCAATTTGGGGAAAAAAAAAACCCCGAGCATGCATGGCGCATTTGGTTGGATTAGGTGTTGATCTTTGTATCAGACTGAAGCTGGAATAGACTTCGGAGTTTCTGAGTCACCTTATTGAGTTGAACTTGAGTTTGAGTTGTGACTATTTCTTGAGTTGGTCTCTTGAGTTACATGTTATACATGTAGGATGAGTTACTCATTCCACGTCACAAACTCTGCTGCTCGAGTGTGACTGTGAGTCATAGTGAGCCACTTGCTTTCAGGTTTGTTTGGTTTCAAGCCTCATAGATGAGGTTTGACTTAAGCTCAAACCTTACCGGTAGATTCTGGCAAATTCAAGTTGCAATTCTGAAATTCATTGTACCTCTAAGTTTAGCATTAAATTCATTTTGCTGAAACCAGCGGCACTTGTTTCAAAGTGTAATATTTCAAACTTTGGTATATAATTAATCCTAGAAGTTCCAAAGTTGAGCATTCAATGTTCTTTTTTTTCCCCACAGCACAAAATATCAAAATGAAAGAAATTTTGGCAGTCACAAACACCAGGAGCTTTTTGATAAGGTATGTTGTTATTTATTAAAAATATTTAATGTAATGTAATCTTTGAAAGCTCATTTCTTATGAAAGGTTAAGTCTCCCACAGTATCAATGACAATAAATAAGTGTGGGAAATATAATGTTAAATCGTCAAACGAAACCCACACAGACTTTATGTCAAGGTTTGGGTATACAGTTTACCTGTCCATGGATTATAAATTCACTAGTTACTATTTTGATAACACAAGTGTTTACTAAAATTAGATTTGGAAGGACATTTCTAGATTTCTAAAGTAGACATGTCCATTGAATTCTTTTTGTTGGCTGCACTGCTCATCATAAATTTGTTCTGCGGTAACCAGTTGCTATGGTAACCAGGCTTTTGTCTGTAATTTGCACGGAGGTCGGTTTCCGTACTGTAATGATGTCATTGGCTTGTCGCATTATTAGCGCTTGTGTAATTGTGCATGCCGCACCTGATGGGAGCTTGTGTAGCTGTCTGTCTAGGAGGTAATAGCAGGTATTGTGTGCATCACGTCATCTTTGCAACCACACGTAGACCTTTCAGTGGCATTTTCGTGTGACACTACCAAGGGTTTTTGTTTCAGTTGAATGGAAGGACGTGTTGTTGTGGCTGGGTACAACGTTCAAACACGTTTGGCTCAATAAATTACGTCCAGCAGTCGACGTGTTTCGCACAGTGCTGCAAGCACACAAAAAAAATGGGTTCTGACTGAAAATATGCCCAGTTGCTTTAAGTTATTGTAACTTTCTTGTGCTTCACATAATAATGGAATTGGAAAAAAAAATGGAGTCAGATTTTTTAGTTAAATGGTTCATCAAAGGATCGGGTGTAAAATATGGTACCTCTGGTCACCTATGAATTCTAAAATGAGAGACACAAAGCCTCACTCTGTCCTGATACTACCTTAATCAATATCTTCAGACTCTGCTGAGGGTAAAATTTTTAGAAATAAAACTGTTTATACATGAGTATTGTGTTACCCTTGGTTTCCATCTCAATTTCTGTTCACAAAGCCGCCTGGTGGACCAGGAGCTGGGCATTTCCTGAGGACTTGCCAAGATAGAAATTGATATTGTTTGACTTTGTTGCTGGTTGTTGAAATGGTAGTCTTTGACCTTGTTTCCACATGAGATGAAATCAATATTTCACGAACAAGGTGTACATTCTTTGGGAGGTTTAGAAATTCAAGAGACTAGGGTATCAAATTGTGAGTCCGTTTGGCTACTTGTGAATTGAATGTCTTACAAAATATGCCTTTGTTTCTAGGTGAAGCAAGCATTTGAATTACACTTGAAAAAATCCCAATATGTAGTTTACGATAGGCCACAATTTCAACCTTTATAACTTATTCAGAAGTCTCAATTTTTCTTATTTTTGTTATTCTTTTCCTCACTTTCAGATCTTCTCAGCCCTTGTCAAAAGTAGATTATGCCAAATGTAAGTGTGACCGCTTTTCCCCCCCCTAAACCTTTTCTTATACATGTTCCAGTACTTCAAGATTTACCTGTGAAATATCGTTCAAACCACAGTTTATATATGAGACACTCGCCTCTCAGTCCCAAGTACAAAACAGCTTCTTCAGCTAAAGGACCATAATTCAATACCACTCAGCGACGGTTTTCCTCGTCTATAATTCCCATTGACATCTTTCTCAAAGAGTCACTTGAGTCACAGTCCGGCTGGCCAAGGAAGTGATACACCCGGCCTCTTTTCGTTCATTTCTTCCCCGCATCAATAAGATGCTCTGCATACAGACTGCTCACAGAGCAAACAGTAAATTATGGATTTTCGTATAGTCAGCCTTGACATCAAGTTAATGGAAGGGGAAGACGGTAGGGCATTGGAGGCCCATCCATAATTTATTTTCCGTTTGTGATAACGTGTCGAGTCCTTAAGTGGTTGTAAATCATGAGACCGTTTTATATACATGTATTAGAAACAGGTTGCAAGCCATGCAGGAAAAACTGTGTTGGACCATATCAATAAGTGTGAAATGGGAACATATGTTCATGTCTCATGCTCGAGATCGTAGCTGTTTGGGCTGGAATTCTGGGGGAAAAAAGTGGAAAACAAAAATCACATCTGTCTCTTGTAAAACAATCATTTGATCAGATGCTCAACTTTTGTACAGCTCATTTTTGGCATGCGAAGTCTTAGATTTCTGAACTCTATAGTGACTGATGAAACTTAACCATATTTTCAGGAAGTCATGCACGTTAAAAGATAGTTAATTTGATTTTGTGATTCCCTCTCTCTTTTCTCAGAGAATGGTCGGAGAGAGCACCCCCAGAAAACATTGTCAGGGTTTTACTGTGCCTTCGAATGTTATTGAGAGACCAAGCCTACCAGGTAAACCTCTCCCCTTTGGAAATGTCTCCTAGATTGTTTTAGACAGCCCCTTCTTCTTTAAAAGTCTTGGCTCCCGTGTCATTTCACCTTTCAAAATTCATTACTTAAGTCTCTGTCTCTGTTCTTTTAAGGTGCCCTGGGTGGGACACCTTAAAAATCTATACCTTCAATCAATACTGCATTCACCCATGACTGATTTTATTATTTTTTGTTAATGTACCCCGTGACTGTACACTATCAAATACCATTATGAAATCCCCCAGCCTTACATGAAGTTTTCCTGGCAGAATGACCTTGTCACAGAAAATAAATTAGGTTAAGTCCATGAGTCATGCTGCGAGCATTCTTTTCTATTTTCCCCGTCTGAAATTTTAATGGAGAAAGTCTGGGAACAGAGACTATATTCAACATGTGTGTGGAAGCTGTTCCAGAAATTAAACTAACAATGTGAAACCAGTCCTGTTTTAGAGACCGTAAGCAATATTGACGCTCATTCATCTCTTGTCTATAATGATAATAATGATAATAACATTTATAAAGCTCATTTTTCCAAAGGTTACAATGCGCTGGGAAAAAGCAACTGCAGGAAAGTAAACCAGGTGCTAAGACAAAATAAGTGGGAGCAGATGACCCAAACCTAGAGTGGAAACAGATGAGATTTAAGTTTACAATTGAACTGTTGTAGGGAGTTGCAGTTACAAATACTAAGAGGTAATGAGTTCCAGCATCTGGGTCCAGCAACAGAAAAAGCCCCGTCTCCTACTTTTTTGAATGTACGTGGTATTTTTAGATTGATGCAGTCTGAGCCATCTCTCCCTGGCTTGCGCAACTTCATTAGTAACAAACATGGGATTTTTACCTTTCAGCAGTGTAAAGATAATGATCCAGACTGTTGTAAGCTCACAAAGGACAGGATACTGTCCCATAAGCCTCAGTGGCCTCATTATTGAAGTGTTCTGCTTTTAATCATGATCTGTTTATCTTTGTTTTTATCGCTAGAAAATTCTGTTCAAGTCGGAGGGTGTGAAAGTACTGTCTGAGGTAAAAATCATCAAATTGTTATTTAATTTGAAGCCAGCGGCTTGACTTTGAAAAGTAATTTTAGTTTTGATTTGATGTCGTTCGTTAGTTGGCTATTTTCACAAGTGGATTGAGGTATGCTCGGTGGTCATTTTGCCCAAATGATGTGGATTTTTCTGTGTCTCTTTTTCATCTTGGTTTTTCTTTTTTTGTTTTCTTTTTTCTTTTAATTGCATCAATATTCAAAAGTGTTTTAGAAGTGTAAGTTGTAAATGTATAATGATGTGTTCAGTTGTTGAAATATTATTGTAATTTCATTTGACGTCACCCTAGAAACTGCATATAGCAACAGAGAGCTACCTCAGGAATGGACAACAACCGTTTATGGTGGATATCCTCAAGGAAATGACCAGTGAGTTAGAAATTCTCCACTTTTCCTTAAATTATAGTAATCATTTAAACTATTCATTGAGCCATTGGTTTATATTGTTAGACTTTGCATATTTTATTATCTTTGTCTTTTCTTCTTTCAGACATTTTCCAGAAATTGGCAAGTGATGAGAAACAGCGAGAGCTGCTCATCGCGTACGGGGCACACAAGGTTTGTTTTATCATGCGCATAGTCTTCATTGTTCAAACCATTTTGAACTCTACAAAACTAAGCTCATGGCTTTTTTTCTTTCATCGTGGTTTAAAAAAAAATCTATTGTTGCCTGTGAGGATTTTTCTTCAGAACTCTGACTGAACATAGATGTAAGGCCATGTCCGAAACGCACTTCCAGAGCTACAGCTAGGGCTATTGTCTGCGCATCTCCAAGCATTTCCAATGGAGCGAAGACCTAGGCCTAGCTCTAGACAAGAGATTCGGATGCAGCCTAAATCTTGTTTGCATTTGTTTCTTTTCACAGCCACTAGTGTTACTACTATCAGCCAGTGATGTACTGGTGCTGCACTGTTCACTTTATGCACTCATTAGTATAGCGCAGAGGTGAGTTACCCACTTAAACCCCTGCCCTCCCCAATCATTTCAACTATCAAATTCCTTCAGAAAAATCTGTGAAGTTAAGTAGAGGAAGAGTACCTTTTTTTAATAAATTTCAAATTCCTTAAAGGGTTTATCGGCGCTGTGTAAGCGAAAGACTAATGCAGGTTGTGTTTTTGTGTGCGTGTCTGTCTTTGCCAGCCCCGAGCCGAGAGCTGTGATTGGGGAGTTGGACTGCATTGAGACCCTACTCAGAATCATCCAGGAATACGACATGCTGTCCAAAAAGTAAGTGGCCAATGACAAGCGAAAATGAAGTTGGAGTCAGCAGCTGAGTCTGTCTTCTGGACCATACTCTTCTCACCGTTACTCTAGCAGTCACAGCTTTCTTTGGATTCCTTTGTCTGTCTGTTTACCTGTGCACAGGTTGGCGGCAGTCTTACTGAGGACCCTGTGCCTGGAGAGTCAAGTCAAGGAACAAGTCAAGATTTGTGATGGCGTCCCAGTCCTACTCAGTGTCTTACACTGTGACAACATCAAACTGCTCTTAGATGTGGTAAGTTCATAAATGAACGCACTAACCTGGTTACACTATCATGGTTATTCTCAAACTCTGTAGGCATCGGTGTGCATATTTATTTAGTGAATTTTTTCCAAATCCTACACAGGAACTTCTGCCGTCCTGATTGATCTTGAGGGATCTAGGAGTTAATTAAATTTGTGCTTAAAGCCTGGGTAATTGGATAGGTTTTGATTTGTAAAATTTCTCTCTGTTTGAAATCAATGATACTGGTGATCTTTGTAAGGTTACCACTCCATACTCAGCACAGAGTGTAACGTATAGAGCCAATTCTTGTCTTTTCAGGTGTGGTGTATAGTCTTGCTTTCTGGAGACTTGGACACAAGCAACGATGTCCGAATCATGGGTGGTATTCCTCTGCTGTTGTCGTTACTTCAGTAAGTCGACATTCAACGTTCTCGGCGACATAATGATCGATCGATGGAGTAGGTCGTACATGTATATCAATAAGTATCAAGAATTTCACAAATAAATATTTGATTCTGATTGAATTCGTTTGGTTTCTTTGCCAGGGGTAAACATTTCACGACAGACCGTATGGCAACAAGCAGCCTGCCCAGTGCCAGCTCGTCTGGACGAATACATTCCTTGAATTTTCCCGAAGAAACGGTTAGTTCTCAAAGTTGTGGGAAAATGTTGACCAGTTTCTCCCACTAGCTCAAGATGGTTGCCATTCCTCGATTTATTTCCTGACAGTGCCAGTCATCTCGACAGTTAGGTACTTAAGGATCAGTTTGGAGTAAACAGAATCCACAGGGTTCCCAAATTTTTGTCCCAGAGTTTGAAGCTGAGAATTTTTGTTTGTTTGTTATATCGCAGGAAGAAGTGCAGCTGTCAGATATATTTACTCTACAGTCAGGTAAGACCATTTTCCCCCGTCAAGCCAACCTTTAAAATCTTGAAAGCTGCTCACAAATTTCGTCACGTCTGAAGTTAACGATGTAGTCTCAACAGAATTATGAGAAACACCATGCTTTTATCTGTCCTTGCAGCTTGCTGTTCAGCCTTAACAGAACTTGTACTGAATGACACCAACGGCCAGCAAATTGTACAGGTAGATTGATTGCTTGTCCATCGATCCTGATGATTATTGCCTTTTATTTGGGTGAAAAAATAAGACGGAAACATTCCGACGTTTGAGATTGTTTGCACTTTGTTTTCTAGTTGCAGTTTTTTTGTTTCTCTGCAGAACAATGGTATTTATTGCCTTGGGATGTTGATATTTCCAAGAGCAACTACAAGCTCAAGGGAAGCCGAAGCAATGACCAATTTACAGGTTTGTAAACTTGGACTTTAAGACTCTACAAATGACAGATTTAAATGATTATATTATATATCAAGATCACTTGTCAATGTGTGAGCTCTTGTCAGTAAGCTAAAAATTCAAAGACGAATGCCGTTTGAAGGATTAAGTTTTGGGGGATCATTTGCAGAAAAATGCATTCCGGACGCTGCGTTTCCTGTTCAGCATGGAGAGGAATAGACAGATGTTCAAGCGGCTCTTCCCTCCGGACCTCTTTGAGACGTTCATTGATGTGGGGCACTACGTGAAGGACATCAATGCGTACAATTCTTTGGTGACACTGGTCAACAGCCTGGCTGTAAGTTATCTTGTCTTAAAGAAAAGCAGGACGTTTACTTCCGTCTGATAAAGTTTGGATGCTTGCGATGTTCGGGGAGATCTGGTGTACAGTTTCAATTCATGTCGAGTCAACAAGACCGTTTGAAAAGTAATTTATTCTCTGCTTGCATTTACAAGGTACAATTGAAAACTGATTGTAAAAGGGGACAGCCATTCCACCTCAGACCTATTTTCCATTTAAATGATTCAGAGAGAAGTGCCCACCAAGCTGTTTTCAGAAATTCAAAATTCTTCCACTCTGTCCTCTTGAGCATTTTTTGATCTGTCACGAACGAAGACATTTTTTATACAAGTGTTAACGTGATCAGCTCTTGTGAACAAACATGTTCATCATTGGTAATAGAAAAGGTTCTTTCCAACAGGATGAAAAGGTTCAAGAGATCCAACTGACATTTCAGGAAGTCAATCAGAACAAGGAACCTTCGAAATTAATCTCAGGCTACCTGGTCTATGAGCATCTCGGCACAGGAGCATTCGGCAGTGTCTACAAGGTACAGATATGAACCCTTACTTCCCCTACTTCGCCTTATGCTGTTACTCAGATGCTTGTTTGTTGTGTATCTTAAGATTCTCTGTCAATCAACCCTTCATCAATTTGATCCTGGTGATAACAGGTGAAGAAGAACACAGGGGAGAATTTCCTGGCCCTGAAGGAGATTCGCTACAACAACCCAGCCGTTGGGAAGACGGTCAAGGAGAAGGATAAGAGCATTGATAGCATCGTCAGTGAGCTGTCTATCATCAAGGAGCACCTCCGACATCCTAACGTTGTTCGTTACTACAGGACATTCAAAGAGAGTGAGTAGAAGACGTCGGTTTACCAGTTTTGGGGCTGAAATCCCTCGGATAATGAACTGAGCGAGCTGCAAGCAAACGTTACAAGTAAAAATTAATCCCAGCGGAGGATGTTGAGATTTTGAGATAAAGGAGCTCTTTCTAAACAACTGGGCTGATTTAAGATAAATCGCACTTTGATATCTGTCATCATCCCAGACGAGAATCTGTACATCGTGATGGAACTGATAGAGGGCGCCCCACTCTACGAACACTTCAACTCTCTCAAGGAGAAAGGGGAGCAGTTCTCGGAGGAGCGCATCTGGCACATCTTCCTGCAGATCGTCCTAGCGCTGCGGTACCTGCACAAGGAGAAGAAGATTGTCCACCGAGACTTGACACCCAACAACATCATGCTGGGGGAGAACGACAAAGTCACAATCAGTGAGTAGAATGGGTCTAGACCTTTCACAACGGAAGCCAAAATCACCTGTTGGCCTCTTTTATATCTTAGTACCAGACTTTCTCCCACTCCAGGGTGTTTTCAAAAGGAAGCCCTCTTTTGAAAATCTTGTCAGTCTCTGAAAACTGCTTTGTTAAAATTCCACGATATGCATGTGACTCTTCTTTGATTTTTTTTATAGCTGACTTTGGCCTTGCGCGACAGAAGCAACCAGATGCCAGCAAGATGACGTCAGTGGTTGGGACCATCCTGTACAACTGGTAAGCAATCAAGTTGTTATTTTTAAAAAATGACTGGTATTCACTGTGAAGTGTATTCCTGTCACAGGAAATTTACTGCTTCTATCATTTTGAGGAGGGTGGTATTTTTAAGTCTCGCTGACTTTAATGTTCAAGTAAACAGTTTCCTTAGAATTCCCAGATTTTTTCTCAAATGAGAGAATCGGAGTGCAGATTTAACTGCCAAATCAGACTTCTACTATTGCATGGGCAAGTCAAAAAGACAGTTTGAATACCAAGTGACCTCTCTGCCAATCTTTGACCTTAAGCCCCGAGATCATCCAGAATCAACCCTACGGCGAGAAGGCTGATGTCTGGGCAGCTGGCTGCATCCTGTACCAGATGTGCATGCTGAAGCCTCCCTTCTACAGCTCCAACATGCTGGCGTTGGCGAGCAAGATCGTGGAGGCCGACTATGAGCCCATACCCGCAGACAAGTACTCCCCGCTCATGATATCCACCATCAGACAGTAAGAATCGTTGTTAGAACTTCCCGAATTCGGTGCTTCAGTTGGTATTTGTGGCAATGAGGGTTGACGACATGCAAGAGAAGAGAGTCAGATTTCCAAGTATTTTTGCAAGTTGCTTGAGAAGCATAAATGTTTATGTTGAGTTATCATGCTTTTACTCTATAGTGCACTTTGTGAGGAGGTCTACTTGACATTTGGCAATGAATTAAAGACACCTGTTTACTACCCTTTTTGGGAGGAATTCTATGGAAAAAAATTCACGGATAAAATCTGCTTTCTTTGGAATTCAGTCGTCTGCCTAGTGCAAAGGGGTGTTTGTCCAGGTTGTCTTGAGGATTGTTGAACCTTATTTTCCCAGGTGTTTGACAGCCGATCCAGACAAGAGGCCGGACATCGTCCAGGTGGGTGGCCTGATAGCCGACATCATGATGCAGAACATGGACGCGCTCAGAACTAACCAGATCAGCTTGGAGAAGAAACTAGACCGGGAAAGGAAGAGGACGCAGAGGTGAGATGGACGTGTAGATCTGGGATGTCTAGTTTTATTGGCACCTATGTTATCTGCAACTTGAGAAAGCGACCAGCAGTTGATTTGATGTCACTAAGAATTCTAGTAGTCAAAACTTGATGTCCGTGTGCCATTTGGTAACCAGAACGTCGGGTGACCATTAAATTTGTCTTTTTCTCCCAAGACACCACAACGAGGCCACCAAGAACATGCAGAACTACCACCGTCTCTTCTTGGCATCGCAGGAGAGGTACGACAAGCTGGCAAACCTGGCCGGCAGCGGTGGGGCGTCCAGCATCAAGAGTGACTCTGACTCAAAGTAAGGAGATGTCTAGAATCTCCCTGATTTTCAACCTGTCTCCAAAACGTTACAGGCGTAGAACTAATGTATGACTGGGGTCTTGGACAACTCGAAAAAACACACAGTAGCCTAAATCTGATTTGCTTTCAATCACAGCGACGTCTTTGAATCCAGCGACGAGCAGCCCCCGCCAAACCGACCCCACCACATCGGACTGAACGGCAGCAGGTCACGGTACGGTCTTCACGACACAGACAAGAGCGTGGGTGAGTATTTGGCCGTACAGTTTGAATCCCTCCCCCCCCATCAAACAAAGAATCAGTGAGACTGAGTCAAAGTTGTCATGCCTGTGCTTAGCCTGTTGGTGTTTTTTACCCACATGCTCTCTGTATTCAGTTAGATATCGGATTCAGGTACATACAAGTGAAATGGAAACTGTCTTTTGAGACTCCATCAGTTGGACTCTGTCCTATTGGTTTTCTTTCAGGAGTCATAGTCGGACCATTTACTCACACCATGCCTTTGAATGTCTTTGTTCTTTGCTTTGTTTTAATCAGAGAGCGGTATTGAGGAAGATGATTCCTGCCTCGGCTGTGATAGCCTGGACTCCAGTGGTAGCAGCTCCGTCCTTGGTAGGTTGTTGTCATACTTCTCTGAATTTTTTATTTCCATTGCTACTTCATCATCTCCTCATGCTGTCTACCTGTGTCTGGATATGACTAGTCATCAGTCTAACTGGAAAACTGACCATTTCTTTAGTGTGTGCGATGAACTGTCTTTTTTTGTCATGCACTCTTACGCTCGAACACCCAACACGCAGTGAAAATTTCTGCTGTAGAATAGCAGATTGAGAAATGCCGGCATGATTTGCGTTTGCTGTGTTCTCACCACTTTTGCCATCTGACCTTTTAACCACCACCCCCCTCAACTCTGCCCCACTCTGCCCCTTTCAACCCCCTACATCAGGTTCCAGCCTCAACCTCAGTTCCAGTCAGAATCGGGGCACGTTTGCTGTGCCCCGCCCGCCGACAGTTGCCAAGAGCAGTAACGGTGGGATGCGATCCCTCACGGTTGATGTGCAAGGTGTGTGCTAGTCGTGTCACTGATACAGTCTTCCTTGCCTCGTACTTTTCTCAATTAATAGTTGTCTCACCATTTCTCATCTCAAGTTTGATAGCAGTTTGAAAGTTCAAGTTGGTTTTATCACATCTATTATGCCTCACAGATATGTGCATGCGTCCAGTATTTCTCACATGCCAGAGTGTTTAGATTAATTGCTCAAGTAATGTTTAAGGCTCATAGCACAGGATGGCACATTGCTTTCTATTGTCTCGTGTTATGCACCTGCCACCATCAAAACCTGTTATTAATTGAAGAGGAAATGATCTCGTTTCACCAACATCGTAATTGGCATCACCTGCTTGAGTGTAATTTGCAGTAAAAAGGTGTATATTCAGTTAAATACTATGGAACACCATCAAGAAGTTTTAAAAAAGTAAGAATAGTGCAGCATCAACCAGTGTGTCGTTATTTGTCATCTATGGTTAAAAAAAAATCAGCGTTAAGCACACCTTGTTTTGTGTGGTTTTTCTCCTTCAGCCGTCAATCGTGCCCTAGCTCAGCAAGGCTTAGCCTCGCCTGCTGACACCGCGACACCAGTGACGGACCGAGGCCGGCTGCTGAGGTCACAGAGTGGGTCGTTTCTGGAGACGCTGAGACGACAGTCATCCAATAGTGGGAAGCCTCGGCCACGTAAGTGTTCACTAGACACCATCCAAGGCCAAAGTTTAAGTGATACACCAAGCAAAGTACAACGCTCAGCCTGTTTTTGGGCCAAGCAGAAATGGGAGACAACCATTCTCAATAATACAGTTTTTCACTCCAGCCTGTGACCAGTTTTTGCTCAGCAAATATTTGCTGCTCTTAGCAACTTTCTTATGACAGACCTCACAGCACCCTCTTCAATCCTGCACAAACCTAATAGAATCTCTGTAGCAGCCGTTTCACATTCGTAATCTCAATTTCCCCCTCTGCCCATTCCCAGCCTCTGCGGCGCCCACCCTGACCATCTCCCCCCGCAAGGTGCGGCAGATCAGCGACCCTGTCCTCAAGATGCTGCACACCATCCACAAGATCATCTTCATCTGCCAGCTGCCGCCGACGCTGTCCCCCAACCCCCGCCGCAAGGTCATTGAGAGGTTCAAGAAGGCCCTCTTTGCCCCCCAGAGCAGCTCGGTCAACTTGAAGAACGAGCTCAAGAAGGTTGGTACACTCCACTCTTGCTCTTCCTCCACGTTTCCCTCTTCCCTTCGTCCTTGGGCTCTGATCTCATGGTTTCTCCTCTGAATTCAAGGTTTGTCTTGGAATAAGTTGATAAATTCCATCAGAATCGTGGCTGACACTTGTGCCCCTAAGCAAGACACCATACTGCAGTTTCTTTGATCACGCCATTCTGTTCCTAAGAGGGTTAGTTGCTGTTTAGTCTGTAGTGTATGGACCTTCGTTGTCTTGGATTGTTTCGGACAGTCTAAGATTGTCACATGAAGGCCTTGGAATGTTACAGATTATTACATTAGCCTTACATTATCTTGGATAATCTGTTGTGGTCCTGGAGGTACCTGATATCTAATTCCCTCCTGGTCCACAGCTGGTTAACGGCTCCAAGGAGCTGATCGATCTCAACCTGTGCACCACCGAGGCCTCGTACCTCCTGAAGCAGGCCAGTCACGAGGAGTCCCACATGCAGGTGTCGGGCGAGAAGCCCTCCATCGGAACCAGTCTTGACCCCAACGACACCGAGATTGGCATCACCTACGAGCAGATGCAGAACTTCATTGAGAGCGTGCTGGTGGAGAGCGGGTACTACGCCATGTCGCCCAATGCAAGGTAAGGGGATTGGCAGTGCTTTAACTAAAACGATACAAAGGGAGGCGTGGTGCTAGACTGATAATTGGGGGAGGGGCTTCAAAGATTTTTGGAGGAGGTAAAAAAAAAATTGATATTTTTCGTAATTGAGTAACTTAGTCTCAGACATTTTGAGATATTAAAATCGGGGCAGGGGTTCCCATGAATTGGAAACTTTTATAGAATTTGGTAGGTAGAATTTATAGGGTGCAAACCTTGGTGAAGATGAGTAACTTGTTGCACTGCTTTTGTGAAAGCATGACTAGCACTAGTGTACTTGCTCAACAAGTACCAATTTACTTATGGAATCTTATGGAAGCTAAGCTACCCTAAAGTATGTCATCATTGCCTACTTTATTTGCCCACCAAAGTTGGTCGCTAAACCGTGATGATGAATATGCTCGGTTTGTTCTTACGTCTTCATATTCCCCCCTGTGTATTCATAAATCCTGATCCTCGTGTGTACAGCAATAGATGTTTCTGAACTTATGAACCTCTGTTTTTGTGTCACTGACAGGAATCGGAGTATGCCACTGGGTCCAATCATCACCAGCCCACCCACACTTCGACGGAACAGCTCCTATGAGGTAGGATCAACCTAGCCTGGGCCGGGGGACCAAAAGATGGAAGATTTGTATCAAAAGTTTTGGGGCCTGAACCACAAACAGGGAAGCTTCGGCAACGCGCTGTTCATGTACATACCACGAGAAATCTTTCAAATACAAAAAGACGGTTGATATATTGACATTCTGGAAAATATACAGATTAGTAAATCTGGAATTTTGCATGTGATGATTATTTAAGTTGAAGTGGATTTTAATTGACGCCACCACTTTTCAAGAGATGGAAATCTTGGTCAAACTTGTCTGAAGTCAGTATTAGTGCCGTACAGGAATGGGCAAATGGATCAAACGTTCAGAAACATCTGTTTTGCTGAATATGGCATGTACAAAACCAAACTCTATATTGCATAAAGAAAAGACAGATCTATTGGAAAATCTATATGAAACAGAGAATTTATTGTAAATTTGGTAGTTTTGATTGCTGGCGCATGTGGTTGTTAAACTATATATCTCATCTTCCGTCCAATAAAGATGAATATATGATTAAGTTAAGTTATATATATTTTTGATAGGTGCTTTGTATATATTATGTACATAAGTGTGCAGCGTGTGGAGGATATCAATAATTAATTGATATTTCATAATATGATTAATCCGTCCAGTCATTATACACGATACTGCTTAACGATGAATTTGCACTTGATTTGTTGAGAGTGTCATTTCTTTCGCTTGAAATTGGAATATTTTGCAAAGCTGCCTCCTTTGAAATTGTTCTGTCCCTTGCCTCATACCAATCCTTTCGCCAACCGACGATGCCTGGGAATTAATCACGTTGGCCAAATTTTGAAACATTAATGTCATGAGTACAAGTCCATGGTATCGGACAGAAAAGAACATGGAAAACATTTGGGCATTCAACAGGTCCTTCTTTGTTGAGTTGAACAAACTGTTTTTACATGGGACAAATCTATTAGATGTCACAGTTTTGTTTCTTCAAATTTTCACCTTGTAAAACTTTACATTCCGAACAAGTGAGAAATTCAAAATAACGAATTAAGCGAGAAAATGCAGCTTCTCATAATTGCTCGTGACTGTGTTCTCGTTAACTACATATACAATTTGAATTAAATTTGTGATTGTTTATCACTATAAATTAAGAATGTGTGCCAGTTAAATAACATCCATCCACTTGATTCATAAATTCTTAACTTACTTTGGAAAGTCGGCGATTCTGATTATATCTACAACATTCATTTCATCTTGAACTTTGATCTTCCGTCCAGAGGTTTCTGAAATTTATTAGGGGGGGGGCTGGTCATCAAAAGGAGAATGACTCTGTATCTTGATTGGCCGAGAGCTTGTCACATGACAAAAACTCAGCCACACTGAAATGACCCTTTTGGATTTGACTTGAATCAATAAACCGTGTGCCTGCACCAAGTTGCACTTAATTAATACAGCATAATGAGTTATTCACACATTCAACCGTAAGTAGAGGTTTCTACTGTGCCCCCATTCCCCCATTCAATTTCAAGTGTAAATATGTTCTATTATCAAGAGTATTTTGTATATTGAGACACAAGTTTCTTTTTCTGTACATATTGAGATCTTTATGCACGTTGGGCATTTTCAACCCCCCCTTTGGGTGGCACTATAAAAATTGTACATTGTTATCTGCACTGAGTGTCTTTTAAATAATGCTTTGGTGACATTTTACATTGTATTACCAATGTTGCTGTGTTTCACATCCAGTTTTTTTTTCTGTCCGCTGAGAGACCATTTCCTTTAGAACTGTAAATTTCTGAAGTTTGAAAACTTTAATCGGCAAGCTGGCCTGGCCTGTATAAATTTTTCACTGTAGGATGTTAATGTTGAGAAAGAAGAACTTGAACAGTTTGAATTGGGATTCAAATCAGTGGTGCACCCAAAATAGTTGTGCCAAGTGCTTTGGGCTTTCCAATTGAGTTTACCTACTCTATGAAGATGTGGCCCTCTAGTGGTTAAAACAAGAAAGTTGCAGTGTTAGCTTTCTGCTATTTTCCATCCGATGCCAGTTAGTGTTCAACATGCTACATATTACCCATATGAAACTACAGCCAATCAATCAGTACCCGAGGTGTCACACATCTTGGTTAATCCTACCTACGTTAGTTTTTAGTTATAACTGTGTATAGTTTCATTTGATTTTTGTTGATGCCGTCCAACTGCAGTCAGCTTGTTTAGAATTTGTTTTAATTTGTTGTAATTTCCTTTCAATGAGGAAAAACAGTATGAAATTGGATGATGCTTTTACCTTGATGAATTTGTTGTAAATGATTTTACATTGTAGAACAATGTAAGTTTGGTTATCTGTGATTCACAGGTTTTATTTTTGTGATGGGGTTAGTGCTTGTTTGACATGATTGCATTTTAAATTGGTCTTATCTTAAGACACTTCACTGGCATTATCTGATTACTTCAAATTTACCTCTCAAGCCCCCAAACATGTATTGATGTTTATGTGTTTGATTTACTTTCCAGAACATATTAAGAACTAAAACATTCCCTTGTTGAATTTTATTTTTCATTTTTATGATGCACCTTGTGTCTGCCAGTCAGATGAGGCACTTGTTGGAATAAACATCTGAGAGCGACTCACATTGCAAAGTCATCTTTCTTTTCTTCGTGTTTTCAGAAAATGGAAATGAGTGGAATGGGTTCATTTAGTTTTGGGACGATGAGGTGTAGAGAGACGGGGGTGGGGTTTGGCTACGTGATGGGGTGGCTATCTAAAAAGGCCGTGTCCGAAACGCGGTTCCAGAGCTAAGGCTAGGTCTATTGTCTGTGCGTCTCCATGCATTTCCAATGGAGCGAAGACCTTCAGACCTAGCTCTAGACAAGAGATTCAGATGTAGCCTAAGATAATTGAATAGTCTGACTCATTTGGTCTGGAATCCTATCTGCAATTACACTGAACTCACAATTTCTAGAGGGTGCTCTATCAATATAAATAGGGGTGGAAACTCTGTGAGAAGTCACTTCCCTTGTTGCTGGCATCTGAGAAGGTTGTTTCCATTGGGAAAACTTGTTTCAACTATAAGGTAAGCTTGCTTTGGTTTTCATTGCCATTTGTATTTGAAAGTAATTTTCTTGTAAACAATTGTTATGCACTTGTAATACACCAGTACACTAGTCTCGGTGTGATTTCAAACAGCTTGGGGGGGGTCTATCCCAAGAAATCTGTGAAAATAAGGTCAACTTTGGAAAAGCAACGCTGAACAATTGGTGGTTTGTTGCACCATCACAAGTTAGTATGTTACCCAAACTAGAAAACATAAACATGCGGTTTTCAGTATCAATATACATACGTATTTAATGACTTTTTAATCGCTGACAAAAAAGACACAAGACTTCGTGACAATAAAACCCACAAGTAAACAATGTTGTGGACAATCTCCCAATTTCAAGTGAGAGATAAAAATTGTACAGTTGGGAATTGGCGCAATGCAAAAGCCTTGAATACCAAACTGTTCATCCAAGGAACCTCTTTAAACCATTTGTTCCTGGAGACCTGGATAGAACCAAATTGCTGACAAATACAAGGCTTGAACGTGCAAAAAAATCCCCAACTGCCACACATAACCCACGGCTAGTTTGTGGCAATGGAAGCTTCAGGGCCCTGGTACAATTCTTGGCTAGGTGATTGTTTGGGTTTCTCCATTCTCATGACTGCATAAGGACAGAGTAATTTCAAACGGTGGTTGTCTTTGGGTCGGATTGGGCATTCACTCACCCAAAACCTTTTGCATAAATCTCCAGGGACCTTGAAGTATCCATTACTTACATAACACAACGATTCTGAATGGGACATAAATTAATGTGAAACAAAACAAAATGTGATCGTCCACAAAACGAAGAGGGCAATTATAACTCAGAAATCAGTTTTTCTCTCGAGGTCAGTTGTAATAGATAGCATCACCAAGGCCCAATTTCACGGCGCATCTTACAGCAAGCAAAAAATCGGCACTTACCATAGCAGAAAATTCTGTGCTTACAGCGAACATATTTCACGGTTAGTGAGGAATTTTGGCCTGTGCACATGCGTACATTCCGTAACTAAGGATTCTGTGCTTAAAAGGTTAGCGCAAAATTTTTCTGCTAGGGCGGAATTCTGCAATAAGCAGCGCCATGAAATTGGACCCGGCTTTTAAAGGTGGAAGTCAGATTTTAGTTTTTAGATGCTGAAACATCACTTGCAAACATCAACTTTCCATGGTCCTGAAATGCAATGGCGAAGCAACGATTGAATTTTGTTGGTAGTTTAAATCCAAACTGTGTATCTTGATAAGACACTTAATGGCCATGCATGGTGCAGGATTACAGCTATGTAGAGAAGATAACAAGATAGCAAAGTTCCTTCATTCTCATCAATAACCAGTCACTGTGAATGTAGCTTGTGTGGTCACTTTCACATCCGACATCTCTTCAGAAGGCAAGTTACAAAATGTTAATATGCAAAGACAGGACTCCACTCACAAAGATGGTGCCACGGTTGCCAATGATTTCTCTACTAATGTTGGCAAAAGCACTGCAAACGTTTATGGCGATGTTTGCACGAGCGAAACACCAAACACCAACCGTGTGCATCACGGGCAACGTCCTGCAAATTCAAGTCTAAATGACCATCGAATACCGCGGTGAAAAAGTCAGTCTGAAGTTGAAAAGATTTGAAAGGCTGAAAACTACAAACGTCCCTGGCACTGTTGACCACTTCCCTGGTGAGCGATTGTTGATGTGCGATTGCAGGGGATCACTGCATGGGAACCAGTGAGGTAAAAAGCTCTCGTCTGGTTCCCATCACCCCCTTGCAATGTTTAGATGATGGAGGGAGTGGGTATCAAGCCCAACTGTGAACACAAACTGTGCAGGCAGGCTTACATTATTTATGCCGATACAAGTGCTTGCACACATCTGGTACACTGAAGAGCGCCCTCACTGGTTCAACCCTCAAGACTACTGCAGACACAAGATACTCTAAAGGGCTGAAAGCTTCAATCTGAAAGAAGTTGGGTCTTAGCAATCATATCCGCTTCCTTTTTTATGAGCAAGTTGGAAGATTTTTTTCCCACATGGCACAATAGTTCAACTTGCCTTTATAAAACAGGTTTTTGCCAATACCCAACGTAAAACACTGTATTCTCAGTGGATGTCCGAGAGCTTGTGAAAAAATTCATAAGTTTACTCGGGTGGGACTCGAACCGACGACCTCCTGCTTACTAGTGCAGACATCTTAACCACTTCCTGCTGGGGCAGTTATCAATGTTGATGATGCTGGGCTGGGATATTTATCATTTTTTTCTGTTTTAAAAATTCTTTAAAAATTCTTATCTTCATTTACTGGACACTTCCCAACACGTGAAGGACTGTTTGGTGTCTACTCTAGCCTGGCAGAAAAAAAATCTATTGACGCCCGAGTATTTCAGCCAGGCATGCAGCCTTGTAAACAGAGCCCAGATTGTGCGGTGTTATATAACTTTCTTTTGTTCACGAACCTGGCACAGTGCACTGCTGACCTCTTTTCAACAGGGGCCAGATTAGCATGCAGCGGTGCTGTGTGGCTCATCGCTGCGGTGGTGGAGTGCTTTTGTCACCGGTGGTAATCCGCTCGCTCTAAATGCCCCAAACCGTGGTATACTGTTTCAAAACAAGGCTGGATTATCTCCACTTTTGAGAGTGAAAAAATGTTGGTAATGCCCAGCAGCCTGGTCATAACAAACGTGTCATAAACAAACATAAGTGTCCGGATCGGGAGTCCCCGGCAGGAAGTGGTTAACCACTGGACCAGCAAGCTTGCCGGGGTCGACTGGCCGGTCCGAGTCAGGTGAAGCAGCAGGTACCACAAACTATTTTCAAGACAAAAACTACATCTTGAAAATATTTCAACTGGCCCTTTCCTAAATTTGCACTTCTGGAGTTTTCAAAATAACTTTAATGAAACACTTGTTGTCAATTAATCACATTTGATCAAGTGTCTTATACAGCTCTTGTTTGTATGTATTTACATATTTACACTGTCTCGTCGGACAAATTTTAGATGGACAAAAGAAAAGAAAGAAAATGTGGAAAAGTAGCATCTTTGCTTTGGGTCCTTTTCAATTAAAAAAATATGCAGTCGAAATTCACAGGCTAACTTGCGCTTAGCTAAGAAGTGAAATAAATAATGCTTACTTTCCTAGAAAATATCTTGACTGTAAATGACTATTTGATGTAACCTGAAGATTTCTTGTCCCTTGTTCAGCCATTGGTTGTTCAGAGTAGTTTCTTGTGCAGGAGTTCCCAGACCATCCGTTTTCTGAAGTAAGGCATATCGTGCTGAAACGGAATGAAAATTTAGATGGAGAGCTTTAGTCTGCTGCTGTCAGTTTACAAAATGATTAATCCCAATATTCTCCACAGTTAAGCCCGATGCTTTTCTAAATCTTTTGAAATTCTCTTGCTATATAAAAAAAAACCTGTGGGTCATTATTTGCATCTTTACTTTCCAAGCCGTCAGTAAATGTCATCTTTTATTTTCACAGATTGTGTAGGAGTCCAGAATCGCCTTTTGATTAATCCCACAAAGTCCTCGAAACGTCCTTGTAGATTTTGAAAGGTTTAGAAGTTTTGGCTTAATGTTCCGAGCCGGTGAGGCCGCCTGCTTTCATCCCAGCAGAAACTTTCTTGGGGATTAAATAACGCAGGCAGCTTCAAATGAAATGCTGACTCTCCCCCTCTTTCCTTTAATCACCGTCTTGCTCACCTGTGTGAACGTGATCTTCTTATCCCTGCTGATGTAGTCGGCAAACTTGCAGGCAAACATGCCGCAGTCGCTGCCGTTCAGCTGTTGTGGGATGTCCCTCCGGCATGAGCTCCTCCATCCCGTCATGTCGTAGGGTGAGCCCTTCTTGTCCCGGTGCTCAGCAATCAAGTAGTCCCTGAACAATTCAGAAACGGTGAAGTTGAGGTTTTCTCCGTTGAAAATGTCTCTTCCGGCAAAACGGAGTCTTGTGGATGGAAGCAAGTGTGCTTTCACATATCTTGTACATGTAGGCCAACCACACCGACCAGTCTTTTCAATTTCTTAGAACACAGTGTTGCTGGTTTTTATAACTGACCCTTTATTTGTGGTGTACCAGAAGGAGGAACTTCATACCAGGCCAATCTACTTACCACAGTGCATTCAAACACTGCTTGTTCTCTCCACCCATTGAATCAAAATATTCAATGCTCTTCTTCCGGAAATCAATGATCTGAAAAAATAGATTGTTTCATGCAATCAGCAACAGGAACACCCATCCTGTTAGATTTTCACGATTATAAGAAAAGACGAGCAGATTCAGATTTGACAATACAAGGACCGTTAATTTCATATTAGGTCCTCGTAAAAAAGTTCTTATAAGAGTGACATAGATAAATATGACAAACATAAGATTACAGCTTATCAAAAACAATTTTTTTTGCTTAGGGGTCATAAAGGTGCATTTGATGTTAGTCCAACCCTACATAGTTCATGCTCAGCATGGCCTTTCTTGAATCACAGTTGCAATGTAAAGGTGAAAAAGGACGTTTATAAAACCAAGAACAACCAAAGACTTGTGGCCAGGTATTCTCTCTTGAGCCACGTCAAAAACGTTTGTGGCTTCCTATACTCAGTGAAGCCCATCAAACAAATTGTGTCCCTCTCTGGTCATGATAGCCCAGGAAGTCAAGTGACTTACAGCCAGGCACCAATGCATCCCTAGATGTATTGGGATCAGGATCATGTTCTTGGCAAAGATGTCTGTCTTCTTGGTCCACCTCCGCAGTCCGGCGTGCCCCTCCTTCAACAGCTTGGGGTAGAAGAAAGTGTTGAAGCAGTGCAGCTTGGTCTGGCCTAGCTCCCCGCCTCTCTCCACCAACATGCTCATGTAGAAGTTGATGATCTGAACCCAAGAGAGAACTCTTCCCATCAGTTTTCCCGTTGAAAAAGGAAAAAACGGAATGGGTCCAGCGGGAATACCAATCGACTTAAGAGGTTGGAGTTACGCGGGTTTTGACCAACACCTGCAAACTCTGTGGCGTGTAATGTAGAATATCTTTGAAGTGAAGCCGCGCAAACCCAATTTTATTTCTGCCTGGCCACTGTGGTATGCAATCAAATGGGCCGGCTCCCAAAACCACCAGAAAGCTATACCTCAGTGGGATTGTGTTTGTCCTACCTCATCGTTGAGCCAATTCAGGCCGTACAGCGTGTGCATGTCGTTGCGTGTGAGCTGTATCCGGAAGCCCTCCACAAGCACCTGGCTGGACGGCGTTGGCCGGAGGGCATTTTCAATCTCCGCCCTCATGTCGTCGGTGATCTCGGGCAATTCTTCTTCTGCCTCCTCCTCCTCTTCATCTTCGATTTCTTCGATTTCTTCCACGTCTTCCTCTTCCGATACCTCCGGGGTGGGGGGTTCCTCAATGACGGCCACCCTCCGCTCGGCCAATTTCATGTCTTCTGTGATCTACGCAACGGATTCATTCAACCACACTGCTATTCACATAGGTTACTGACATCAATTTCAACCAAAGCTAAAATCAACATTTCTTTAACAGTTCATCAAATACTTTCATGAGCCAATTCACGTTTTTTTTCAAAGAAGGAAAGTCGGACCACTAACCTTTTTGGACACCCTTGCAGCCTGTTCATCTCTCTGATGAAAATTAAAACACAACATTTTAGCTCTCCACATATTACGGCAAGTTTTGTTCCAATTTTTTTGAATCACCAACTTGTACAAACTGCCCCAGAAAAAAAGTTGTGAACAAATACCGTTGACTTTGATAACCAATATGTTAGCATTTAAAAAACTTTTCAGAAGTGAGCAGCAATGCTCGAACAAAATTTTCAGAGAAACCAAAATTGACGTACTTGCTGTTTGTAAAGACTAAGTGCAGCTTTCTCCCTCTCAATGTTTCTGTGCTGTAACCTAACACTGCTCTCAAAACGCTCTTTCCTGTGGAAGAACAGAGATCAGGAAACTTTAAAACGGCTGATCACTGAAGTGAACTTGTTAAATGGCACGTTCCCAATTTAACGTTTGGCAACGTGCATCTTTTGCCACAGAAATGCCTACTTGTTCTTGAGCTGTTTCCGAATAAGTCAAGTATATGAATTAGTTGAACTGGCTAAATGTTACTCACAAATCTTTGACCCAGTCAGTCATTGCACACGGTGTGGCTGTTAGACTCCGCTCAAAGGATGTCATCTGCGACAAGTCGCGTGAGGCGGAGCGCTGCGGGGCAGGCTTAATTGACACTATGATTGGAGACTCCGATCGAACGCTGAAATCTGATTGGTCAAAAAACAAAAGAAGAAAAATGACAAACAATGAAACATGTGGGTGATATTTCACCAGTCTTCTAAGCAATAACAAATGGGATGTTACAGGCTTAACGGGTACGTGATGTGTACTGACGCTGGTTTGAAGTTGAACTTTCACGAGAATCGTAATTTGCCAAATACCTGGTTGTCCGGGTGTCGCCACTGTATGTCTGCTGGTGTAGGGCGTAGCACTTGGGCTGAGGTCAGTTACAGGGGCATGCAACCGTTGCCTGGCAGCTTCTCGGACCTCTTGTCGGCTCTCGTACTGGTGCGGTAGGACCCTGGTTCTGTGGAGGCTTCTGTTGGCGGGGATTCGCGGTCTCTCTATGACCGAACCCAGCTCTGTCGACTCCTGCTGTGTGCTGTAATGAAAAAGGACAAGGGTGTTCAGAAAGTGATGTCAAATTTGTTGAAGTAAAGACCTTACAAGTAAGCCAGTCACTGAAATTAGGACACACACACTGAAATCCTAGAATTTCTTTCTAATCACATTAAAAGTGCCCTTGAAAGTCTGTATATAACCTTTTGAATAACTTGTATGACAGACAAAAATGACAAACTTCTCTCACCACTTCCAAGCAGTCACTTTTTAAAAAGAATGATTGTAAGGGTGCAACCTGCAGCTGGGATCTCTGGATACACGGTCTTTATTGACCCAAGTTGTCTTACCGTTTAGCCAAGTATCTTGTCGTTTCCCGTGTGCCGCTGTTCCTGACTCGTATGCTGCTGCTTGTGGGGCTGAGCACACTGACATTGGCCGTTGTGAATTGCTGTAATAGCTGCTGGTATTGCTGCAGTTGATCCAAGCGTACACACTGCAAACCCCCCCAAAAAACAAGGTCGCTGTAACAATTAGGGTTGAAAAGTAACGGCGTCATTTTCAATCAAACTCGGCGTCTTAAGCGTCTGCGCTCTATCCTTTATTTACTGCTTCTAATCTCGCAAACCCAAACTTGTGAGTTTAATATGTCTGTATCGTCGGACTCAAACTACGGTAAACTACCACCATATTAAACGTTACCATCTTACAGTACCTCGGTAGCAGTGGAATGGGATCGACTCCCGTCGGATGATACACTGCTTTGTCTGATGGGAGGTCGCGAGAAAAGCTTCTCGTTGACCGAGGTGTAAGATCGGCCGACTGTGGGAGGAGCTATTGTTGATGAGGGGAGGGTGGATGACGGTGCCTGGCTCTGCGACGAATGGTTTGCATGAGTGGATATTGTTTGTCTGTAAAGAAACGACGAGATTGAAATTCTCTCTCGAAAGTCTGGAGGGCCTGACGGAGTATTAACAGACAAAATGGCTTTGGATGAACTTGCTAATTGTGTCTACCTGTCTTTGGCTCTAGATTGGTTCCTTGCTTTGCTTGATGCACTGCTGTGACTGGAGAAGGAAGGAGGCGCGTCTGTGAACTGTTGGACTGGCTTAGGGCTGGAGCCACTGTCCCCACCGCGTAGCGAGTGGTTATCTTTCCTCCTAACATCTGACGAGGAGTTAACACAAACAGAAGATTGGATACTGTAACATCTCATACATATTCACAAGTCAGGCTACTTATTTCAATGGTAGGCAATACCACAGGACAGACCATTTTAACTAATTCCAAATCAACCATGCATGTGCATATATATTCCCACACATCAACTGAAAAGCTCTTGCCAGAAACAACATCAAAGCAATGTATCTCCGATAACATTGAATATTGTTCGATCTGGACACTGTGAGGAACTCTTGTCTTTGAAATTGACTCCAAATCGGCAATTTCTGAGTAGAATTCTCTGGTTCCTCACCTGGGCCATTTGGAAGCTTTTGTCCATCTTCCTGAAGAGTAGTCTTCCCCATGATGGGGTCCTTGGAGGTGGTTGCCATCGGCGATCGCTGTATAGGACGTCGCCTCAGGTCCTAAGAAAACCCAAAATCACACATTCTCTTTACTTTGGCAACAGATTAGTGAGACGCCTTTAGGTTCGATCTTCTCTGATTGCCTTTTTTGGGAAGTACAATGTTGGGAGGCGCTCTAAGAATGGGGTTTACCGGTTTGGTGTTGGCCTCTTGAGGTTCGTGGCTTGAATTCACCATGTGGTTGTCGTAGCCATTCTGCATGCCGACAGGACGGAAGAAGTAGTTCTCACCAAATGTTGACGCCTTCTGCTTTATCCAATTGGCCATCTTGCCAATGGGGCTGGTGACATTTTCTGTGCACAGTATAAGGGCGACAAGTCAATAAACGTCAACAGGTTTGTTTATGGTAATATTGAGGCTTTTACCACTTATTTTTGTTTTGCAACTTCAGAAAACATTTTCAATGCACTCAAAGAGTCATAGAATCCTGCAGGTATGAACACAGCAAAGCAAGAATCCTCATGAATCCTACAAAAAATTCACACTGATGTTTTGGCCGTTACTCAGAATTGGAAGACTAGTATAAACTTTGTGAAATCAAAGTGAGTTACTATCATAACTAGTCTCACCGTGGTTGTGTTTGATTCGTTTAGGCTCTGGTGTTTCCAGAATATCCTGCTCAGCATGCTGCTTGTTGGTGCTGCAATGGAATTATAAAATACACTGTATATTCATGATTTACTGTACTAAAAGCATTCTTCATAACTAGGACTACAAAGAATTGTAGCTGAAGTTGAAAATTACAAATATGGAAACTGGGGATTTGAGCAATATTTTGCAGGTGCACAGCAGAGTCTACAGGAACGAAACGATCTAAGCAGTTACCTCCATTGGGGCCAACAGACAAACGTTTGCAACATTGATGTCTGTAAAAACCTATGCGGATTCTGTACAAAGGGGAAACATCAAATTGATTCAGGCTTCGCCTACATTTTCTCCAACTGCACTATAATTTCCTACTTTGTACAAATGGCATTATTTGTAACAAAGGTCCCTAGGAAACCGTCAGAGTTACTTGGTGGCTCCTTGTTCATCTCCCTGGTGGAGAATTAAGGAGGGATTTCTACCATGTACCGACAAGTGTCGGAAATAGGGGGCGTTTAATGACCAAAGTGAGAGGCACATTTGTTTTATCGACAAATGCACTCAGCTAACATCGTCACGGAACTTGCCGGTCACATACCTCGCCCAAGTCCGTTTTCTGGGCACAGGACTCGACTGGGAACCGTCAGAGCCGATCCAAGTCCTAAAGGCAGACGTTAGCTTGGAAACCATCGGCATATCAACGCAAACATTTGAGTGTGCTCAACAAAAATATCTCCCGTCGCAGTTCACGCAATGAACTTCCCGTAATGGCTGGCGACACATGAACTGCGCAAGCGCACATGAAAGTTTGAGCTCAACCTAAACTTGAATCAGTCGACTGGCTACCTGGAATGAAAAAAAATACAGATTAAAAAGAAAAGTGAGTTACGAAAAACCTGAAGTAAAGATGACATTTATACTAGCTTATTTCCACTACCTGTTTTCATGCGATCTGAAAGGTCACACTCCTTTATAATTGATATTGTAAAACCTCAGTGCGCGTGTATTAAAGTTGCACAGCAAGCACGTGTTTATGTTACATGGTTCATCTGAATGCATCGCGCGCCTTCATTTATAAATTTGGGTCAATAGTCTGGTTCCCGATCCCCACATCAACCCAGGTGTCGAGACGTTTTTAGGCGGGAACCAGTCTGGTGAGAACGATCGGGGTGCGGTGAGACTAGACGAGGATGCATTCGTCACGCGAGTGTCCGTTATTTTTTCCTGTCATGCCTTGTAAAGTCGATGGAACGGATTCAGACAAATAATTAGGCCTTCAAACTTGTTTGATTTGCTCATCTGGACGTCCTCAAATCACCGGTATTCTTGGTTTTGAAATAGACCTGAGTGATTTTGCGCAATGGTAGAAAGGCATTTATGGGAAGTAAAAAGGAGCAAACATTGCCTTCTTCCTTCCCACAGTACCTTTCTACTTAAATTGTGCAAAATTACCCATGTTGTATTAGCAATAAGGCTTATTCTGAGCTCCATGAAGAATTGCCTCTTTTCATCTTTCGGCAACATCCCCCAAATATTGAAAGAGGCAATTCATAGACATTAGAATGCCACTCAGACTAGGCCCAGCCTCGGCTTGGGCCTAGCAGTAGCAACAAGCATGCCTAGCATTCTGGCGTGGATCACCTAGACTGTCCTACTCATTGAATTTTGTCATGATGTTATCTTTCACCATGCGGTTGCGTACCTCCAGAACTGTGTGGTCTGACATCCGCCCTGCTTGTGGAGATGGGGTGGATGTCTGACCCCATGCAGTTCTGGGGGTAGCAGTCATGATGTTCACCGATTTAAACCTCACAATGATCACAGTCATGAGAACATGTCGTTATCATGGTTAACAATGTCATGTGGCAAGAAAATTGCTTAATTTAAAAAAATTCATGAAAAAATAGTCATTGTTCTAAACATGCTCAGTGCAAAGTGCAAGAGCTTTGATCCACCATAGTTACATCCCTTCAGAAAATCACCCAGGCAACCCAAGATATTTCTTCATTAATATAACTTAGCAGTTGTTACTTGCTCAGTCGTATGTAAGGCATGAGTTGAGGTACTTAATGCAAAAAGTGCAATTAATGAAGCTTCAAGTTTGGTCTCTTTTCTCCACAGCTTTTCTGCCAGTTTACAGTCCATTGGGGTTTGTGCAATACGATGTACATGTACTGTGTTTTCTAAACAAATATTTCACCAAGTAGGTCAAAAGCATGAATGCAGATTTAGGATGCAGCACTGGAATGACACTTCAAAGCTGTAAGCCAGTACTCTGCATTGATGATGTCAAGACTCTACTTTGTCAACGGTATGGCATTGAGACCGCCGACGTGAAGGAGTTCGAGAGCTATGACGATCGGACCTACTACGTGAAGACCAAACTGGGCTGCGGGATAGGCGAGGGGTCAGAGTTCATCGCCAAGGTTCTGAACTCCCAGAACACGGCCCTGCAGGGCGTGGTAGCCACACATACAGATGTCATGAACCATCTAAAGTCCTTCCCAGAGCTGTGCTGCCAGTTTGCTTTGCCCAACTTGGATGGCGACCTGCTCAGCTATGAGATAATACCAAATGACATGCGGGATGGTTGGTACCCAGTTAACACCAGTATGAGTGTATATAAAGGGTTTTCAAGGCTGCCATCTTGCAGGCCATTTCTTTTGCTCCATAGGGTATGCAGTGCATGGACGGGGTTTCCTTGTGAAGCAAAAGAACTGCCCTGCAAGATGGCCACCATGCAAAGCCTCTATAGCACAGTAACACCACCACAGGCCTGTGAGCTGTTGATATCACCCTCTGTTCACATGTGCACACTCCGATGGAACCACTGGGGCCCACGATCCACTGGGCACCATGTGAAAGCACACACATACAGAGACCTCTGCCATAACTAAGTTTTCTGCCATTGTCATCTATTTACAAGCCAATGTTAGGCTCGGACTTTTCCATTTCCTCTCCCAGTGCCATCCTAACTGATGACTGAAATTCTCCTTTTTCCCTCTCTCAGGGGATAGGTTAATCGGCAGAGAGGAAGGATTGTCTGCTCTGCGTCTTTTCGACTTTATGCCAGGCAAACCACTGAATACTTTTTCACCACTGTCGCCGAGATTCTGTTTTGAGGCTGGAGTTCACCTTGGAAAACTGCAGCAAGCTCTCCAGGTACATGCATCAGGAAGCCTGTCAACATTTGTGGCAAACTGGGGGGGTTTGGTCTTCTAGTTGACTTGAGATAAGCCTAGAAATATGTGGTCTCTTGAAAACCTTGTCATCTCCAACTTTAGCGCCAGATTGCAGTTCCATGATCTCACTGCTACTCGGTGTCTTTCCACAGATTGAAACTCCAGACAGAGCTGGGATCAAGATAGCACCATCTTTTTTGCAACTTTGTCACGTCTCGTTTCTTTACTCCAGGAGTACCCTGGGGACACGAAGCCCCTGAAGTTAAAAGCATCGGTGTGGCAGTGGAATGTGTCGCTGCTTCCCAGACTGAGAAATCTTCTACCACTCGTTGTGGATATCCAGAAACGACGGCTGGTGGAGGAGGTTATCGATAAGTTTGAGGCAACCGTGGTGCCCTCCATGGCTGACCTGAGGCAAGGTAGGTTGGAAAACTATGGCAATGGGTCAAGAACGTGATAGCTTTGTCAGCATTCAACCACGTTTCAGAGTTTGGAAATATTGAGCATTCGGTGATATACTCCTTGTATGCCATATTGTCTGTAAGTCACAGTGCACCTCAGTAAATATAGTCCCATAGACATCAGTGATAAATTACTTTGACATTCTTTTAAAAATATTCACAACTCTCACAGGTGTCCAGGCTGCACAGAAATATGATGATTGACATATGTTGTCTTTCAGTTTCCTTTCAGTTTTGCGTAGGTTGACAATTAGATTTGAGAAATTCTCACCCAAAGCAGACCACCCTGAAAAGGAAGGATATTTCCCTGACTGGCAAAGTAGCCATTCTTAAAAGCATCCCTTTGCAAAATGGCTATTATGGTGCATCCAAATTGCTCAGAAATGGAAGCAGTAATTCCAGGCCAGAGGTCCAGTTCTATATTTCTTCAATTCCCGAATTCTAGGACTCTCAGAACTTCATAAAATGGAACATTTTTAGTGTGTAATGTTTATTAATGAGCTCGGTGGATGGATTTTGGTCCTGGTAGCGTGGATGCACCCGTAATGTTGATGACTGCAGCATTAGTAGTGCTTGTAGTCAGGGAACTGGACCACCTGTGAATTTAAAAAGTGCTCTATGACTGCGGTTATGGCTGAATCACTTGGCTGTGGCATGTAAGTACACACGAGTCTATGGCAGTGGCTGCAGCCACTTCCCATTGAGACGTGTGCGACTTCAAGCCGCAGCCAAGTGATCTGGACATGGCCCAAGTCTAGGGCTAGTACTTTGAAAAACATTGGAGAAGTAGCTGGCTGTTTTTACACCGAGGACTATTCGGTCTACAGGTGCATTTGTTGAATATTGTCAAGTGTGTTTATAGGCAACTTGTTGGAATTTAATATTTATGGGGGTAAGTTGCAGGAAACCGTGAATATGATTTGATTGGTTTATACATAGGTATCCTCTACAACGACTTCAACGGGGACAATGTGCTGGTCATTGCTGCAGCTGCGGAGACCGGTGATTGCAGTGGTACCAACTGTTTGATGACCAATAGCATTGTCCGGATATCTGGCGTGATTGACTTCGATGACATCTTACATGCCTACCTTGTTTATGAAATAGCCATCGGCATGATGTACATGATGTTTTGTAGCGATGAACCAGTCGCAGCAGCTGCGTACATGCTCACCGGGTTTGAGACAGTCTCCCCGCTACCTCACAACGAGCGCCAACTGTTGCGAGTTTTGGTCGGCAGTCGCCTCGCCCAGTCGCTCTTGATCTCCACGCTACAGACCAAGAACCACCCCGACAATAAATACGTGGCCAGCTCCCTCATCAAGGGGTGGAGCCTGCTGGAGGAATGGTGGGGCAGAACCGAGGCCCAACTGCAGGAATTGTGGGATAGCGTTAGGGTAAGATGCACCGGACAGCTTTAGAACTTCGGAGTTTGGTTCTTTGGATGAACTTTCCGAAGAAGTGTCCCCCTCATATCACAGCAAAACCTGAAAGTATTTGTGTTTTTTGCTCTGATTTATACAAGGTTTGGGGATTCTCAAAAGTTTGTGGAAAGATAGACAAGAGCACTTGCTTCTACGTGTCTATTTGGGAAACACTTTGAAAACAGTACCTGTACTTCCTAATTTATTAATTTTTAAGGTTCTACTTCACTTACAGGGTTATCCAAAACTTCACATAAAAACCACAAAACCTCTTGGGAACGAATAGCCAGCGGCAAACAAAATGGGTAAATAGTTACTTGTACATGTAGTTCACTGGGCATTTATGTATGGCGGGTTTCAGCCAATCGTAACTTAGTGCGTTGGAGTTTTGAAAGTGAGGCAAAAGAGACGGGAAGGGGATTCAGTCAAAACTACCTGGAATAACAGTACGCAGAAGTGGACAACAGATTTGACTCGGGGGGGGGGCCTTTGACTACCCGAGAAATTGCCTTGCAGATGAGGTTTGATGGTCTGTGTAAAAACAGGTGGGCAGAGGCGCACTAGAAGATGAATCCTGTTTAGAATTGCATTCATCACATTGTGTGATATCTTCAGGGATTTAAGCTTCTGCTTTTGACTGTGTAAATGAGCCAACTGCCTGTAGATAATTTTTTTGTTTTGCTTTTTTTTTATTTTAATAAACTCCTCCTGTACAGTCGCCGTGCAGTCACTTCTTCAATGAAACCCCCAAAATCTATGAACAAAACCGATCTCAACATTTCCATTTTCATTCCTGAGATGTATCACCAAAGACTTAACCTTTAGTTTGCTTTGAGGAAATCTGTCAGTTCAAGTTCAGTGTGACCAATATTTGTTTTGTTTTTGTTTTTTGTACCAAATTTGCAAACTTGATGTTTCACCCCAACAATACTGTCCTCTGTAGTGTGCTTGGGTGCTTGGTTTAACCAGCACCTGTTAATGCTGCACATAACTAGGAACCAGACAGGTGACAGTGAAGTGATTTGAAGGTTGCCAGAATAGTGCAAATGTGCCTCATTTTTACTTCCAGGAGTTTTCCATATTGGTTCTTTGTATGAATGCCTGAGAAAGCATGTTCATTTCAGGTGAACAAAAACTTGCTATAATGTAACAGAGCTGAGCGTGTCTTTCAGTTTTCTTCCCCTATTTGCCATGAAATACCATTTAGTTTTGTCTGAGTGGAAAACCCTTTCTTGTCGTGTCCCTCAGGGCACAAAACTTGGCCCTATGATATTTTTGGCAGTTATCAATAATGCTGCTGAAGGATATGATTACGTCTCATATGTAGATGCATCTAATTCATGAGGCCTCCAATCTTTGGAAGACAGAAGACATCATCTCTGCTCCCAGTTCACTAATAAATGTATAAAATCCAACAGATATGCAAATGGGTTTCCCCAAAATATCAGTGCCCACAGTATGTCTCTCAGAAATTCCAATAATTACCAGATCCCTCATTACAAAACCAACAGATATGGTGACTGTGCAATACCCTTTCTGTCAAAGCTTCTTAATCAAATTACCTAACAAACTTTTTTATGGACTCTTGTGTAGTTTTGTGTTTTTCCTTTTGTTTTTACTATTTTTTTCATATTTTGTGATTTTTATTTGTAATTTTGTATGAATGTAAAAACCATATAAATGCTGCGCATTGGTTGAATAAATATGAATGTGAATATAAATGATACCTTGGGGTACTTGGCTTAGCCCAGTGCAGATTGAATATGATGATGTGAAAGATTTGTAGTGAACTTGTAGCTTAGTTGGAATAATACATTCAGCCTTTATGAATTTGCTGCATTATGTTTGTGTAAAAGTTATGGATTTATGTTTGTAACATTTTATGTAAAATTGAATTCTACCTTTACTCGTATATTTTGTATCAGTTGAGTTCATACTGGTATTTCTAAAATATTCCTCTTTGTTTTTGGTGGTGAAAGACATTTCTATACTTCATTTCCCAGATCTGCTCTATCCTGGCAAAAATGTTTCTGGTTTCCATTTGAATGATTAGACATAACATCCATTGCCTCCTGATATAATTTTTTGATTTAGTTTTGTTACATTCCCAAGAAGTACAAACTAAAACAGTTGTGTGATAATTCAGGATTTGAATTCAGAGCATAAAGTTGGCAATTTTGAAATTGGAGGGGTTTACAAGCAGCATAAAGAGTGACTTTTGGTACAATAAAATAGCGTCACCACTCCATTTTGCTTATTTTCAATAAGCCAACAGTATTGTGTAACTTATTTGTACGTGTATATTGGAACTAGCATTGATTGTTCTAAATAGTTGTCCAAAGGTTATTTGCATGATATGATAGCAGCTGATAATAGTTTATTGAAATTTGTTTCTTATCTAGCAGCTTCTTACTATATGTATGCCATTTTTTGCCCTTGGGAGTTGCAGCAGAGCCTTACTTTTTTTTCTGTTGCTTCCAATTTATCAAATTGTCAGAGTTTCTCAATTCTGCCACTCAACGTTTCATTTGTCTCTTTGCCACTTTAATTTTGTATACATGTATGTTTCAAATAATTTCTTGCAGCTATAAAAGAAATGTGTGTGACTCTGGAAAGCAATAAAAAAGCTATTTTGACAAAATAATTAAAACAAGAAACCACTTCATTTGCCCCATTTTTATGTATTGTAAGATTATAATCGTTACTGCATACCCTACATTAATGTTCCTTCGGAACACATTCCCCAAATTCTCCAAACTCGCCATCTTGCTGTTAGAAAACACTGTTTCTCATTCATCCACTGTTATTTTATCTGTGAACTGCATTTATTTTAAATTTGCCCTCTTCTTCCTGATATTACACACGTTGTGTGTCTCCCAAAATTTCCCGCCTGCAAGGTTGTGTTTACCTACATTGCACTCTTGAGCAAAGAGGTTGGTTTGGATGCACAAACATAGTTTGTCCCCTCCCCTTTTTGAAAATCATTTCCTTTTGCCTCATGTTGCCCCTCCTAATTTATATCTTGTCTCGCTGTGAGCCACTGCAGACAGTGCTCAAAATTGCAAAAAGTTGCAGAAATAAAAAAGGACAACAAAATCAAAACAAAATATCTTTGCTTTGTCTCGCAGGACTTTATGCATTTTGTCACATTCTCGTTTCTTATCGGCTATAAATATAGTTGATATACAGAGTGCCAAATGTTCAGTGCAAAAATTCACATGACCATTGGGGGAAATGTATTGTGAGGAAACAAGGCTGTGTTTTGGTGGGCCATTTACGTCTGGTTGTTTGCCGCTGCACTGCAGAATGTTCCCCATAAATTTCTTTGGCGGAACAGTTTAATTAAAGATAACATCGCATGTAATTTCACGGATCATTTATGGAACAAGTTTAATTTTGCTTGTATTGTTAGCGATGTCAATTTGCGAATGCGCTCATCCTTCTGGCATGGAGGAATCGAGACCCGTAAACAGAGCCCAACGAATACTCCTTAATCCCGATTAACTAGGGATTTCTTTCGAAAACGGCCAAAAAATACAATATTTTTTTCCTCAAATGAGGAAAGGGCGAGTTTTCTACAATTAACAACCTAGCGGATGGTTTACACCGTAAGTAGTGAACATACCGGTGCAATTTCAGCTCATGAAATCAAGCGGATGTTTAGTTATGCCCCCAGATATCCGGGATAACTTTTTCGAAAGAAATCCCCATGAATCGGGAGAGTGCCCAGGATACGACGGAGGCGTATCGTCGGGCCCTGTTTAAAAGGAGGAACCAAAGAACACAGGTCAAAGCTCAACGGGGACGTTCAAACATGTTACATGTAATGATGTACAGTACATATGGTGTTCCATATGTGCCATCTGGTCGCAATGTATATGTATGTGGTCAGTTGATGACGCTTCGAATTCCATATCTACGAAAGGCCTTGACGAAAGGCTAGTCGTGCACAGGCGCGACCTCCTTGGACATACATGGACATTGTACATTTTGGCCTATTCCAGTCGACAGCTGGAGTTTGCCCAGCAGCTTCTCTCGGATTGTTGGATTCTCAGACAGGTAACGAGAAGCTGTAAAGCTAGTTTAATTAAAAATATGTGTAAAGGGGGATAATCAAGGGGCAGTGAGATTGGAAACTTTTACTCCGGCCATTTCTTTTGTGGCTTGTCACAGGTTTTGCTCCCTTGCACCTGAAAGATCATTGCATCCCAGCCAAGACCCTACACCGGAACATTACACGTACCGCATTTCTTGCACGGAGGAAGGAAAGTGCAAGCCGATTCTAAAAGTTGATGGAAGAAACAAGGTTTCTAGTGGGGATTGTAAATTTGTAAACTTTTAAATTCACCCTGGGATTGTTGGCCTAGATCATAGATGACTGTGACGTCATGCTCAATAAGGTTGATGCTGTCAAAAATGGGCAGGGTTGAGGGGAAAGTCTGAATGTTTTAACACAGGACACATATTTCAGAATTCTTCTCTATATTTCTGACTATTCTCCGCACTGCCAGCCTATTGTATTGCAGTCATTATATTGCAGGGGTCTGCACCGTATAAATAATTCTTACTGGTATCCCCCCTTCAAAAAATGCTGCCAAATTTATCCTATTATATCTAGTTTTGTCTTTTATTTCTGTGACAAAGTTAGTCCCAGATATCTTAATCTTTCAGCAGATTTAGCCACAGAGATATAATTTATATATTTACACCCCCATAATGTATATTACTTTAATTTTCAGAAAGTCTGTGTACCTTTAAGAGAAATTACATCTTTTGTGACTTTTCAATTGCTGTTGTAGATACAAGATGGACGCTCCTTGCATCTCAGGGACGGTTCCAAAACCTTACGTCACTGAGAAGGAGGTGGAGCAGCTGCTAGCTAGGCTCTACTCCCTCCAAGCTATCCAGATTAAAGAACTGCCCAGTTACGAAGACAGGACATTTTTCTTGAGGACGGTACCCGACAAAGGGCTCAACGGACAGACCCAGTTCATCCTAAAAGTCCTGAACGCTGAGATAACCTCGCAGCTCCCCAGTGCCGTCGCAGTGCAGATGGAGATTTTGGACTACCTAAAGGGATTTCCGCAGCTGAAATGCCAGGTTCCAGTGACGACCATGGAGGGCAAACTGCTAAGTTATGAGATGCTTAGGAATGACTGGAAAAATGGTATCTTCTCTATTTTTCCCCTTTAAACAAAAATCTATTTCATGTTCATGTTGAATCCGTGCAGTTGTCAAAGAGGAAACTCTGACGAATTCAATAAATATTCCCCGTGACTACAAATGCTGTATTATCATTATTGCGTTGCTATCAAGTTGAAATCTTTTTTTGTATTATTGCTGATATTGGATGTCTGGGAAATATTCAGGAAAAAAATATGTACATGTATGGGCTTTCTAAATCCCCATTTTGCCAAGGCCCTTTCATAAATTTAAAGGTTATGTGGGGATAGTTTGATGTTTACAGTCATTCTTGCATGGGTACAAGTATAAAGAATACACTCAAGGGCGACTGCTAGCAAAAAAGGAGAAATTAATGCATTCAAAGATATTTACAAGTAGTATTGTATTTGAGTCCATCACAAGTCCCTGCAAGTCCTGGAACTTGTGACTGGACTTGTGAAGGGTTTTGTGAAAGGACTTGTGTTTATTTACAAGCAAGTTTACAATCAGCTGTATGGATTTGCTTTACAGACTGTATTTTGACTGTGCATTGTGAATTTCTTACAGGGGATGGTGTGGTCAGACATCAAGATGCCTTGTCAGCAGTGCGAATGTTCTATTATCTTCCAGGGCAATCCTTGGACAATCTGGCCCCATTGCCACCCCCATTCTTGTACAAAGTGGGTCAGCACATTGGTCATTTACAGCAGGTGTTACAGGTGACCACGGCGTTAACCTTTTTTTAAGGGCAATTAAAAGTTTAGTGAGCTTACCTTCCTATAGTCTCTGGCATGGAGCTTAGTCAAAGAGCCTTTTATCAAACTTTTTTCCAGATTCCCCTACTTTCCTTAGCAAGTAATTAGTCTTTAATAAATTTAACAAATCCTAGATGTGCATCATTTTTCTGTACAGTCAGTGAAATTTCATTAGTATTGTTTTCGTTCATCAAGACCATCACAAGTCATGATTCAAGTTATAGAATACCCAAACAAACTGCAAAACAGCATCCCTGTGTTATCTTCACCCTATTTCTTGTGATTGGTCCTGTAGTGGTCTCGACATAAGTGTTGTTCATCATGCTCACAAGAAATGGGAGGGGGTGGGATGTGTTGCCACGCCCATCAGTGTGATCGAGCACGCTGCTGTGGTAATACCATTTGAGGCTGAACTTGTGTTTGTTAAGCTAACTTTTTGAGTTTCAGCTGAGAGATGAAAAATCCCTTCTGGTTCAGCTCATGCCTCTCATCTTGCCCCCCTTTTTTACTCATGCCCCACCCCCCAGAACTCAATTCCATGTTGCTTTGTTCACCTTTCCCTGCTACTTAAACAGACTTTCCCGGGTGATATTGAGCCACTGAAACAGAAAGAGAAAGTGTTCTCGTGGTCGTACAGGAACTTGCTGCATGTCAAACAGCACCTGGGCGTGGTGGAAGATCCTAGGCAGAGGGCGCTGTTGGAAGATGTGCTTGAAGTGTTTCGGAAGAACGTGGTTCCCATACTAGGAGAGTTAAGGAAAGGTTTGTTGTTTATTTCGGATCACAGTCTGTTTTCTCGTTGTCCTGGTCCAGAGGCAACAGGCATGCGACAGATCAACCATAAATTATGCTGACATTTGTAGCTTTTGATGCTGAGTTTTTTTTCTCTAGGTGTATTAAGCTGCAGAGGTGATCTTTAAATTGGTCAGGAGCAAAATTGATTGAGCCTTAGGTTTAGTTGTATGACAGGGTAGCTTTCAATGTTTTAACTGTTGTATTTTCTTTTTTCATTTGGACATTTCATTTCAAATCTTCTTTCAGTGTAGCTTTTTGTAAGTCTATGACTTCGTTTGTATTTTTTTCCACGTTTCAGGCATCGTGGTTCACGACTGTAACAACTTCAACATATTGACCACAGTATGCGAAGCAGGATGTAACACTGACCAAGCTGAAGAGAGGATGACGCGTGATTTCCAGATCAGTGGCGTCATCGACTTTGATGAAACGATGCACGCGGCGTTGGTTAATGAGATCGCCATCTCTATGATGTATCTGATGCTGTGCTGCGATGAACCACTGGAAGGCGCTGCCCACCTTCTCGCTGGGTTTGAGTCGCGCTCTCCTCTCCCTCAGCGGGAGCGCGGCTTGTTGCGAGTTTTGATCGCCGGAAGATTCGTTCTCTCGTTGGTATACAGTGTGCTATTGGCCAAGCTGCACCCCGAGAATGATTACCTGACTAACACCCAGGGCAAGGGATGGAAATGTCTGGAGCTTCTTTGGAAGCAAGGCGAAGAAGACCTCATGAATTATTGGGATCAGATTAGACAGCTCCATGGATAAAAAAGTGGAAAACCATCAGTCTCAGTCTCAAGATACCTCAGTAGTCACTAACCTGCGCTGCCACTGCCAAACAATGACTTTAAAAAAGTCACTCACTGGTAAACTGTCCAATTTGAAATATATCTGGTTGGCACATACTCTTAAAAAGGCCATTTCAAAATTAATTTTTAGGTTCACATCACTTAGACTGGAACCAAATCCTTCAGGAGAGGAATTTATATTTATATTCAAATACGGGAGGCGTCATCGTTGTTAATCGGGAGCCGTGACAGCAGTGGCGTGCTATGGGCATGCGTCTCACACCGGTTGCTGGTTTAAAGTTGTGCAATGAGTTGGTGAGAAATGTGTCTAGAAAAAAAGTCATGGTGGTCAGTGATGAGAACAGCAAATTGATTTTAAATGGCCGAAGATGAAGTGGCTTGCCATATAATTTTAGCTGTCCTCCAACACAAAACAATGGAACAGCGCTTCAATGGGCACATCAGCTTGAGGAACGTGTCTATATTTTTACAGTTACAATCTAAACGACTGAAACGTCAGTGTTTTGCAGTTCGTATTCTAAATTTATTGACGGTGTACCATGTGTGAGGGGAGTTCTGGGAACGACCTTCAGATGTGTGTTCTGGAAATAAGGTGGGGTCGGTCTCAAGAATTGATAGGGTCACCGTATTGTAACTTTTGGCGCCATCTACCAATTTGAGACAAGATGCTACTGTCACTCTTTGAGCATTGTGACTTTACTGTGAGCCCAATTTTTTCTCTTTTACCAACTGGTAAAACTTCTTTTTTTATAGACACGCACATCAGTATGTGAACAAAATCCCCCCCCCAAAATTATGTACCCCAAAAAAGTACTTATTTTGTAAAAATTAAGTTTCAAGGAGAAAGGTAGGCCTACTCAAAGAGCACTTGGCTGATTCCTTTTTGAGTGTACCTTTTTGTCATAAAAAATTAATTTTTCTTAAAAGGTGATGTGTGAAGTTCATATAATCATTCATATAAGTTTCTGCTTGGTCCATTTTTTTTCTGCTAGCTTTGTTTCCTCACCAATTCAATAGTTGGTAGAGAACTTGGTACTTAAAAAGTATTCAACTATAACACAAGGCGTATGCTATGAGATCTCAGGTAGACTCGATGTTTTAGTGCAAATTTTAAACTACACATGTATGCTATGTGCCTGTGTGTGAACCTAACATATATGTGTGTAGCCAGTTGTTAGAAACCTGAGAATGTACGGGTACTGTCAATGTCATAAATTTTAGACTTGTATGTTGGTGCACTTTCTAAAATTTTGTTAGGAAATGCCTCAGAAATTGCGCTTTAGAATTTAGAAAAATGGCATATGAATACTGCAAATCTTTCATACCTTTGTGATCTTCAACAGAGTAAAATTGGCGTAACACCTACAAACGTACAAAGGAAGCCTTCCCAATTCCGACGCCGCGCGGTACATACAATCTTCAGCAGACGACACTGCTCGTACACCCATTCGACATTTACTAAACAGCGCCCTCGTCAAATTCTGCTTGCTGTAGTTGTGTTGATATCAAACGTGCATTTGGCTCTATAACTTAATGAGGTAAATTTGAGGATTTATACGTTTCACGTGGGGCATGTTAAAGATATATAGTCCCTGTGATGATTAGTCATACTGATGAACGTTCTATTATTACTTACACCAGTGAATTATACCAGTTTCAAAACTTGGCCGAATTTGTCATCGAATACATGTTCAAATTACAAAAAGTCCCACAGGATGTCCGCCATTTTTAACTTCCACGTCTCCGCTGCTGAACTCGGACACAGTATGGGACAAATTAATGTGAATTATCTTTGAAAATGGACGACGAAGAAAGAAAAAAGAAACTGCAGGCTGGGCGTGAAAGGGTAAGAAATTCGTACAGTGTCACTAAAATGTCATTCAGAAGTCTTCTTGTAACTTAAGTTTGAATGACCATTACACTATTGTGAAGACCAGTCACACTGACTCAACATACATGTAACTTTCGTGACACAATGCATTTGGAAACTCGATTTTAACTAAGTACAGCGTTTGTTACGTTAATTAAGTATGTGTGTGTGTGAAAGTTTAGGTTATTGAAATTGGTGGTGCAAGGGCAGACATGGCAGAAGGGTTAGCTTAAAATAAATAAATAAAATAGGACTGAGGAAGCTAGGCCTATACTGACTACTGTAGTACTGGGGCGGTGTGAACATCTTGGACTCTTTCAAAATGGCTTGTAAGTTGTACTGCACCGATGAAAACATTGACGTACGCGTGTGCAAGCCGTCAGAGGATCGGGTTACACAATTTTCTTTGATCAGCGGTACATGTAGGTGCACATGCGCTCATTGCAGTTGTTTTCATTGGCACAATGCGGTTGCTACATGCAGCTGCCATTTTGTGAAACTCCGCGCCACCCAATTTTGTCATTTGCTTTTTGAAAAACAGTCAAAGTGTGAACCACTCATGCCTGTCCCACATTATTACACGGCGTGTTACTCACGCTGAGTTGGATTGATGGGCTTGCCATATACATGTAATGATTAGACTCATGTAACATGCTTCACAGTAAGGGAGCCTATGTTATTAATCCTCCTTTGGTTTTACAGCACAAATGTGCACAAATGCCCACAGTCACTGGTGAGCACGTAGTTTCTATATGGAACTCAAACATGCACAGGTTCAGTGTGTACACAGTAGATTGCCGGCACAGAATGACCCAGGGTCTTTTGTGCAGTCCTCTNGATATTTCTGTGAGGGACTGTTGGTGCAGTGCACAACACAACACAGCTGTGCTTCTTTGAGGTGTTCACCAAATGACCCAAAGAGTGACTTCAACATGGGAGGGTTGATATATATTTATTATTATTATACATTGTAATATATGTTATTGCTGAATTAGTTTTTAAAGGGTCCAGATTTGTAAAGCTACTGCAAACGCGGCAAAGAAAAAAACAGTTAAATTTGTCAAGTTTGACCAGAATGCTTATTTACTAGAATGTTTCCGTTGCTGTCTTCTACAGTTGGCCAGATTCCAAAAGAAAAAAGGGAGTCCCGACAAACGGCGGAAGAAAAAAGCAAAGACGACAGACCCACCGACATCTGCTGCTGAAGGAGCCAATGGAAATGGAGGCAGCAAAGGGGCGCAACCCACCATCCACCTCAGTGACGATTCTCTTGATACAGCTGACTCCAGTGTGGCATCGAGCGACGTCTTGGGAACCCACTCTGATCTGATGTCACCCATATCGTTTGAGGTAATGCTGCTCATATATCCTATGGTATAGGGGAGCACCCCTTAATCCTATCCCAAGCAGATTCTTCCAAATCCACATTTAAGGGTTTCCACAGATTTTGGAAGATGGCTACAGTTTCTGACTTTGAAAATTGTGCTGTGGTGTGGCACAGTGACATGGATTTTGGATGAATCAGGACTAGTTCAACATTTCTAACGTTACAAAATTAATCCATGGGGACGAGGACGACATATAATCATTTCAGGGCTTGTGCTACGTGCTCATTATATCATCCAGAATGAAACGATAACGATTTCTTCTCCCATGCCATGATCAGAATCGTGCACAAGCGCGAGCACGTGGCCTGCCTGTGGCGTACATGGATGCGTGTACAATGTGCATGTACACGCACCATGCATGTACCACATGTATTTTTTCATCCACTTTGAAGTCGAGTCTTGTACTCAATTCGCTTGCTCTTAGCCAAATTGCCGAAGGAAACATGAATGTAGGAACACTGGGATTCTTTGTATATCATTAGTTATTTTTGTTTGCGTATCACATGAATATACTGAATGTACTGTACTAACAAAAAGGCACAAAAACGTGTGCCAAGTACTGACCTGCATCACAAAGTACATCATAAAGGGGTTATGAGAAATCTGTTCAAAGATGTTTGTCATTATTCGCTTCTTTGTTGCAGGGCTGCTTAATTACACTATATAAAACAACAATTGCACACAGTTTGACAGTTTTAGTTTTTTCTAAAAGTTGTTATTTTTTGTTTGAAAAGGCAAAACTCTCATGAACAAATGTCAGAAATTCATCAGAGACCACCAGAAAGCATCTAATGGTGCATGCTTCAAGTTCGCGCACAAATTTTGGACTCTAACTAGAACACTTCTTGTTTTTCATTTTGCAATCCCACTTTTCAAATCCTAGCTAAAACACTGCCGACACCCGAGACATTTAATAATGAATCCAAACTTTTTTTGGGCCTTCGTAATCGGAAGCCCCTACAGATTTTCTATTGATATGCTTTGAAAATCATTTAACATTGCTAACAGAATCTTTGCAAAGAATTTTTTTGCTTTTGCTTTTTTGCTGTGTTTCCTTGTTATTAAATCTCAGTCTGTTTTGACTCTCACCAAAAACTGAGATTTCTTGACCTGTTGAACTGTGTTTTTGATCAGAACAGCGCGAGGCAAAGTTATCCTTTGAAATTTCACAACCATGGAAATAGGATACTCAGTCTGACCTGAGTTTGGACGTCCAATCTTCGAGACAGCATTATCTCATCATCCCAGACATATATGACTCATGCCTGTGCCTCAGCTGTGACTCGAAGTTCAGTTGCGAATTCAAACTCTCAATTCTGCCTGATGTGTTCCATCGACCAAAAACATTGATGAATTATTTTGAGATGAAAGAGTTACAGTTGAAGTTGAAACTTCAGACTGGGTAGACCAGTCTCCTTTAAGTTCAGCCCTCCCCTTTAGGTTTGGATTACCTTTTCTGCCAGGAACAACTAGGGACCGGTCTTTTGTCATGTCCATTGTATGTTGCATTCTTTGCTGGTGTCCTGGTCCTCGGCTTTAACATGGTCCCCTGGGTCAAAGGTCCTAGAAGTGCTAATCAACATTGCTGGCTATAGTATGGTCCCTGTGTTCTTATGCTCTCCCTACACACTTGGTATTTTTAATGGCAGTTAACTTGAACTTAGCTCCACTGTTACTCTGGTTGGGAAATTTGTGTTGTAAGTGGATCTATGGGATGAGTCCCTGGAGGTGAAGCTGCACAGCATTAAATCAGGCCATCCTTGCAACAGACCGAAGCCGGAGGTTTCCAGAGATGGGCTGACGGTTGCTGCGGATCGTAGCAAAGCCTTGGCTCCGTTTCAAAACAGGGTGGAGCAGGCACGGGGAGATAGACATCGTTACCGGACCGATTGGTCTGAAGCCATCGCGTTAAGAACATGGAATTACTGATGTTGGCAGTGATTTATTCAAGTTGTAAGTTCTTGGTCCATGTTCTGGCTTTCTTGCTCCATTGTGTTGCCATCAGCAGTCTGTGCAGGAAATCTGTTTGAGATGTACATGAACATTGTATGTATACATACCTGTCACATCCTTTTAAGAAGTACCGTGGTTGTCATTTCAAATTGACAAATTTCGGCAAATTAAAATGCCATCTTGGAGATGTTGCTTGGAAGACTTGGGATCGCTTGGAGTGCATCTTGCAAGTTATTTCTTAAATTGCACTTGCTTTGGCTTGATTATAAAAGCCTTTACCACAGCACACGCAAGCTTAAATCAGCGTGTGTGCTTTCTGCTGTGACTTGGCGTGTCACACAGGGATGACCTCGGAGTTATAAGCAAGCAGTGTCCGTCTGTCCAAGTCATGGGACAAGGCTCTAACTCTGTTGAGTCATTGTAATATTTCTGCTGCAGAAAAAGAGACCCCCTCTCTGTACCTGTCATGACCGTGCCAGCCAGCTCAGCGGAGATATGATCACAGTGTGTAATGCTCTTGCTGTTGTCATGTTTCTGAGGTGCACTTGCCCAAAGATTACGGATAGTGCATGTAAACCAAGTCTGTCTGATTAAAAGTGACTCGTTTCTTGCACCTAGCAAAAAAAAAAATCCCCATTACGTGTTTTGTAAACTCGAGGAGATGATAAATCATCATAAGTCCTTGGCTGTGCACAAGAAGTGGTGAAAGATTGTCACAAAGGCAAAAGTAATTGTGAAAAATAAACAGGATGCATAACTTAATATGTATCGTACCTTTCAGTTTGATAAAATCACCATTACATGTAGCTCAGTACCAGTTACGCCTAGAAGTGAAGAGGAAATGGCGCCCCCAATCGCAACTGCTTATAGTCCGATAAGAATGTCTCCCAACATGATTGGCATGACATACAAAGGCCGTGTGCACAGCCCCCCTCCCAACATCCAAACGGCTCAATTGGTACTTCCCTTTGCCCTATGTTTGCAGTAAACCGTTGGTCTGGTTTTGGTCCCATGCGAGTTCACAACATTGTCCTTGGCAAGCGTCAATACCGGGCCAAGTCTAGACGACAAGAGAAGGTGGGGAGTACGTGTAGGATGGGGAGAAAGATCCTAACAATCGCCAGGCAATCATTGTCCCATCCCATTATCCTCAAATCATCTGCACCATTCGGGGGATTGTAGTTCACTCGAATTCAATTTAAATGCGACAAAGAAAGCGCTACAAAATTCCAGATGTTCAGATTGAACGATGGTTATGGATTACATCAGAAAGTCCCAACTTGACCAAGAAATTGCTTCTTCCATGTAATCAAAAGAACAGTTGTCTAGACTTTCCATAAATTTTAAGAAACAGAAGGTCTTAAAAAACTCAGCTCTTCCTGGAAAGGTTATGCAGACATGCATGCATGTATAAGACATCGAAGAATACCGGTAGTTGAGTGTCATGCCTAAAATGTGGAATAATCAAAACGAAAGGTTTTTGAGGCTGCGTGCCAGTTGCGACAGTCGTATTCAGTACCCTAATTAGTATTGTTCATGTATGCACATGTAGGCTGTAATAATTTGAATTTGTTATAAAGCAAGACACCTGTACAGGTAGAGTATATTACAATGTATCTGTCATTCAGCACTTGTACATGTATGTTTTTCTCAAGGTTCAATCTTAATCCTCCAAAGTTCTACCAAATGTACCAGGAGCCATGGAGTCTCTTGCGAGTTTGAAAAAGGTACAGGTCTGTTAGAGTTCAGTCATTCTTACGTGTGGTTACTTGTTACATGTGGCAAGATGCTTCCCTGGACACGGAATATGCCATTACTTTTGCAGGATTTTAGAGGAACCCGAGGGGAGGTCAAGATGAAGAACGAAATGCCAGAATGGTCAGGCCCAAGTCAAATCATGACAGCGTTGGAAATGAGAATGTCAGCTTCTAGTGCTTTTCATAGTCCAACCTTCAGCAATGAAAAAAAAAGTGACGTTTTGTGATTTAGACTCCTCAAACATCTCATAAATTTACCTGTCAATTTGGGGAAATATCAATTTCAAGCTGTGGTTTTCGGTCCCTACCCCTGAGTCCCGCTCAACAACATGTCTTGTCTTCAATTACAGCAATTTGGAAGTGACTACATGTGGTGTACACGTACATGTTGGTAGCCTACATACATGTAAAATTATCTGAGCTTCTTGTGACATGAACATGTACATGTACATGACACCGTACATCCGACCAACACGCCTTCCTGTCAAATATCACAGTTTTAGAGCTTTCCCTTCTACTGCCCCTATCCCCTCTCCCCTTTTCCCTGTCTAGACACCACCTGCCCTGGGGTAGACCGTTCACCTGTGTCCTACCTCCTCGGGCCTGTCGGTTGGGTTATATTTAAGTCATCAGAGGCTTTTCTGGCTAATTAGATCAATCGGATGGGTAATCATTGATGTCTGTTTTGCGTGTCTCTAAGAGCATACCTGCTACTGAGCAAGATCTCTTCTCTGGGGCATCCGAGCAATCGTTATCCACAGCAATCCAGTAGCGGATTTTGTGTTTGGACTGAGGGGTCAGTTGTCTCATCCTGTATGACCCTTCTCTATTCCCCTGGGCCAGGGGATTGACCTCCTGATGTCTCATGTGGGCATCACTTGTCCAGGGCAACCAGGAAGCAGGATAAGCCATCTGTTAAGCAGATAAAGAACTGGACAATTGTCTTGATCTAATGCACACTTACCGGTATCAGCAGTGGACTGTCATTGGTCAGATATTTGGGGTTGGCAGTCGCCAGATTGGAGAAAATCTGAATAAGGACAAACAAAATTTGTCCATGGATGGATGCTTCATGGTTCCGCAGGGTAAGGATTAAGCATTAAACACTTAAAAAAGGTCTTGCAAAATGCATAAAAGTGACGACGGGAACAAAATATAGTGACCATCTCACTATAATACTAAACATGATAAAAAATGCTAGCAAAATGTATGTCTGTGTGTTCATTTGCAAGTTGCAAAATCGCTGCCTGTC